GTCTGGCAAAGGCTAATAAGAATTTGACCTGACGAAATGTGTAATTATATATAAACATTATCCGATGATGTACAATATTTTCAAATTATAAGGATGGGTTATAATTAACATATTGATATATTATTAGTACCATTGTTTCCAAAACATTGTCTAATAGATTTCAACAATAACGACAGTAAAATAATGAAAGAAAAATGAAAAGGGCGACTATGTGTGTTTATTTTTATTTTTTGTTGTTGTTTTTTGTTGATTTTTTTGGTAAAAATATATAAAACAATTTTACAATATGTTTTGTTATATCTATAGAAACCATAAACTTTTATTAAATAAAATAGATCTAAACAGCCAATATAATAGAAATGCATTGCTGGAAGAGAGGTCGTAGTATTGAAACTGAAAGAAGAGGAGTTACATCGAATCCATTCGATTTTTTCCCATAGATAAGGTTAAAAAAGACAAATTTGATAATGCTTGTGTCAAAATTTCCATACACTAAGCTACTCTGTAATTGAATTACTAGGACATAACATCTAAAATGAGTCTAGATGGTCTAGCTTGATTTATTTTGTAGCAAAAAAAAAAATCGGTACTTTTCAATGGTCTACCAAAATGAATAAACAATTAACGGAAAAAGTCACTAATAATGCAAACACTAATACATGTATATGTGATTAAACTAATAAAGAGATGAAATAAACAATAAAAATATCAGACTGAATGAAAGGTACTTAAATTTAAATAAATGAAAAGCTAAATGAGAAATAAAATATTTGGCTATATATTATAATATATATAATATACAGGATATTGTTTTATAAATATTCTTTAACTGACTTTTAATTTGTAAGTATGAACGACCATATACATTACATATATTACACAAGAATATGTTACATCTATGTAAGACATCCATTACCTAAATCAATGTATGGCATTAATACGGAATTCATTTAAATCATGTTGAAGTAGACAAATTGTTGTAAGACCCTGATATACCTAAGTTGGTACCGTTAGGAGAATGTAAAATATAAAGTATAACAAATGACATTCTTTACAATATTAAATGATATAATGGTCAATTTTTCTTACCATTCATAATGTTCGCATTGAAACATTTAAGTATTGTTTTATTAATTATGTTCCAATTTATACTTCTATAAGAAATGGAAAACATGCAATAGTGTGAATATATTGATGATATGTCTTAAAATTATAACATTACCCCAATTTAATGAATGATATTGATCATATGAAATTTGTGTAGCTAGGGGGGACAATTCCTTAGTGCATAAAACAGTAAACTGCTGTGTTATGGCCTGTGGAGTTTTCTCCCTTAGAAGCATCTTGTAACTGTTTGGTAATTACACATCGTTGCTACTTATAAGGTTGTTAGTTTTATCATATCTATAGGCAAATATACAACGTATCTATAAATAAATATTCAACCATTTATTTTTCTAAAAAAAGGTTTACGTTTTTCGTTTGTTTGTTTGTTGTTTATTTATTTGTTTTGAGTTTTACGTCACACCGACACAGTATAGGTCATATCGCGACATTCTAGCTTTACTGGTGGAGGAAGACCTCAGGTGCCCTTCCGTGCATTATTTCAGGCACGAACGGGCACCTGAGTAGAACCGGTACCACCGACGTTCCGTAAGCTAGCTGGATATTTTCCTCACATGAATGAATCCAAAGTCCCTGTCGGGATTCGAACCCACAGCGGTGAGGGGCAAGTGGTTTGAAGTCAACGACCTTAACCACTCGCCTTTCGTGCTAATAAAAATGATTCTCTATGATTACTTTTCACAGTTCTTGATTATTAGTAGCTATTACTGTTTTGTCATTTACTTTTGTCATTCATATTTCTATCTTTTATTTATTTAGTGCTTGGTTCTTATCATAATACATCAATACTTGTGTAACAAAAAGATCTTGGAAAAAATATGCCATACAGTAAAGCATATTATGATAAATATTAGACTTGTCTAAATATTCATTTAAAACTCCGTATTTGAAATTATATAAGGGCACCTTTTCAGTATGAATCAAGATGTGTGATTTCTAAATGGTTATAAGTCCAAGCATAATATAATCACATAACGTCAGTTTGTGGCACTATGGAACTAAAAGTAACTACGATAAATGAACAGTTATTATTAACATCATAAAACATTTAATGTATTAACATAATTACATATTTCTGAAACAATAAAACATTCTGAAATGTAAAAAAGTGAAAATAAGTAATGCTTACTATATATTGAATATGGGCATTAAATCAAATCATAAGCAATATACATAAATGGATAACATGTTCACGGTAACCGATGGGATCATGCAAACATGCTTCAGTAACTTAAAGGCAATTATTATACTAAACAAGGTAGATGTCTCGAATAAAAGCTCATAATGGTAGAGCACTCAATAATTTAATTTTCTAAACTAACAAAATTATTTTTAACTCAAAAATATACTTCTTATTATGATTGAAATTCAGTGATCTGTAAAGCTTCTATTTAAGTAAACGTTATGTGTTTTCAACAGAGGTATTTTAAATCTAAATTGAATCTTTTCAAATTTAAAATCTGTCATGCGTTGAATCTGATTCACTCAATGTCAGTACCCTATTCTATTTAATTAAGAGCACCTTACTAACTTTGAACGACTAGATACTGCGAGATACATACACATAAACAGAATTGTACAGAAATGCGACAGCTTGTTGCTGTAGACTTGTAACTCAAAATCAGATGGCAAACCTTCAAACAGTGAACATGGCTCTTGTCAATGTAAACTATATATTAGGCTACCCTTCTTCTATACAATTATGACCATTATCAAGGACCAGTAGTAAAAACAAACAGATGGATAAGATAAGTAATAGAGGTACATAGTATAAATTACATGAACTAACACTTACATTGTATATTAGATACAAAACATTTTTCTATAAGATACAAAACTAATATTAACTTACAAACTGCGTTGACAGTTAATTGCCATTAATCTGTATTTAGTGACCCTTCCAGACATTTTATGCTGCATTAGAAGACATTATTAATAATCGCTGAGTTTTTTTTATCTCAAAACAATTGAATGGAAAATGACTTAAACATAATGTCCCTAAACTTATAAGAACTACAATCAAGTTTTTTTATGGAAGTGGCATGCTTTAAAACATGTACAAGTCTAAATACATTATCTGTTCTGTTTCTTAAAGGATAACCTTGTCAATTACCTGTTTTTAGAAAATCTTATATAGTCAATCAAAACAAAAGATAAGGAATGTTGCATATCTAAATACCTCAAAACATTCAATTAAATCGCTATTATAACCGATTAGAATTGAACAGAAAAGTAATTCAGTTATAATAAATAAATACATACAAGCATTTTACTGTGCGATAACCTCAGCCAACATCCCCAATACAGGTGTACAAGATTAAATAAAGATTATACATCAAAACACAGTGTTATTTACTCGAAATTACGAGTTTATAAGTCAAAATTTCGAGTTATGTTAGTCGAAATTCTGAGTTACTGAGTCGAAAAATCGGGTTAGTAAGTCGAAATTTCAAGTTAGTATGTCAAATTGTTGAGTAAGTAAGTCGAAACTTTTAGTTAGTTAGAAACTTGAAATTTCAAGTAAATAAAAAAAAACACATGGCACAAATGCTTTTTCGTGGAATTGAAATATGCGATAAGAATACATTTAAGCTATGCCTGGTGTATATGAAATACTACCGATATAACTAACATGAAAGAATTTCACTCCGTCAAACAGCTGCGTTGTCTACAAAGTAATTTTGTTTTAAATTATATGCTTAAGTACATATTCGTTGATCTTCAAATGGAAAATGCCCACATTTTTATGAATTGAATAAACTAAAAAATGAAAGAGGCAAACGTTTCAATTGTTTTTGATACGCCGAATAGTTGAGATTAGTGAACGCCATGAGGAGCTAAAATATAGGGTCTTATTATTGTGTATATTGTATAAGAACTACATGATTGTAATCTTACTTGTTATGAAAGTGATCAATCTCGCACCTCGCACCATAGAATTGAAGCAAGTAATGAGGCAAAATCATTTTAATAGAGTGTATGTTTCCAACAACATACATATTCTGTAAAATATATTAACTTAGTTTATACAATAAATTGGTTACATTTTTTACATCAATATAAATATGTTATTCATTTCAAAGAATCCTTGTTGGGTGATTAACATGGGCAGCTCCTGGTTTTATGGATGTGCCATATTCAGAAAAGAGGGCAAACATTTATTCGACCAGAGACGTACAGGAGTAGCTAGAGCAAACTTAAGTGGATCCATAAAAACACAGAAGGTCAAAGGGGCAGCATTTTTTTTACTGTGTTGCAGGGAGACAGAGGAGATAGTAAGGTAGGGTATAGTGGTCTCTCTTCCCCAATATTTACAAGCAGTTAATGCTTTTTCTTTTCAATAGCTTGTCCCCTAATGATAGTGGTTCCAACTTCGCTCGGACTGTTTACGTTTTAATTGACTGTGCAGGATTTTTAAATGAGCTTTATTATGTCTTAAGATTTGTAACTTAAAATAACATTGGTGAGGGGGTTAAGGCAGTTTTTTTATCAAGGTACTTGTAAACTGAAAAGGTCTCACAATAGCCTTACTTTGCTCCAACATTGGTCTTTTATCAAGTTTACTTTAAGGGTGGTGGATAAAGGGAAATGAGTCACATGTCAGTTTTGCAACTTAGAGATTAAATCTCCAGCTACGTAAACTTGGTTAAACTTAAAAGATTCTTTATGACAATAGCCAATATCATAATAAATCGATATCGTTTACTTTTGCGCATTTATAATTTGTTTAATAAACGTGCGAATAAAACGGAAAAAGGTTTAACATAAATTTAACAATTGATCGTTAAATAATTGACGTTTTGCAAAATAAAATATTGGAACATTGCCCGAAGTTTTACATTCTTTTTAACATTTTCAGAAGGAAGTAAAATGTTCAATCGTCTTCAACAGAAAAAAAAACACACGCGGTTTATCTTATAAACTGAATGTATACAACACGGCTTGTTGTCATTCATCGCGAGACTTTAATTAATATACACATTATTATATTTGTAAAGTAAAAGAATAGTTTTGAAACCGTTTTATTGGATATGACTGGGCTGTAAGTATGACTTTAATTGTATTTTGGAAGCATTTTAAATAGTCCAATAATGCAGTATAAGTTAAATGGTGATACTGCACATCAAAGACCCGCCAAATGACGTGAATAGTTACAGGTAATAAACACAATCTGCCTTGAGAATTGTCCTCTATAAAAGTTGAATATCCAAAGCACTAATCAAGTTTTGTTCATTTTATGGTATATGTTCATTGTTTAATGATTAATTTGCATATTTTTGTGAAAAGGTAGAATAACCTATCATGTATAAATCACAAAGTAAAGCCATGTCTGAAACTCTGAAATGTTTGTTGCGACAAAGATTGAAAGGTCTGGTGGAAGTAAAATAAATTGGATAATAAGTGAAAATTAAATGATCTGTATATAACTTAAAGGTGATGAAATCAGGCTTTCTAAAAATATTGATATTGAACCATAATATTGGTGCTAAATGGTTAATTTTCGAATGATTTTAAGGACCAACTGTTCTGCTATTTCAATCGGATCGTCCTCGGCTGCCATCTATTATAACGGTCCTTATCTAAAGACTAACGGAAGGAAAGAAACGTTGCGATTACTGTTATTTTACAAATAGCAAAACTATCAATCAGAACGTCCTCGGCTATTATTTATTATAACCTTATCCGAAGACTGGCGGAATAGGCCGAAAAGTAGTGACTGTAATATCCAATGATATTAATAATGAAATATAATCAGATCTTAGTTACGTTATGTTTACTTATCTATTAAAGATCAAAATGTTTGATTTAACACATGATTACATATTTCTTTACAGTTCACTTACCAGGGAATTTATGTATAGAACAACTAAATGTAATAATCTAAGCAGTCACAGAATCCTTCAAAACAACTTATTGTAAATGTTTGTGATACATTTTAAAACAAACCTACTTTTCAGTTAGTTAATTGATTTATAACTGAAATGTTAATTATTTTAGTGACTAAGCATACGCTGTGTCTGTTTTCCAAAAAAATAATAACTTGTCTGTTGCGCCAAAAATCTTCGTTGTGTATTTTAGTAATACCTCTTGGTCCCTGTCCAAATTTGGTTCAGTCATAATAATATAGACTAGCTCAATGATTAGGTAAATGAAAAACAAAAGATAAAAAAGAAGAAAAAGTAAAAAGAACAGTATATTCAAACATGTCAGTATTACTTCAGTTAAACAATTATTTTAATTTTCTTAAAGCCCGTCGACATGTTTTACATCAGACAAGCTATTTTATATAAGATAATATGAAAACTGTTTCATTTTGTTTAAACAAAAAACACAAAAGCAAGAATAGAATGTTCCCCATTGCTGGATAGACGAATGCATATCTACTAGCCGCCGCGGTGTCTAATAAATCATTTGGTACATTTAAAATATTTCAATCCTATTGGAATTGATTCAAATATTACGTTCGAAAACAGCAAACTACAGTTTGATAAATAATGAAATGATCTATGCTATGTTGCCTTTAAAGCAGAATAAATAACGGTATTCATTCAACCGAAAGTATCTCCCTTATTGGAGTAATTTTTTTGTTTAAAGCAAACTGCAAGCTTGTGAAAGAAGCGTCAACTTCTCCTTCTTAGTCTATGCAACACGGTCTAAGACAACGATAGCAGAATTAAACATTCAGAATCCATCAAACGGATCTGTCAGTTTTCCTTATATCACATACTGTGTTTCGTCAGTATCTAAATGAATCCCAAACCAATTTATAAGGAGCATCTCCTTGTTAACATAAGACCACACTTGTGCAATGTTATAAAAGTGACTCGTTTACAGACTATGTAACCATTCGGAGATTTTGATTATATCATATCATGCGATAAAATTTCTTATAAGTGTTGATAGCCATAAAGACTTACATTCACTTATCACAGAAACATTTTAAAATCATCATAAGGTTCTAAGTATGTATATTTAAGATATATATCTTGTTCGTTATGTTGCAAACAATGCATACAGTGATCTCTGATAAGGTTATAATATCAAAACTTGTTATAAGAGAAAATTAACATGATGCACCTAGTTTTATATTTTTCAGTCATCACTAATCTGTTCGAAGCAAAGTGTTTTCTATATAAAATTAAAAAAAAACATAATGTTTTAGTATTAATCATTCTTTTTTACCATTCTAAGGAATATCGAAAAATCACATAGGGCTACTAGCCATACCGATTGGTCTCGACCGAAGACAAAGATAGGCAGAAATGAACTTCTGGAAAAACTTCTTGCATTGTTGACAACCGATGTTCAAGACCTAGCAAACTCTGTGTGGGAAACATTAGATAATGATAACGTATTATTTTTTCAGTATTAAAACAAATTTTGGAAATTGACAATTTTTGCCAGGATAACATACAAAACATATCAGATAGAAATTAACACACAAAAACTTATGGTAAAACTGTTGAAACTAATTACATAGAGATAACTCTCATTTGCATAAAAGTAGAATAAAAATGTCTTTTTATCAGTAAAGTTATATATTCACTTTGAGAGGTATATTGCTTAAAGGGTTTATGACAACAACATCTACTTTTGAGGCGAGTTTGTGCATTCTTTATATTCAGGCATTCAGTTGACAAAGAACGAAACAAAATGTTTAAACTTAAATTTGTCAACATAAGTCATTTTTTTTTAAGTTTGTTCACATGTAAACATAAATGTGTATACAAACATTCTCGATTTTACCAGTCAACCAAATTAACATTAAATTTTGTTTTTGTAGTATGACACTGTTAACTCAATATGACCTTGTTTGTTATATCACTCTTTCAGGATGTTTATCAAATAAATACAACTGAGGTTGCCAAATTGAAAAGAGAAAATGAAGACCTTCGACGCGAATTGGGTACGTCTCGAAAGAGTACGGACGAGTTATTTGAAATGAAGAAAAGATATGACGATCTTGAAAAAAGGTTCAAAGAATATGACGAAAGGAGTACACAGCTGAAAAATATCGAGAAGAAATATGTGCAATGCAAATAATCCAAAGATGAGCTAAAGAAGTCATTTGATAAAGAGAAACTGCAAATGCAACAAACCATCAAAGAATAAAAAATTCAAATCCAAGCTCTAGAGCATGCAGAAAGCAAGATTGGTACAGATCGCCGAGAACGATATGAGTTCCGTACTACTGACACACAAGAATCAGAGAGATATTCTACATTGGAAAAACAGCTTAAAGACACCAGGGAGAAACTCAGAAAAACTGAAGAAGACCTAGATGAGACTAAAACAAGGTAATTTAAAGATAAATTCTTGTTAATGTTATAATTGTTTGATTTCTGTTAGTTGTTGTATGATTTATTTTTATTTTAACATACTTTAACGAAAGACTTTATTCATGTGCACTACCTTTTCAGACTAAACCAGTCATTGAAAAATAAACTGTTAGAAAAAAATCCGAATATTGATGATTTAAGTGACAAAAACCGTCCGACGAAACTTGCAGAAGTATATCAGGAAATTTACGATAACGAATGGACGGAAGCATTCGAAAAGCTCGCCAATAAGCAAGGTGATGACGAGGAAGCAGTAATTTCAACATTAGTCAAAATTCTTGTGGTATTGCAAAGTTTTTAATCATAAACTTTTTGTTAATAAGAATGATACCTTAAACAATTTTGCAAATAGCACATCAGTTTTATTTCATAATTTATAACTTCAACAGTTCTCATAAGATAATAATTCGCGTTCAATATGTCGAATGTATGCAATACGGTGGTGTTCTAGTGTTCACGATTATAAGTAAGTTATCATATGTCTCATATATTTCAACAGTATAAAGGGAATTTCCAGTTAAAATATATGAATATGTTAATATATTTTAGGAAACAAAGTCCGTATGTGAAAAAGAGGCAGAAAGGCAAATGACAAAAATACAACAGGCTATAACACAGGACGACAGAAAAGTATTTGGCTTCATACTCTTACATCACTTAAAGGCTAACATCATGGCATTCATTTCAATACCAATATTTAAATCGGATGGCAATATTACTACATAAAATATTCTTTTGATCAAAAAAGCAGCAGTAAGAGAAGTCCTATTGTAATCGACAAAGCAGACAATATACTTGTCAAACAAAGTTAAGTAAATGTAAACGCATAACCAAATGTTTTCCAATTGTTTTCATACAATTCAAACGTATATGTCCTTCTTTGCAGTAGAAAGTGTTACTTTGTCATTATATAGAATAAGAAAGCTTAGTATTATTTTCGTTAAATTTGTTTGATTGTATATACATATAAGATATTTTTTACTACTAGAAAACTGACGTCTATTGTTTCAACTGTAGGTGAATGCTAAAGTAATTTCAAGTATTAGCAAGCCATTGAAGGAATGCAGGAAAAAAGTGGCTGTTTATTCCGCGAAACAAGTGTGTAAGGTATTCTGTTTTGATCAATTCTCCCTCTCGTAAACACATTTACACCTGGTCATCCTTAATATGTAAAATCTCACCTTTATTGATTTTTATTTTACATACGGCCAAAATGAAAAAAATAGTTACTTGAGTACGATAAATCCATTACATCTCAACTTCACATAATTATGCCCCCTCTTCAAAGAAGAGGGGGTATATTGCTTTGCATTTGTCGGTCCGTCGGTCCATCGGTCCGTAGACCAAATGGTTTCCGAGTGATAACTAAAGAACCCTTAGGCCTAGGAACTTCAAACTCGGTATGATGATTGGTCATGACCAGTAGATGACCCCTATTAATTTTTGGGTCAAGGGGTGAGATGTCAAGGTAATATTGACCTTGTTGGTAAAAACGGTTTCCGATCAATAACTAAAGAACGCTTAGGCCTAGGAACTTTAAACTTGGTATGGTGATTGGTCATGACCAGTAGATGACTCCTATTGATTTTGGGGTCAAGGGGTCAAAGGTCACATTGACATTGTAGGTAAAAACGATTTTCTTTAGGATACATTTCTATTCCATTAAGCCTTAAATTTGATGTTGGTTACATGTACAAAATGAATATTTGTCGCTGTATCTAAAGTGATGTACACTAATTGACAAAAATAACAGTTTCTATAAAATGACTATGCATGTTTAACGGGACCTGCATCACTGCACACTTAATTAGAATGATTTTCTATTCTCTAAGCATGATCTCCTGCGTCTGAAACACTTATTTCCTTGGTTAAATAATGTTTTACAATTTCAAATGTTGTTACTCAATTCATTCGTTGTTTAACACTTTATGTCTCTGCGCAATTATAGAAACACTTTGAAGACCTGAGATATTCCACATCAATTGTCGCTCAAAAAGCCAGACTTGTGCCGAAATATTTCGAGGCGTGTTTCAACTTATGCTGGCTAATGGCAGTAAGAAAAAAATTATCACTATTTCAATAATCTATGTTTTACATAGCATATCTTATACCGCGTTGTTTTAGGTAATAAAGGACTGTTTCGCAGAAAAAAGTTTACTGATCTTGTTTTATATAGTACGTCAAATCAACAACTCATTAGAAACCAACATTTGACATTCTTTTTAAAAAAAAAACAACAAAACGTCAATTGCATTTCTGTTGACTTACTTACACGGACTTCATAATTATATTAATAGAATCATTTTGGGTATGCGGTGAATATCAAAATTATAACAATATTGTAACGCTCCTGGAAAATATGATATTGGGTGGATTTTAATTTCGTATTTTAAAAGAAGCAACACTTTTGATTAAAATCATAGCTATTGTTATATTTTTTAAAAGTTTGAAAGTTAAAGGAACAAACATGATTAAACATTATATTATTTCAATTCCTGCGTCAACTTTGCTGTTTACAAACATAATAAACATTTTTTGTGCTTCTCAGATATTTTCCCGACCATGTTACTTTGACTTCCCAATAAAAGCGATGTAAGTCGGATGTGTGGATTTTACAATAAAAACTCCTAAAATATCTACATCTCGTTAATAAAATGAGTTTTATATCGACTGCCGTTCTTTTCTTTCTTTCTTTTTTTGTGTTACCAAGACTCGACTACAATTAGTTTTATTAGCGTAAATGCCTGCAACTTCATTTCGGCGAAATTAAATTGAGTTTTCCTTTTATTAAAAAAATAATTCTTAACAATATTTTATAACACTTACATTAATACTGCAATTTAAACTGCAGAATGCTTTGATTTTAGGCTGACAAACAATATGCCTTACATATTTATAAATGTAGCTTAAATTAATTGATTATAATTATAGTATTCTAATTGTTTATCTATCTTGTTGAGTCCAAAATATTATTTCAAATATTATCAACTTTTCATGATATCAAATTATCATCATTTTAGGTTCAAGACCCCCCTATGTGCTTTGGTCCCGATGTAAGGCAAGGAGATGTTTTCGATACGGATTTATACGAAGCATACACGAAAAGTGGCAACACTGTTGCGTATGTTGTTTGGCCTGCTCTTTTACTGCATAAAGGAGGTGCAGTTCTTTACAAAGGAGTTGCTCAAGGAAAAGAAGATCATTCGCAGCGAACAAAATGCGCACCGAACCTGTATGAAAGACATCTCAATTCAGATGAAACGGATGACTTATTTTCTAGCCCAGACCGAAACCACAAGGTGTATAAAGATGATAAGACATCATATGATATTGATAGACTATACTCAACAAAAGCAACAGATCATCATAGAATTTCCGGAACAGACAACGACTACGACTGGAGAATTGATAACAGCCCACCGCATGGACATGACACATCTGATTATTCTCTAAGCGATCTGAATAATGCAAGTCAATATAAAACATATACGCAGGGTTATGATAAGTACAAGCAACCGTACAATGACTATCAGGCGAGCATTAGTCATCACGAGACTAAAGTAAGGCCTGGAACGTCATCACGTTATCGTAGTAAAACTGTTTACACACAGAAAACAGTAACACCCCGGTATGCTTGGAGATAAAGAGATGTCGATATGTATAATATTTAATTTCAAATTAAAGGTTCAAACTTTATTAACTGTATGTCACTTAATGACCATCCATGAAGAAAATTGAATGTCAACTATAAATAAGATTAGTAAAACATATGTGTTGTACTTATCATTATTTGTTTCTTTTAAGTGACTATGTTGAATATAGAAATAGATATTTATTTAACAACAGAAAATTTGAATTAAAAAGTTGCTTTTAATAACAAATATGTATTTTACTACTAAAATTTTACTATTAAGTAGCCTTCATTTTTTTATTATTTTAGATTATATTAACATATATGTTATATACGGAATACTTATACACATGTCTGTATTGGTCTTCTATCTGCTGTAGTATGTTTACTTTTGTCTGTATCGGCGTCCGTGGTCGAGTGTTTAAGGCCGTTTACGTCGAACCACTTGCTCCTCACCGCTGTAGACTCAAATCCCGACAACGAGTTTGGATTTGTTCATGTGAGAAATCTATATAGCTGCCGCACGGTTCATAGATGGTCTCTGCAAAATTTGATGAATATACTTTAAACAGAATCATAGTTGTTATTGTATTATGTATTATAATAAGAAATGATAAACACAATGCAGTAAAATCTATTTAATTACTTGAAGTGTTTTATATGAGTGCATTGATTCGGTGAGAAATAAAAAAATAAAAGTATTTTTGTCGTGTTTCTCTTTAACAATTATATTAAAGTTTGAAGTAAAACAAGTCAAATACAAATGGTGTGCAGCATCTTTTTATTAATAATGATTCTATTATGGCATGGAATGTTTCAATTCAATATGAGAGAATTTCATAGCTCACCTTAATTTATTAAAATTATCACATATTCATATAAACGTTTCATTTTGCAAAACTAAAGTTTAAAGCAATACGAAAGATACGATGCTTTTACCCGAAATATATGTTTGTATTTCACCCATTTGTAACATATTTGACACTTGACCGAGTGTGTGCACGTGACTGTCTGGTAATATTGTCGCGCCAATTATTTAGATTTTCATATAAGGGCAAATAAATGCTTAGATCTTCCATTTTACTCACGCATCAATTATTTCCCTTTTACACAGAAAGTTGTGACTTCACTATTGAATGTGTACTGACTCAGACAACTGTTCAATAAAGTAGAGAACAATATGAATGTTTAGAACAAAAATAATGTTATCGAGAGTGACATTAATTGTGTCAATCCTCGAAACTTAATGTCGCAAACGATCGGACTTTCAAAAACGTATTTTAACTATATGTTACTAGTCTCCTATGTATTGCTCAACTGTTTCACTATCGTTCACTTTCTTAGTGAAGTAACGTTAAAGTATTCACAAAGCTGCAAAGGCAGTGTAATATGTAATCGATTGACTGATGATTTAAAACTATATTGTCACAATTTTAAAAAAAATATGTCATAACCGTGAAGTGCATAATAATGATAATAACAATAAAAATAAAACAATCCTTTTCACAAGACAAGGATTAAGAAGCTGAAATTAATGTAATACGAAAATACAGCGTGAATACCATTGAAAGCTGTGCAGCTTTAAAAAGGAAGTTATTATAGTATCGAGATATGCACTGACATCGCTCAATATTTACTATTATAATGGCGTTTAAACATGACCTGGACCATAGCAACCTTACTGCCTCGACTTATTAAATAATATAAAGTAGTAGTCTTTCCAATCGTTGTTTTGAGATATATACAAGTACGTTATGATCACTAATAACTGGTATTTATGTCTATCAACCTTGGACTATGTGCTAAAAACCATATGTTTTAGCAAGCCCAGTTAGATTAAAAAAGAAAACTCAATACACATAGGTAAGTAATGACTTGATACATTCTAAAGAGAACAGAAAACAAAAAAAATTTAACCATAAGACCTACGTTGTCGTGCAAATGTCAATATTAAGAATGACCGACGGGGACATTTCAACCACACGAATTCCCAACTTCATCTTCGCGAATTCATATTTATGTTTTTTTCGTGAATTCACGATTTCAACTAAAGATTTTGCGTATAATAGAAATTACTTACTATTTTAACGACTGCGCCACCTTGTTAATAATAGATTTGTGACGATAATCTTTTAATCACCAGATTAAATAGAATCAAATTATTTAGTTCATATTAAATGAAGACGCTGTTAAACATCTTTTGTGTGAGGAAAAGGCAGAAAGAAAGACTAACCGTCGGCCAAATGTAGTTTTGTTGAAATATATAATAGTTCCTATGCCCAACCGGTAGCTTTGATGATATATTCTAATCAAGACAATTGCATTGAATAATACTAACACACGGGTATATTGTTTACATTAAGAAACACTATGTTATATTGTTGTACCTAAATTATATGAATGGAGTCGATACTTACGGGAATAAATAAATTTCATGTATTTTATCTTATTTTCGAACAAAGTTAATGCAACATTGAATTTGTTTTTAAATTTTCAAAGAAGAAACATTAACACGGTACATTGAATGATCATGCCGCTATTAAGGTCGATTTTAGTAAGCAATGTTTGTTTAGTAAAATCTGACAAATAACTACGTAGTCATGCAAGTTTAAGATTGCATTATATCTTTTGACACATGTTTGAATGAAATTAGATTATCTTGTTTAATGTTAACTGATCGATACTCGCACTATACTTCGATCTTACATAGCTTTTCATTTGATCCACCGCCAAAAAGATATGTACGTTAAGTACTAATAAAGTATTCACCATATCATTAATGAGATTGCAATATTTGGATAGAATCCGGATAAGTTTAAATGTAATTGTGATTTGTTTATTTATACATGTACAACCGCTTTTCAGGTAGGAAATAATTATTTCTTCCAGTTATCACCCCATGAATTCGATTGTTTTTGTTACTTACAGTTATTTCAAAGACAGATAACTAATTCATACGTCCGACAAACATTGCCAAATGCTTCATGCTCTTCGCAGTATAACATTTCACGGCTGTCTATCAATTATCAAGACTTTTTAAAAGAAAAAATTGCATAGTCTTAAGTGAAGAAGAAAAAAAACCCTAACTTCAATACATTAAAATCAGAAAATGCAATGAAAATAACTCGAAAAAAGGTCGGTTACCCCCTTTTTTCTGTCATCATATTGAATTTTCTGAAACCATCCTTTCGGAAGCGCACCGACAAAAATATAACTGTATTCCACTGGCGCAAGATTGCTAAAATGATGATACAGGTGATACAGTAACTTAAGACATTTTGAATCGTTTTAATGTAACAATCATTATACTTTACTATATCATACGCTTTTTAACAAATGTTTACATGTTTAACTTGAAAGAGCTCGTTGGGATTTAATATTTCACACTGCTGTCACCTTGACATTTTATATCGCCTCACGATAGGTAAGAGTTTAAGTTTTCAAATGTATTTATATTAAGACTTTACTTAGAAAGGAATTTAACGTCGAATGCTTGTTTTACATAATTTTTTATGAACTTTATTATTTTACAAATATACTCATTTAAGCATTCTTTTCTCAAAAATCAATTGGTTGTAAACATATTTTAAATGAAACAAGAAAACCTATCTCGGAGATAAAAGACCGTGAGTAACTACAGTCTTAATAAAGGTTCGATGCGCTTTTTAAAAGTATTTTAGTGGTAAATATACAATCAATTTACAATTTTATACATCGTGGAAACGGACAAAATTCATGGACGACGAATTAAATGAGGTTTGTGATATATTGGTGAAATCACAAATTCAGTTAGAAGATTGCAGATACATTGCCGAGGTAAGTTAATGTGTTTATACTTCTGGAATAAAGCTTTTTTTTATTTGCAAGTGTTTTGAATGATCAGCAATCATGTTTTATTCATTTCATGATAGTTTTCATAACACAACAAGGTAATATTCTGATTGATACATTATACTACAACACTTTTTTTCAGTCATATTTTGTGTCTGCTAATATCAAAGAAAACGAAAAGTTTTATACATTGAAATATAAAAGATGATGATGTTAATGAGTCCGTTAAACATTAGATTAAGTAATAAGTTTTTATGCTTCAGGATCAAGATACGGAAATTCTTTTTCTTAAAAACGAACTTTGGAATGCACAAGACGAAAAAAAAAGCCCTAATAAAACAGCACGATTCGGATTTGCGTGCGAAAGATAAATGCATATCCGAGTTAGATGAAAAGGTTCTTCAGTTACAACACGAATTGGAATCTAAAACTAATGAATTACAAAGGTATAAAATATTTTTTTTAATGAAAATACTATGGCCAAGGTTATTTTTGTACATTTAAACGGCCGTTTATATTTTGCATTTCAATTAATACCTTTTATTTATGTCAAATAACACAAATTTAAGTCTTTTGTAAATAGATACTTTACACACTGATATAAATTTTGTTCACTACAGTTCTGTATGTATTAGGTGTATTTATTATTTCTCATTATTATTCATTAACCCGCTTATTTATTGTGTTAGTTTTGTTTCTTTCGTTTTTCTTGATTATTTATTTTTTACTTTTTAGCTCACCTGAGCTAGCTCGGGTGAGCTTTAAGGCTCGTTGAATGTCCGTCGTCCGTCGTCTGTCGTCCGTCCAAACTTGTTCATTAACACTCTAGCGGTCACTTTTTTGCCTCAATCATCATCAAACTTTGTCAGGATGCTTATCTAGTTGACAGCTCGATTGAGTTTAACATGGGTCATCTCAGATGAAAAACTAGGTCACAGGAGCTAAAAATAACAAAATCTTGTTATCATTCTAGTTGTCACATTTTTGTCTCAATTGTCATTAACCTTGGTCAGGATGCTTGTCTAGGTAATTGCTCGAATAAGTGTCATCTCAGATGAAAAACTAGGTCACAGGAGCTAAAAATAGAAAAATCTTGTTAACTCTCTAGTTGCAACTGTTTTTATCCAGATATCCTGTAAATTAGTCTAAAGGTTTTCTTTGATGATTTCTAGTTCAAGTTTGAATATGGGTCACCTGGGGTCAATAACTAGGTCACAGGAGCTAAAATAGAAAAATCTTGTTAACACTCTAGTGGCTACTGTTTTGATCCAGATATCCTGAAAATTGGTCTGAAAGTTTGCTTTGATGATTTCCAGGTCAAATTTGAATATGGGTCACCTGAAGTCAAAAACTAAGTCACACCCCAAATATGTAAAAACCTTGTTAACATTCTAGTGATCACATTTATAACTCAATTATCATCAAACTTGGTCAGGATGCTTGTCTAGGTAATTTCTCCGACTTTGGTTATCTCGCATGAAAAACTAGGTCACCGGAGCTAAAAATAGAAAAATCTTGTTAACACTAGTGGCTACTGTTTTGATCCAAGTATCCTGGAAATTGGTCTGAAAGTTTGTTTAATGATTTCTAGGTTTAGTTCGATTATGGGACACCTGGGTTAAAAACTAGGTCACACTGCTCAAATATGGATAGTCCTTGTTAAAACTGAAGTGGTCACATTTTTGACTCACCTGTCTAAGTAATTGTTCGGATGAGTTCGATGGGTCAGGTGAGCGATCAAGGGCCATCATGGCCCTCTTGTTTATTTATCCGGTTTATTTATCTTTTTTATTCATCTTTATTAATTTGCTTTCTTACATGTTTTTATTTATGTTTTCATTTTGTTGATATCTCCTGCGTGAACTTAATTGATAGCTTAAATAAAATATAACAATTATAAAACAAACCAAAACATCTTATGATTCTTATTAACAAATCCGGCGATATAGAGCTTAATCCTGGTCCTCCTGTAATCGCTGACACACTCAACTCTTCAAATTCATCTATTGAATCTTATGCTTCTCTCCTTAACCGAGGTCTGAGCATCATGCATTTGAATATCCAAAGCCTGAAGCCAAAGATTGATATTTTAGCTGTAGAGGCCCAACCTTATGACATCCTTATTTTCACAGAAACGTGGCTGTCTAACAATGTTACAGACACAGACCTTTACATTCCTAACTTTAGTAAACCCTTCCGTTGTGACAGAATCGATCGTATAGGCGGTGGTGTAGCTATTTATGTCCGTGATTCTTTACACGCTATTGAAAGGAAAGATCTGCAAGTGCAAGGTGTAGAAGCACTCTGGACTGAAATACATATATGTCAACGTAAATTAATTGTTGGGGGTATATATCGACCTCCGAATTCAAATAATACACAATGGTTAAAAATGGAATACTTGCTTGATCAGGCACTTAATCAACACGTTGATAATATCTTAGTAGCTGGTGACTTTAATATTAACGTACTTGCCAACCCTTCAAACAAAATGACAAGACTTATACATTCTTTAAATTGCGAACAACTAATAAACTCTCCTACGCATTACACAGAAAGTTCTAATTCACTTATTGATCTTATGTTCATTAAAAAATCTCATCATGTTCTCACGTCTTTTGTTGCTGACCCATTTCTCTCTGACCTAGTTAGGTTTCACTGTCCAATAGTGTCAGTACTTAATTTTACCAAACCACAACAAAACTGTTTTCGTCGTAAAATTTGGATCTACGATAAAGGTGAGTATCAAAAATATAACGAAAAACTTAGTTCAATTGACTGGTCATTCATTGACAACGATCAAAACCCAGATAATATTGCAGATTGTATCGCCCAAAACATTCTTAACGCAGCATCTGAAAGCATCCCAAACAGAATAGTAACTATCCGGCCAAATGACGTACCTTGGATAAATAATGATGTCAAAAAACAAATAAGAAAACGTAGGAAACTTCATCAAAGAGCTAAATTACTTAATAATGAAAATGCCTGGGCTAACTTTCGAAAAATTAGGAATGAAACCACAAAACTTATAAAAAAAACTAAATCAGATTATCAAAATAACTTAACTACACAGATTAATTCAGACAACATCACAGCAAAAACATGGTTTAAACTTGCAAAAAATTAACAAATAAACAAAGTACATCAACAATACCAACACTTACAGATGGCTCAGCAATAGCGGAATCAAACAAAGAGAAAGCTGACCTTCTAAACACCTATTTTAGCAAACAATCAACCATCGAAAACCCACACCATCCCCTTCCACCTCTTGAAATCATTACAAACGTCCTCATTTCTGGTGTAACAGTCACTACTCAAGACGTTAAGGACTCTATCAACTCTATGGACTCAGCTAAAGCATCTGGTCCGGACTTAATTAGCCCAAGGCTCATTAAGGAAGGTAAGGATGAACTAGCTTCACCACTTGCAAGGTTTTTCAACAAACTTCTTTTAAAATCTGTATTTCCCTCCTCCTGGAAACTTGCCAATGTTTGTCCTATTTATAAAAAGTCCGATCCTTCTAAAACATGTAACTACAGACCTATATCTCTTTTAAGCTGTCTCGGAAAAGTTATGGAAAGATGCATCCATAAATACTTGTATAACCATATCATTTCAAATAAACTATTAACACAATTTCAATCAGGATTCATTAAAGGGGATTCAACCATAAATCAGCTAACCTTTCTTTACAATGACATCAGCAAAGCCCTAGATGAAGGAAAAGAAGTTCGCGCAGTATTTTGTGATATATCAAAAGCTTTCGACAGGGTTTGGCACCAAGGACTCCTCTATAAACTTTCTTCTTTAGGCATACAAGGTTCTCTTCTTCAGTGGTTCTCATCTTATCTTGCTGACAGAAAACAAAGAGTCATCGTATCAAATACTTCTTCAACACTTTTAAATATCAATGCTGGAGTACCTCAGGGGTCCATCTTAGGCCCTCTCCTGTTTCTAATATACATTAATGACATAGTCACTGATATTGAAGCAAACATTCGACTTTTTGCTGACGACACTAGTCTCTACATCATTGTCGAAGATCCCAACTCTTCTGCTGCAATATTGAATTGCGATCTTTCAAAAATTTCTGTGTGGTCAAAAACTTGGCTTGTCTCATTTAATCCCTCAAAAACAGAACATGTCCTTTTCTCAAGAAAACGAAACAAACCCCAACACCCTTGTCTAGTCTTTGATAAATGTGAACATTTCTAGTGTTAAAGAACACAAGCACCTTGGTGTCATCTTTTCTGAAAATGGTAAATGGACATCACATATAACATCAAATGTTAATAAAGCTTGGCAGAGAATTGGTATTCTTCGAAGTCTGAAATTTCTTATTTCTAGAGCGGGATTGGAGAAATTATATGTAGCCTTTATTAGACCTTTGCTTGAGTATGCCGACGTGATGTGGGATAACTGTAGTAATGAACTAAAAAATGATATTGAATCAGTTCAGCATGAAGCAGCAAGAATCGTCACAGGAGCTACTAAGTTTTGCAACATCAACAAATTAATTAGCGACCTCATTTGGGATACACTCGCAGAAAGGAGAAGAAAACATCGTCTCGTACTTATGTATAAAATGAAAAATGGTCTCGCTCCTGATTATCTCTCTGGTCTGATACCAGAACATTTTAATCAACCCTACACTCTTCGCTCTAACACCGATATCCCATTAATACACTGCAACTCCCAATCATATGCTACTTCTTTTCTTCCGTATACTATTCGCCAGTGGAATTCTTTACCTGGAAATATTAAAAATGCATCCACAGTAAGTGCTTTCAAATACAAACTCAACTACAGAAATATGTCGTCTAATAAGAAAAAACACCTGTATAATTTTGGCAGCAGGAAAAACCAAGTAAACCATACACGTCTCAGACTTGGATGCAGCTCTCTTAATTTCGAATTACATAGGAGAAACTTAATCTCGTCTCCTTTGTGTACATGTGGTGCCATAGAAACTGTTTCCCACTTTCTGCTCAGTTGTCCTAAGTACCATATCCTACGTCAGCAATTCTTTGACGACCTACCCTGTGCCCCAACCCTTAATAATCTTCTTTTCGGCAATGATCGCCTAAGTATGGACATCAATCAGAATCTGTTCACACTTGTCCAGAGCTTCATTGAAGCATCAAAGCGTTTCGATTCATAATTCCCGACTCAGCGTTTTAAACATCGTATTTCCATGACAAACTGTGTGACACAACTTTTTTTTTTATTGTTATTATTATTTTTATTTTCTTCTCTCTTTTTTTTTTTATTAAAAAGGAAAATGAATAAACAAAAAATCAAGTAAAACCTTCCGAAAAATTATAAATTTAGATCAATTTTGAACTTAAAAACATGCACTGATCATATAAAGTGAAATAACAAAGACGAAACTCCATCATGGAAAGGAATTAATATAAGTGTTATGCTTGTTTTCTAATCCATATATATTGTGATGTAAAAATGTTACATGCTTGTAAAAATTGATGAATAAAATATGTTTAAACTAAAACATCTATATCAAATTAAAGTATTTAAGGTATTTTTTAGCATGCGTAAAGAAATTATACAGCTTTCTGCAAACCTCAAAACAAAGGATACCGCTGACATCAAAGACATTTTGGATTCATACAATGAGCTTTATGATACACATCATTCACATGCATTTGAAGAATTAGACAAAATAATCAAGGACGAGAAGGAAATAGTAATGATTCTAAAAAAGATGCTCTTTGTAAGCAGGAGTGACTTTAACTTTGATAAATATACAACCGCAATGGATTTATTTATAAGATTTTTGTAATATTTCAGAACTTTTAACGATTCAACTACAAAATATACAGTTAAATATATTATTGTTGATTTTCAGTGCCATACAAACCGATTGATTTTGCGATCTCATTTATTGCAGTTCAAGTTGTTTATCTAGTAGTACACATGTAATTCTTTTCCGAAGAATATGCAGGTTTAGCTAAAACTTTAAAGAGCGTGATGGCTACAAAAAATATTTCATTTATAGGGCTTTTAGTGACAAATTTCTCTTTTTTAGGACGCTATGCAATATATTGAAAATGAGAAAGAAGGGAAACAGTTCAGAATAAGACAGCCAACAAAAGAATCTGCCCTTGAAGTAAGTAATATGTTTTTGGACTTAAGTTCAATCAAGATAACTTAGTATTTTGATCAAGAACTGAGCAAACAAATTTCATTAGTTCAATATCCTTCTTGACTCTTTTTTTAAGTTTTTTTTTGTATGATTGTCCTTCACCTCCCACGCACGTATTTTCCTTTTTATGTGCATATGTGGGTATCTACATACAGCACACGTCTCGTACTGAAATGGTAACGTGATACAATGTTGAATTAGATTTCACTTCTTGGTATATTCTGGTATATTTTGCTTTACCTCCTTATCATATAATAATCAGTCACCTTTTTGTTGCATATATTTTGTTAAGCAAAATGTATATACTGTAACAGTAAACATCATTGTCTTACTTATCTCACTGTTCCGATGACACAAGAGAAATAAAGCAAGAAGAAATATTAGGTCCATTGCTATTCGCACATGTTGCAAAGGAGTTAACATTAAAACATACTGAAGTTACATTTTATCAAATACTCGTGTCCATGTAAAGATTGGCGATGATGTGTTCCTTTACAAGGAACATACAAGTTCCCTAACAAAGTTTTCTGTATTTCATATATGAATTACAGGTCTGGATGTAATGAGATATATTTTTATTTCAGAAATACTTAAAATATTTGAAGTCGCAAGATACCAAAATTGCAACAGGTTACGGTGCTGTCAGATCTTACATAAACAAATGTTTTGACGTGTGTTGGGAAATATATGAGAACAAAGACAAACTGAAAATTCAAAGCGACAATACCACAAATAGAGACATTTTCTCAACAGAAATGTACAGAGCCTTTACTAAAACAGGGAAACTCATTGATTACTTAGTATGGCCTGCTTTGTTACGCATTGATGGAACATCCATCGTACTAAAAGGTGTTGCCCAATGTCAGTAAAACAGTGAAGTGGAATAAATATACATATACATATCTGTTTTATTTCATCGTTAATTTCCTTTTCCGACCTTTTGTATCAATTTATATATTGAAACTTACAAATTGAACACTGTGGCAGTGAAATGTTACAACTATAATTGCTTGTGTGTTGATTGGTTTTATTAAATACATATTTCTTTATCAGAAAAGACAACTTGTTATTTCTTAGTTTGCTACATTTTACTTGTTATTTTTCTAATATTTCACTTCTCTTTCTTCTTTTTTCAAATGTTTGCACCAAGACCGCAAAAATAATTTATCGAGTTTTTTTTTCAATTTTTTATTGATGTGAGGTAATGGATGTTTGAAAACATTTTTAAACTGAGTTATGCAATAAATTTAAACAAACACCACCAAAGATGTTATTTACTTATTTGTGTGATACCAAAATGTGTGAACGAGCCAGCTGAAACGTGAGAAATTAACGCAAATTAACCCCTACCCTCAAACCCGAGCCACTTGTTTCTATTTTTTTCTATCACAGTCCAATGTTTTCGTTTGGTGTTGTCATAATGTAAACCACACAACATCACTCTGCGAACATGTAAATGTCACAGAGTGAGAAAAATGTGCAGCCTGGCCGGGACTCGAACCCAGGACCGACGGAATACCGTATCGCGACCCTACCGACTGAGCTATCCGACCGCTTACACATCTTCTCCCGTATATAGTGAACAGTATCGTGATATACTCCTCTGCTATATTGAAATTCGTCCTCGCAAAGCAATGTGAATTAAACTCTGAGCTGTATTCAGTCACGGCCCCACGTTGGGCTCCAAATATCACAGGGTGAGAAAAATGTGCAGCCTGACCGGGACTCGAACCCGGGACCGTCGAAATACCGTACAGCGACCCTACCAACCGAGCTATCCGGCCGCTTTTGTTATAGATTTTGTTTAAAATGCTCAACTAAAGTTAAACTAATTTTGATCATCTAATCTGAGCAAACAAAACCTTATAACTATCATTGCAACCATTTTTTTCAAAGCGGTCATTGACTTTCTTTAGTATCCGTTGTATCTACGGCAACAATTGACATCACTTACCAAGCTGTCATTTCGATGACAACCGTTGAATTACTATATAACGATGACTTCAAAAGCAACCATTTAGTTTCAGTAGCAGCCAGTGATTAACAAAGCAGGAATTGCAATAGCAAACACTCACTATTCATAGTAACTAGTGAATTTAATATTAACCATTGACCTTTGAATCAATAGCAACTTTAAGCTTTCTTTAACAGCCAATGACTATTTAAAGCAACCAATGATTTCCTTCTTTTCATTTATATCAATATTCCTTTTAACTTGTTATTAAGCGCTTCGTTATTGCTGTCAATGAATCAATGGTAAAAATTGTTTTCTTAAATTAACAGCTGAAAATCTGTTGTGAAAAATACTAATCCTTAATTCCAATGGCTTTGCGTAATGAACCAGACAGTATATACAGTATATTAAGGATTAAGCCTCCCAGGCACTAGGGTTACCTTTAGTTCATGTATTTAATACCGCAACCTCTAAAGACTGCCCCATATTTCATCAGGCCAAAAATTAACAGCAAATAATTGTTCACAGAAACTATAAAAAAGATAGATTATATTAACTTATGACTCAAAATATTTATGTGAGCATATGAAATGTTTAAAAGTGTCTCCAAAGTAGCCAATTTGTTTACCTTAATCAAAGAGAGATAATTGGATGGAATTTTCAACGTTACATTTTAATACATAGATAATACACGTGGAGCTTACATAGACAAATAATTACACAGCAACTTTTTTTATATACTTTAAACTTTTACGAAAAATGTCGATTTTGAATTGCTGCCTGATTTTTTCTTCTAGAAGAAGTTTATTTTGTTTCATATGACAGGAATGAACTGTATTTACAATCCTAAATATTATGAAGATGTGAATACTCATTGTTTTACATGCCGGATTAAGCAATATGACCCCGTCCACATGAAGACGTAATGAAGTGTGTTTGTACGTTACTGCTGGGGAAAAACAATGGGTGACAGGAAGACAGGAAGACACTTTTTCGATCTTTATCTGATATCGAGTTGTAAGAGCCAATTTGCAGTTATATGGGTTAGAGTTTGGTAAGACTCCCTACGGTCGCCTTAATACAAACTCTTACCCATATTTAAGGTGGTTCGTTTGACAGTTTGTATGTAATAAATATTGATTTCGTACTTGCGAGTAAATATATAAGTTGCTTTGAAACACGTAAAATGAAATTTAAAGTCTCATCTGCTTTCTTTGAACTTGTAAGCCAAAGACAACTTGAGGAAGAAACCAATATAATTGCCCAACACACAAAAATATATTAAAATAGTCCTTCAACTAGGACATGTTTCTCATTTTATTTTAATATATTTTAAGAAAAAATGACAGCCAATGCAGAACCGCATAAACAACTATGGACAAATATTGCTTCGGTTAGTGAAAACCTGCGAGTTGCTGTTCAGAAAATTGAAAACTACAGAGATCATCAATGTGTAAGTAGCTGACTTAAATGTTACTTAATTGTCGTGATACATGTACATTAATAACAAAATCTATGAGCAGGTTACAAGAAACAGTTACAGTTTTCCATTAAAAGATGTAATTGCTTTGAAAATTGTTATTGTGGTTGTTTGTAATTTCACTCAGGACAAGGGCACTAAATTAATCAGAGCATAGTTAAGCAACCTCATTGTCCCTGGCTAGGCATTCATGCAGTTAACCAGTGCAAGTTGTCTTCGCTATAGCAAGCGAATGATATTTTCTGTAAACGCAAGAGCAGAGGTACAGTCTTCATGATTGTGGAAAGGATTTCGCGATCAATCACAACAAAATTGATCTGCACCATCGGAGAATTAAACCCGAGTCGTCCGATTCACATTCCAACGCTCTATCTACTGAACACACCGAACGGCTTTGCTTTGAGATTGCGTATATTAATTATCGGAAACATTTTTGTTTCATTGTTTTTTATTAGTTATATAATATATAAAGTAGTTAAGAATTTGTGTATTTGAAAAAAGACGTCTGCGGACAAAAGTAATAGATTTAGTGTCCCGTAAGTATGATATTATTCAGCAATTCAATTTCCTTTTTCTTAGTTATTACAGGAGAGAGAATACTTAATTTCGAGCGCATTTTTAAGTTTTCAGCAAAAAAACTTGAATCTCTTACTAGGGAACATGAGAAATTGAAACATCACTTTAAAAGACAGAACAAAAAAGAGGAACAACTAAGACGGGATTATGATGACCTAAGAAAACTGTATAAAGATAAGGAAAAAGAATGGGAACAAAAGATTAAAGACTCTGAACATTTAGCTGATGAAATAATAAAATTGCAACGACAAAAGCTCGAGAAGTGTGAGGAAGAGATTAAAAAACAAGTCGAGAAATCTAAACAACTCCAGGAAAGCATTAAAGAGAATGAATTTGAATCCAATGACAAAGAAATATTAAGAAAACAGTTACAAGAGAGTAAAAAGCAACTCAAGTCTACGAATGACAGACTTCAGCGTGTGTCGGAGACTTTAAAAAAAACCCAAGAAGAACTTGACGACACAAAAACAAGGTTTTATTTTCTTCCATTCTTTTCCGACACATTATTATAAGTGTTTACATTTAATCAACTTACATTTTAAAACATCAAATCTTTCGCGTAAATTATAACAATTATAACTCATTGAAAATCCCATAATATTATTTGTTTGTTTGTTTATTAAGGTCATATGGCACCAAGCAGGAAAGACAATTTTGGCTAACCTCGAGTGTTACAAACTTGAATAAAAATAAAAGCAAAATATAATGTCAAATCTGCCTAACATATTGGGGCTTTTAGATTTATAGACACGAACACATTAAATTGCCTCTTACGAACACGGTTTTTGCATGTCTTTACCCTTAAAGGCAGGTCCTCAGCCTCAGGGGGTGTAAATTATTTAAATTACGACCAAATATCTTAACAGTATGTATTTAAACAATAACCAACCTCGTAATATAAAATGTCGTTTTCTTTTTATGAACTATTCTCGTTAATTGCTCTTCTTTTTTCTAAAACATACGTTTCAAATTTCATTTTCATTTATTGCGACTTTCTTTGTAATGACAAAAGTCAACCAATTAAGGTGTGGAGTTTAAAACGCCTTTAAAATCAATCACATGTACTGATCATAAATAATATCAAAATTAATATAATATCAAAAATCTTAAAATAAACCGTTTAGAAAAAAAAATCATATTTCAACGTCTATAATAATACACAAGACAAAAATGTTCGCCGGGAAAATCTGCACACCTACCATCAAAATCACCATTTGTTTTATTCCGTTTACAATATTTTCACTGAATACTTTTGTCCAACGGCACAGAAATTATTATTCTCTACGATGATGGTCATTAAAATATAGACAACGCAACAGGCGAAATAAAAATCAAGATTATCGCGGTTTACTCTATTTACAAAATCTTTCGACAAATTTAAAAATAGCTCTAAGCTTTGCCCCGCGCTTTCAAGATGAAAATCACTCTGGCTAAAGTAAGAGCCATTCGGTGTAAAGTGGTTTTCATATTTAAAGCGCGGCGTATTTGAATACGTGAAAACTGGGGAACCCGTTTTGAATGTGTCGAAAGATTTTTTCAACTGCTTGCCACAAAAGTCATGTCTACATCAAAAAATGTGTTGTCATAAACGCTTGTTTCATATCTATGTGTTGAGCTTATCTGACGCTTACGTAACTACAATGTTGTTTACATACAGGTCTGTTAAATTGTCACATCTGAATTATATAAAGGTACATGAAGTCTATAGATTCTATAACACTTTAAAGGGAAAATTTGTCTTAGTTAATATAATATTAAATCAAAAAGTATAGTTAAAACATTAATGTGTAGTATTCTTGATATACATGTACATTTAGTGTTATCATTTGTCGTTTTTGCTAAAGCTTTGGTTCGTTGAAGAAGACAAAAGCGCACTGGCAGTCATATAAAAGGTTGCCCAGTACAAATGTATAATCTATATCAAGCAGATAAAAGCTGGTTATGCAAAAGGCAGATTAAGGAGAAAACACAAATGTCATTTTATAAAAACCTACATATATACATACAACTTATTGAACCTAAAAACATATAACGTTTTGTCTAATGTTTTGGTCTTACACATTTCACTTTCATAACACTTATTGTCTACGTGTAAGTAGAATTAACAAGCTCCTGAGAAAGAAGGCATTTTTCGTATTTTTAATATAACTATAACTGCTTGTAATATTATCTTAAAAAAGAGAATAAAACACTAAAATATTGTTGTTGTTTCAATAGGTTCTATCACTGTTTAAATTATATACGATATATCAAATGCTTGTTTAATGTCATCAACACTACTGTATTGCTTTCGCCGTACAGAGACTTATATTTGCTAGCATCTTGAGATGAATCTCGAGTACGCATTAAGAAGGGCATATACTTGTAGTTATCCGTGTTCAGCACTTTTGATCAGCAGTTTACAAAAACGTTCACAAGATTATGTAAACATAACACTATTGTGCAGAAGCGTTCATCAAACAATCTTGAATCTCCGCAACCAAGAAACAGTAAGTTCTACACATTGCTATTGCTACCAATAACATTTAACCCAACATAAATCATTTTTTTTATATAATTGACATACAGGCAACGTTACGACATTTAAAATTTCTTTTTAGATATTTCTCTATAGCTGTGCTATCTGTCCTTTAGAAATGTATATCGGGGTATTGATTTTACTAACACAAGCAAACCTATTACAAAAATAGCACAGTGTTTTATTAAACCCGCAAATTTCAAAAAATAGATATGGAGGACTATATTACAGATAACTCGATTTATTTAAAGTTTAAACGGAAAAATAAATATTAATAAAAATAGTGGCAAACTGCAAGTTTTATATATACTTTCGGTTTTGAATGTCATTTCACCTGTGCTAATGTGTCTGTTTAAGCTGACATTGAAACATTAAGATAACGTTTACATAAAGTGGATTACACTTGGTGAGGATATAATGGATACCTGAAAAAGGTAAATAAAGAGAGACTCAGTGATGAAAGTAATGATGAAACCCAACTAATTAAAAAAGTCACTGATAATGACTTGAATGCTTTTTAAGAAATAAATGTCCATGAGCTGACTATATGGAATACTGACACAGCATTACAAACAAATGACAAATGACCTAATACATTTGTAGCTCCCTTTTCATACTGGTACTAGGCATAATTAGGAAAAGTAAAGGACGAGACATAGGTATCAGTGTGGTTCAATTTTATCAATTTTTTTTTATCAATTTGATAGACAAATAATGCCTATTTGACTTTCTTCATGACTTATGTTGTTTTTTTCTTTTACGCCGAATTTAAAACATTTGTAGACATATCTCGGCGGTTTGACTGCCGGATTAGGCTTCCTTGATATCCTACCAGTAGTTTCTAATTTCTCCGACCGACAACTTATCTGAATGATTTCTATAATATGATAAAAAAATATTAGTTTGAAAGTTTCACAATCAGTCATAGTTTGCAAGTTGTACATTTGAGACTCTTAAGAATAAAACCTTGTACTTTTTAAATGCAATATCTCTACTATATTAAGGCTGAGTGTATTTTGAAGGTTCGTATAATTATGTGTTAGCGCCATATCTATAACCAAGAAAAAGATCTTTTATTTTCACTATACGTTGAAAACACGGGACGTCATCAAGTAAATAAGTAAACATAATAAACAGATTTATCTTTAATCTTATTACTTTTTCACATGTAGCAAAATACGAAATTTCAATAAGAAGGTTCTTATGCAGTATTTGTCATTTCATAATGCGTGAACATGTTCTTTATTCATTTCTTTTTTATTTAAAATACTCTTAGACCTTCAACAGATGTGAATATTATTTCCTCAAAATCAACTATCAAATATTCTACTTCTATTGAGGACTTTGAGAAAATTGAACATTGTCAATCAAGCATGCAAGAATTGTTAAACTTACTGACGACAAAGGTTCCAGAGTTGGTCGAAAAAGCCAAACAAGAAATACACTTTACGGTGAGTGTTAATATTATCTGTAATTTAAGAATCGTTAAAATTCAATTCAACGGAAAAAAGTTTTATTTTGTCCCTTCAATCTTGATTGTCTTTAATCATGCAATGTTAAATAAAATCCTCTGCAAAATTTTATTTTTTCTTCTTTGCCGTCTTATACAAATACACAAATGTCTTATTAAAACTGCAAGCCTACAGATGAGCAAATTTAGAATATATCAAAGAAAATAAGATGAGAAAACTTTGCTTATCTTTAAGAAAGGCAAAAAGATTCAACTTAAAGATTGAATGAATAAATTTTACATGAAATTGTCCGATATTGCAGTCCTAATCAACATTTCTGTACAGTAACTGCGTAACTCAAACGCAGTAATGACTATTTTGCCTATTTTGTCATTTTTGGTAATTGTCATGGTTTGTAAGTACCGTTTACGATGTGTATATTACTTTCTGTGTTCACTTAAAATAGTTTACTTTCAAGTACATTTTCAAAATGTTTATGGAAATTAGCATACATCAAGAAGATTGCTGATTTCTTTCCTGAGGCCATTCAACACTTTTAAAATTAAAGACAGGGTTTTTCAAATAGGAAAATGGAAGCTTTCAAGCAATCCAAGTAAACCATTACTATATTAACATAATGTTGAATCTAATACACATGAAATTTCAGCAAATATATCAATTTATCAGTAAAGTGATATTGGCACATTGGGAAGTACCTTACTTCATCTACTCTCGTGACGATTTATGATAATTTGAATACTCTTTATGAATTTGTTTAGGTATAATACTTGACAAAAAATTAAAAATTACTTAACATAAATCTTTTTCTAAAAAAAATATTGTCAGCAAAAAAAGTCAAATACATTTTTCCTTTTTTTCTTCTTTTCAGATTGCATCGATATGTATAGAAGCACAATATGTATTGTATATGTAGGTCAATACAAGATAGTTTGTTCTATTACTATTTTAGGATGTAAATACAACTGAAGTTGCCAAATTAGAAAGAGAAAATGAAGGCCTCCGACGTGAATTGGATACATCTCGAAAGAGTACAGATAAGTACTCTGAAATGAAAAAAAGGTACGACGATCTTCAAAAAAAGTTCAACGAAAGTGAAGAAAAGAATAAAAAACTGAAAGATATCGAGAGGAAATATTTGGAATACAAAGATGAGTTGCAGAAAGCATATGATAAAGAGGAACAGAAACTGCAACTAATCATCAACGAACAGAAAGATAAAATCCAAGCTCTAGAGCATGAAGAGAGTAAGACAAGAATAAATTACCGAGAACGATATGAGTCCCGTACTACTGACAAACGGGAATCAGAGAGATATTCTACATTGGAAAAACAGCTTAAAGACACAAGGGAGAAACTAAGGAACACTGAGGCAGAACTAGATGATACTAGAACAAGGTAATTTAAATATATTTTTTTCTAAAAAGGTGTGTTGCTTTAAATTTGTTTTTAGAAAGGAAAGTATATAATAAATTACTGGATATTTAACCGGACGACTCAACTCATAATTACTTTTCAGACTAAGCAGAGCATTGGGAAATAAACTCATTGACAACAATCTAAATATTGCCGATTTAAGTGACAGAACCCGCCCGACGAAACTTGCAGAAGTATATCAGGAAATTTACGATAACGAATGGGTGGAAGCATTTGAAAGACTCATCGCTATGCAAGCTGATGACGAGGAAGCAGTAATTTCAACATTGGTCACCATTCTTGTGGTAATGCAAAGTTTATTTTAGCATTAAAGTTCTATTAATTGAAAATGATAAATTAAACAATTGTCAAATTACACAACATTTTTATAACATACGCTATCATTTAAACAGTCGTCAAAAGGCTTTATCATATAATCTAAGAATAGCTGCAGTCTCATTGGTTCAAACAGTAGTCAACAGAACAAATTATCTTTTAAAAAAGCCAAAGAGTTAAAGTTTAGATATTCGGTGAAATTAAATCATTTTCTAGTAGAATGATATTCTAGTAGGTGTCTGTCAAACTTGGCCATGCCCCAGGGGGCATTGATTTTCCTTATATGTATATAGTAAAAAGAATCGTCTTCTTAAAAAATCTAAAGAGCTAGAGCTTTCATTTTTAACATGAAACATCTTCTATTATGTGTCTACCTAGTTTGTTTGTTTGTCATGGATTGACTTTCCACAGCAACCATACATTCCAAAAGCAACCACTGATTTTTTTATAGCAACCAGTGTCTTCCATAGCAACCAGTGAATTTTCAAAGCAACCAGTGACTTGTCATATCAACTAGTGACTTACATGGGAACAATTGACTTTCCATGACAACCGTATACCTCTTTAGCAACAAGTGATTTTCCATAACACACTGACTTCCCATTGCAACTAGTGATTACATAGACTTTTCATAGCAACAATGGACTTTTTTACACTAAAGGAATTGCTGTAGCAACCAGCGACTTTTTATAGACTTTAAACTTTCCATATGATCAATTACCATTCCATGGCAACCATTGACATTCCATAGCAATCAGTAACCAAAATCGCAAACAATGAATTTCCATGACAACCATTGACTTGCATAGCAACCACTTACTTTCCATAGCAAACACTTACTTTTCATAACAAGCAGTGACTTTCCTTTGAAACCATTGACTTCCATATCAACCAGCTACTTAACAAAGCAACCATTTACTTCCATGGCAACCATTAACTTCCAAAAGCAACCAGTGACTATCATAGCAACCAGTGACTTTCTTTAGAAACCATTGACTTCCGTTACAACTATTGATTTTCCATAGTAACCAGTGACTTCCATAGCAACCAGTAACTTTCCATTGTAACTATAGAGTTACATAGTAACCAGTGACTTTCCGTTTCAACTAATGTCTTCATATAGCAACTAGTAACTCTCATTACAACCATTGACTTTCCATGACAACGATAGACTTCATAACCAACCAGTGATTTTCCATAATACCCCGATTTCCCACAGCAACCAGTGACTTAAATAGTAATGACTTTTCATAGCCAGCATATATTTGTTTAGCATTAAATGTCTTGCCGTATCAACTAGTGTCTTTCAATTTACTTTCCATATCAACCAGTGCTTTTCCATGGCAACCATTTACTTCCATAGCAACCACTTACTTTTCATAGAAACCAGTAGCTTCCATATCAACCAGTGTCTTAACGTAGCAACCATTTATTTCCATGACAACCATTAACTTAAAAAAACCCACTGACTTTCATAGCAACAATTGACTTCAATAAAAACAATTGATTTTTCATAGCAGCCAGACACTTCCCTTGACTTCCGGTGACTTCCTATAGAAACCATGGAGTTCTATAGCAACCAGTGACTTTCAGTTACAACCAATGACTTCCCATAGTAACGAGTGACTCTCATAGTAACTATTGACATTCAATTGCAACCATAGTCTTCAAGCACTCAATGACTTCTAATAACACCCATTGACTTACCCATAGCAACTGTTAAATTTCCATAACAACCAGCGACTTTTCCATGCAATCCTGACGTTCCATACCAACTATTGACTTCCATAGCAACCTTTTAAATTCCAAAGCAACCGTGGTATTCAATAGCAACCAGTGACTTTCTTAGCAATCTTTTACTTTCATAGCTAACAGTGACTTCATATAGCAATAAGTGACTCTTATGGCAACCACTGACTTTCCATAAGAATCATTGTCTTTTCCCAGCAACTGCTTGCTTTCCATAACAACCATTTACCATTTACTTCTATAGCAATCAGTTACATTGCAACCATTGAATTATCATAGCAAACTGTAAAATTTTCAAAGCAACCAGGAAGTAACGGTGTCAGCCCGGTGAATTTTCATATCCTTTGTTCTATTGTAAATCAGTCTTATTTGAGGCTTAATTCTGGATTCCAATGTTCTTGATGAATTATATATTGTCTTCAACTTTAAACATCAACATTATCTTAGTCAAATGAGGTCCAAAATATAATAGGTTAGCTATCTACTTTTTTTTAGAAATCTTCATTCTGTTTTAACACTGTTTACCACTTTGAAAATTCCGTACCGGGTTGAGACCTTACATTGTAAGCATTGACATTTTTACATAGCTACCAGTGATTTCCACATCTATTTTTCTTAGCAACGAGTGAATCTACCATTAAATTCCATAGCATTCAGTGACTTCCAAGAAAAACACTGATTTCCTTAGCAACTATATTGTTCCTACAGCAAAAGCAACTATGAATTTTATGATATCAGTTTAAGATTTAAATTTTAGATCTGCTTTTGCTTAAAGTTTGCCTTGTCATTTTGAAAAAGCTCGTAAAATAAGGTGGCATTTTATCATGTTTCGTGAAAATATATTCCATATTTCACTGAAACGAAAAAATATCCTCTTAATATTCAATGGTTCTTTTATCGATAATTGTATAATTATACGCATTTAATATGTCTAATGCATGCAATACCTCGATGTGCTAGTAACGTAAGAAAGTGATCACATGCCTAATATAATTATATTTTATTTTTCGAAAGAATAAAGAGAAAGTTCTAATTTATTATTTTTATATATTTCAGGAAACAAAGTGTGTTTGCGAAAAACTTGCAGAAAAGCAAATGAAAGAAATACAACTTGTCATAACACAGGACGACATAAAAGTATTTCGCTTCATAATTTTATATCGGTTACATGCTAAGATTAAGGCATGCATTTCGCAACCAATATCTAAATTGGATGACAATTTTATTACGTGCACTCAAAGTCTTTATAGGATAACCAATTTTGCCAAAGAGCAACTACCACACAGGTCCTTTTGCAATCGACAAAACAGATAAGATATTTGTCAATCAAAGTAAAGTGATGTAAACATCTCCCGTTTGTTTTTATAAAAGTACAATATAACAAGTATAATTTCAAATTTAAATCCTTCATTGTAGTAGAGAGGGTAATTTTCATTATTAACAAGTAAGCTTAGCATTAATATTTGACATCTCTGACACTCATTTTTTATAAACTTTTACTAAAACATGAATAATGATATTGTTATTACCAGAAGAATGATGTTTTATTTAATCAAATATTATTGTAGGTGGACAATTGTGTAATTTCAAGTATTTACAAACCATTGAAGGAATGTAGGAAAGCTGTGGCTGTATATTCTGGGAAGCAAGTGCATAAGGTATTGGATCAAGCTTTTATATATATTATATACATTGTGTATTACCTGTCGGGGAGGAGACATGTTGTTTTAACCTGGTCAAAAGGCAGGCATTTTAGTAATAATTCAGCAGTTTATGCTACATTGAAATGGACATATGTTACCGCTTTTTAACTTGGGCTTAATTTTACCAGCCTGCTTCCAAATCCTTAATGTGTAGAATTTCACCTATATTGAGTTTTATATTACTTGTGGTCACAGTCGTCAAGAGAAACTTGATGTGTGATCAACCCATTACGTCTTAAACTCTTTATTCTTCATGTGACCATGATGTCAAAGGTCATATTCACAAGCTCTTCCTTTATTTACCTCATGTGATCATGAGGTCAAAGGTCATATTCACCATGCTCTTCCTTTATTTACTTTTACATTCCATTTAAAAGCTTCAAATATATATATAGATATATACAGTAGCCTCGTCACTATTATTTCAACAGGGTTTTCTTTGTTTCATAATGTTTCTCATCTTCAACTTCGGTTATGAATTGATTTCATTGTTTAATACTTATCTGTGCACTTGTAGAAATACCTTGAAGAACTGAAAGAATCCAGAACATTCACTGCAGTAAAAGTTAGATCTGTTCCGAAATATCTCGAGGCATGTTTCAACTTATGTTGGCTAATGACAGTAAGTAATATTCGCCATTTTGTCATGTTTTTGTCAAGTATTATGTGTGTTACATACATTGCAACATGAAATATACGAAACTATACTTCCCTACTAGGCCTGTAACATTGTATTGTATATAATATTATTACAAAATCTATATTTCATTGAAAATGGGTATCATACTGACTCCCGTTCTTATTGTGGTGTCTAGACGAATACAATTTGTTTGATAAGCGTAAATCTCTGTAACCTCATTGTGGCGTAGTCTTATGTACAGAATATATCTATATAACATATGTTTCAAAGCGACCGACTTTTTGTACCTTGAATCAATAAAGTTAACAGTATGTTTGCACATCCGGATTAGATAGGAAAATTCAGCATTTGTCGTTTTCGACAAAAAGAACTGCTACGTTTCTATTGCATCTGTGCATACACAAACTTATTATAGTCTTCATTGGAATATTATCTTCCGTACACAACCTTTAGTGTTATCATTTGGTTGTCACAATTTCTGAACAATATTTGATAACATTAATAACAAACTGGTACAATAAGTTTATCGAACCGTAGAATGCTTAGATTCTAGGCCGACAGAAAAATATATATATTAACATATTACAATATTTTATAAAATGCAGCTTATAAGAGTAGTATAGATTTGTTTGGTATTTTGTTGAGTCTAATTAATAAATTCAAATATTATCAACTTTTCATGATTTCAGTTTATGATCATTTTAGGTTCAAGACCCTCCTCTTTGCTTTGGTCCTAATGTTAGGCGAGGAGATGTTTTCAATACGGATTTATACAAAGCATACACACAGAGAGGAAACACTGTGGCGTATGTTGTTTTGCCTGCTCTTTTATTGCATAAAGGTGGTGCAATTCTTTGCAAAGGAGTTGCTCAAGGAAAAGCAGATTATTCGCAGCGACCAAAATCTGCACCAAAATTGTATGAAAGACATCTCAATTCAAATGATGAAACTGATGTTTTCTTCTCTAGCCCAAACCGATACCCGGAAGGATATATGGATGAGAAGACATCATATGATATTAAAAGGCCGTACTCAACAAAAGCAAGCCTACCGCATAGATATGGCACATCTGAGTATTCGAATAGCGATCTGAGCGATGCAAGTCAATATAGCACATATAAGTGGGATCATAATTATAAATACAAGAAATATGAGCGACCGTACAATGACTACCAGGCGAGCATTAGTCATCGCAAGGCTAGAGTAAAATAGATAAATACAGAAGCCCTGAAACGTCATCACGTTATCGTAGTAGACCTCATTACACACAGGAAAAAGTAATACACCCAACGGTTTGGAGATATTGAGGTGTCGGTCAAATCTTTTAGTTTGGAATTAATTAGATTATGTACTACTAGGTGTTTTGACTGAATGGGTTTTAAATATTAGTTTATAAGTTTATTTTAATACTAAATCCATGAAAAACATGGCAATGTGAGCTATAACAATTTACATAATAAACCATATATACGATGATCGTATAATTATACATTGATATATCTCGCATTTTTATACAAGGGCAAACCCATTTTGTATAAAACACATTTCATATGCTTTGTATTAATTGCCAATATCGTTACTAATACATTATCCGTTATGAACTCCAATAACATGATCTTATAGAAATTTCCCAACTTTATTAAATAAATTCAAAAATCATTTACAATGTATTTATCTTTAATCAAATTTTATAAAAATTTCCTTTACAAATACACAAAGGTTTTTTATTTTATTGTTGTGTATCTATATTCATTTTTATTCCGGAATACTTAGTGGCCCTATACATTGGCAATGTAAAGCCCTTTTTATGCAGTAAATTATTTCACTCTTATCAGATAGTGAAATTTCATTACCGATGCAAGAATTAAAGTTATAAAGTATGTACTTTCACTGGTAAAGTTCTGTTCCCTTACAGTGATGAGAAAAATTTTATAGACTTTAATCCAACAGGTTGATTCTTTCGGATATTTGTAGAATTTACTTTTGATTTTCTGTACATAACAGATGATGGTACAAAGGAAATCACTGTTTTCAGATGCTATAAAATAAAATCAACCCATTTGTAAATAAAACAAATCTTAATCATTAATTATATTCCGAGGAGTATATGTGTTTTTTTCTTCTACTTAGGGTAAATATAACACACAATTTCATGTTTTGACAATCGATGACAAAGCAAAACATACATGTATACTATTAATTCCAAATTAAAAGTTCAACGCTATTAACTTTATGTCACTTATTGACCATCCAGAACGAAAATTGAATGCCAACTGTAAATAAGATAAGTAAAACATTTGTGTTGTACTTATCATTATTTGTTTCTTTTATTATTTTATAAGTGACTTTGTTGAATAAAGAAATAGAAAGTTATTTAACAACAAAAAAAATGAATTAAAAAGTTGCTTTTAATAACAAATATGTATTTTACTACTAAAATTTTACTATTAAGTAGCCTTCATTTTTTATTTTATTTTAGATTATACTAACATATATGTTATATACGGAATACTTATACACATGTCTGCATGGGTCTCCTCTCTGCTAAAGTATGTTTACTTTTGTCTGTATCGGCGTGGTTATGGCCGTTTACTTCGAACCACTTGCTCCTCACCACTGTAGACTCAAATCCCGACAACGAGTTTGAATTTGTTCATGTGAGAAATCTAAATAGCTGTCGCACGGTACATAAATGGTCTCTGCAAATGTTGATGAATATACTTTAAACAGAATCATAGTTGTTATTATATTATGTATTATAATAAGAAATGATGAACACAATGCAATAAAATCTATTTAATTACTTGAAGTGTTTTATATGAGTGCATTGATTCGGTGAGAAATAAAAAAAATAAAAGTATTTTTGTCGTGTTTCTTTTTAACAATACTATTAAAATTTGAAGTAAAACAAGTCAAAAACAAATTGTGTGCAGCATCTATTTAAAGATGCACTATTATGATAAGGTTACCAATTCAATTATGGCATGGAATGTTTCAATTCAATATGAGAGAATTTCATACCTGAATTTATTGAAATTATCACATATTCATATAAACGTTTCATTTTGCAAAACGAAAGTTTAAAGCAATATGAAAGATACGATGTTTTTACCCGAAATATATGTTTGTATTTTACAAATTTGTAACATATTTGACCGAGTGTGTGCACGTGACTGTCTGGTAATATTGTCGCGCCAATTATTTAGATTTTCATATAAGGGCAAATAACTGCTTATATCTTCCATTTTACTCACGCAGTAATTATTTCCCTTTTACACAGAAAGGTGTGACTTCACTATTGAATGTGTACTGAATCAGACAACTGTTCAATAAAGTAGAAAAACAATTCGAATGTTTAGAACAAAAATAATGTCATCGAGAGTGACATTGATTGTGTCAATCCTCAAAACTTAAGGTCGCAAACGATCGGACTTTCAAAAACGTATTTAAACTATATGTTACTAGTCTCCTGTGTATTGGTCAACTGTTTCACTATCGTTCACTTTCTTAGTGAAGCAACGTTAAAGTATTCACAAAGCTACAAATGCAGTGTAATATGTAATCGATTGACTGATGATTTAAAACTATATTGTCACAATTTAAATATGTCATAAGCGTGAAGTGCATAATAATGACAATAACAATAAAAGTAAAACAATCCTGATAACAAGGCAAGGCTTAAGAAGCTGAAATCAAATGTAACACGAAAATACAGCATGGGTACCATTAAAAGCTGTGCAGCTTTTAAAAGGAAGTTATTATAGTATCCAGAAATATGCACTGACATCGCTCAATATTTACTATTATATTGACGTTAAAACTTGACCTGGACCTTATGAATCTTACAGCTTCGACGTGTTTGAATAAGATAACATATCAGCCTTTCTGACCGTTGTTTTCTGATATATACATGTACGTTATGGTCATCAAGAATTGGTATCTATGTCTTTTAAATGTGATTAGATGCTAAAAAACATATAATTATGTTTGCTTTAAAATTGAATATTATTTTCAAGTTCAATGAGAATAAAAAAGAAAACGCAATACACACAGATAAGTAATGGCTTTAAACATTCTAAGAAAGCATTAAAGGAGAAAGCAAAAAAAAACATATGTTACGAAAGACCGATGAGGACATTTCAACTCCACGAATTCCCAACTTCATCTTCGTGAATTCACAATGATTTATTTCTCCGTTGTGAATTAACTATAATTCAACTTCATGAATTCACGATTTTAACTAAAGATTGCCTGTAATAGGAATTACTTATACCTACTATATTAACGACTGCGACACCACACCCCTTGTTAATAATAGATTTGTGACGTTAATCGTTTAATCACAAGCTTAAATAAAGTCGAAATAGTTGGTTCATCTAAAATGAATTAAGACCCTGTTTAACATCTTTTGTGTGAGAAAAAGGCAATGTTAAGGAAAGAAAGGAAAAGTAACAGTCGGCTAAATGTAGCTTTGTTGAAAAGTGTAATAGTTCCTATGCCAAACAGACAATTAGCATTGACAATTCATTTCGATCTAAGCAATTGCATTGAATAATACTAACACACGGGTATATTGTTTACACACGCATATATTGTAAACTGTGTTTTGTACCTGCATTACATGAATGTTGTCGTTAACGACGGAAATAAATAAATTGCATGTATTTTATTTCATTTTCTTACAAAGTTAATACAAAATTAGATATTTTTATATTTTCAATGAAGAAACATTAACACGTTACATTGAATGATTATGCCGCTTTGAAGGTCGTTTTAAGTAGGCAATGTTTGTTTTATAAAATCTGACACATAACTATGTAGTCATGCATGTTTAAGATTGATCAAGCGATGTCCCCAATATATTTGAAATGAAATTAGATTACCTTGTTTTATGTAAAATGATCGATACTCGCATTATAATTCAATCAATAATTATTCAAATATTCAATTATACAAAAGCTTCCAAAATATTCATTACTTTAAGTAATAAAAAATGTATTCACCATATCATGAATTAGATTTGAATAGTTTTATTGTACGTTTTATAGAGTTTACATTTATAAATAATTTCAATGACAGATAACTAACTTACACGTTCGACAAACATTGCTAAATAGGTCATGTTCTTCACAGCATTAAATTTCACGAATTTCTATAAAGACATTTTAAATAGTCTTAAGTTAAGAAGAAAAAGATAAACTAACTTACAATACATTAAAATCAGAAAATGCAATGAATATAACTCAAAAAAATGGTCGGTTATCCCCTTTTTTCTGTCATCCTATTGAATTTTCTGAAACCATCCTTTCGGAAGCGCACCGACAAAAAATATAACTGTATTCCATCCGCGCAAGTTTGCTTAGATGATACAGGTGACACAGTTACTTAAGACATTTTGAATCGTTTTAATGTCACAATCATTATACTTTTCTATATCAAACGCTTTTGAACAAGTGTTTACATGTTTAACTTGAAAAGAGGTCGTTGTGATTTAATATTTTACCCTGCTGTCACCTCGCCACACGAAAGGTAAGAGTTTAAGTTTTCAAATGTATTTATATCAATAATTTACTTAGAACGAAATTTAACGTCGTATGTTTGTTTTACATAATTTGTTATGAACTTTATTATTTTACAAATATACTCATTGAAATATTCTTTTCTCAAAAATCAATTGGTTGTAAACATATTTTAAATGAAACAAAAAAACCTATCTCGGAGATAAAAGACCGTGAGTAACTACAGTCTTATTAAAGGTTCGATACGCTTTTTTAAAGTATTTTAGTGGTAAATATACAATCAATTTACAATTTTATACATCGTGGAAACAGACAAAATTCAATGGACGACGAATTAAATGAGGTTTGTGATATATTGGTTAAATCACAAATTCAGTTAGAAGATTGCAGATACATTGCCGAGGTAAGTTAACGTATACTTCATGAATAAAGTTTTTTTTTATTTGCAAGTGTTTTGAATGATCAGCAAACATGTTAATTTATTCATTTCATGATAGCTTTCATAACATAACAAAGTAATATTCTAATTCATACATACTAAAACACTTTTTTCAGTCATATTTTGTGTCTGCTAATATCTAAAAATAAACGAAAAGTTTTATACATTGAAATATAAAAGATGATGATGTTAATGAGTCCGTTAAATATTAGATTAAGTCATTAATTTTACGCTTCAGGATCAAGATACGGAAAATTTTTTGCTTAAAAACGAACTTTGGAATGCACAAGATGAAAATAAAGCCCTAATAAAACAGCACAATTCGGATTTGCGTGCGAGAGATAAATGCATATCCGAGTTGGACGAAAAGGTTCTTCAGTTACAACACGAATTGGAATCTAAAACTAATGAATTACAAAGGTATGAAATAATGTATTTTAATGAAAAATATTATGGCCAAGGTTTTTTTTGTACATTTAAACGACCGTTTATATTTTGCATTTCAACTAATACCCTTTATTTATATCAAATAACACAAATTTAAGTCTTTTGTAAATAGATACTTTACACACTGATAAAATTTTGTTCAATACAGTTCTGTATGCATTGAGTGTATTTATTATTTCTCATTATTACTGGCCCATTTTATTTATCAGTTTATCGATTTTGTCAGATTTTGTTATGCGACAACCATAGTTGTATATTACCATATCTTTTACGAGCCTAGCAAACTGTTTTACACATGATTAAGTTTGTTTCATTGTTTTTAATTTTATTTATTATTCATTTACCCGTTTATTTATTGTGTTTGTTTTGTTTCTTTCGTTTTTCTTGATTATTTATCCTTTTTAGCTCACCTGAGCTAGCTCGGGTGAGTTTTTAGGCTCGTTGAATGTCCGTCGGCCATTGTCTGTCGTCCGTCGTCCGTCCGCACTTGTTCATTGACACTCTAGCGGTCACTTTTTTGCCTCAATCATCATCAAACTTTGTCGGGATGCTTATCTTGTTGACAGCTCAAATGAGTTTAACTTGGGTCATATCAGATGAAAAACTATGTCACAAGAGCTAAAAAATAGCAAAATCTTGTTAACATTCTAGTGGTCACATTTGTGTCTCAATTGTCATTAACCTTGGTCAGGATGCTTGTCTAGGTAATTGCTCGAATACGTTCGAACAAGTGTCATCTCAGATGAAAAACTAGGTCACAGGAGCTAAATATAGAAAAAACGTGTTAACTCTCTAGTGGCTACTGTTTTAATCCAGATATCCTGTAAATTAGTCTGAAAGTTTGCTTTGATGATTTCTAGTTCAAGTTTGAATATGGGTCACCTGGGGTCAAAAACTAGGTCACAGGAGCTTAAATAGAAAAATCTTGTTAACACTCTAGTGGCTACTGTTTTGATCCAGATATCATGAAAATTGGTCTGAAAGTTTGCTTTGATGATTTCCAGGTCAAGTTTGAATATGAGTCACCTGAAGTTAAAAACTAGGTCACACTGCCCAAATATGCAAAAACCTTGTTAACATTCTAGTGATCACATTTTTGACTCAATTATCATCAAACGTGGTCAGGATGCTTGTCTAGGTAATTTCTCGGACATGGGTTATCTCGCATGAAAAACTAGGTCACCGGAGCTAAAAATAGAAAAATCTTGTTAACACTAGTGGCTACTGTTTTGATCCAAGTATCCTGGAAATTGGTCTGAAAGATTGTTTTGATGATATCTAGGTTAAGTTCGAATATGGGACACCTGGGTAAGAAACTAGGTCACACTGCTCAAATATGGATTATCCTTGTTAAAACTGTAGTTGTCACATTTTTGACTCACCTGTCTAGGTAATTGTTCGGATGAGTTCGATGGGTCAGGTGAGCGATCTTGGGCCATCATGGCCCTCTTGTTCATTTATCCGGTTTATTTATCTTTTTTATTCATCTTTATTAATTTGCTTACATACATGTTTTTATTTATGTATTCATTTTGTTGATATCTCCTTCAATCAACTGCATGCACTTAATTGATAGCTTAAATAAGATATAACAATTATAAAACAAATCAAAACATCTATATCAAATTAAAGTATTCAAGGTATTTTTTAGCATGCGTCAAGAAATTATACAGCTTTCTGCAAACCTCAAAACAAAGGATACCGCTGACATCAAAGACATTTTGGATTCATACAATGAGCTTTATGATACACATCATTCAAATGCATTTGAAGAATTAGACAAAATAATCAAGGACGAGAAGGAAATAGTAATGATTCTAAAAAAGATTCTCTTTGTAAGCAGGAGTGACTTTGACTTTGATAAATATACAACCGCAATGGATTTATTTATTAGATGTTTGTAATATTTCAGAACTTTTAACGATTCGACTACAAAATGTACAGTTAAATGTATTATTGTTGATTTTCAGTCCCATACAAACCGATTTATTTTTCCGATCTCTTTTATTGCAGTTCAAGTTGTTTATCTAGTAGCACACATATAATTCTTTTCCGAAGAATATGCATGTTTAGCTAAAACTTTAAAGAGTGTGATGGCTACAAAAAATATTTCATTTATATGGCTTTCAGTGACAAATTTATCTTTTTAGGACGCTATGCAATATATTGAAAACGAAAAAGAAGGGAAACAGTTCCGAATAAGTAAGCCAACAAAAGAATCTGCCCTTGAAGTAAGTTATATGTTTTTGGGCTATAGTTCAATCAAGATAACTTAGTAATTTGATCAAGAACTGAGCAAACAAATTTCATTAGTTCATTATCCTCCTTGACTCTTTTTTAAGTGTTTGTGTATGATTTTTCTTCACGTCCCACGCACTTATTTTCCTTTTTTATGTGAATAATGTGGGTATCTGCATACAGCACATGCCTCGTACTGAAATTGTAACGTGATACAATGTTGAATTAGATTTCACTTCTTGGTATATATTGCTTTACCTCCTTATCATATAATAATCAGTCATCTTTTAGTTGCATATATTTTGTTAAGCAAAATGTATATACTGTAACAGTAAACTTCACTGTCTTACTTATCTCACTGTTCCGATGACACAAGAGAAATAAAGCAAGGAGATATATTATGTCCATTGCTATTCGCACAAGTTGCAAAGGCGTTAACATTAAAATATACTTAAGTTACATTTTATTAAATACTCGTGTCCATGTAAAGATTGGCGATGATGTGTTCCTTTACAAGGAACATACAAGTTCCCAAAAAGTTCGATACTAACAAAGTTTCCTGTATTTCATATATAAATTACAGGTCTGAATCAAATGAGATATGTTTTTATTTCAGAAATACTTAAAATATTTGAAGTCGCAAGATACCAAAATTCCAACAGGTTACGGTGCTGTCAGATCTTACATAAACAAATGTTTTGACGTGTGTTGGGAAATATATGAGAACAAAGACAAACTGAAAATTCAAAGCGACAATACCACACATAGAGACATTTTCTCAACAGAAATGTACAGAGCCTTTACTAAAACAGGGACACTCATTGATTACTTAGTATGGCCTTCGTTGTTACGCATTGATGGAACATCCATCGTACTAAAAGGTGTTGCCCAATGTCAGTAAAACAGTGTAGTTAAATAAATAGAAATATACATATCTAAAATAAATATGTTTTATTTCATCGTTAATCTCTTGTTCCGTCCTTTTATATCAATTTATATATTGAAACATACAAATTGAACACTGTCGCAGTGAAATGTTACAACTATTGCTTGTGTGTTGATTTTGTAATAAATACATATTCTTTATCAGTAAAGGCATTTTGTTATTTCTTATATTTTATTTTTTATTTTTCTAATATTTACTTCTCTTGATTCTTTTTTCAAATGTTTGCCCAAAGACTCCAAAAATAATTTGTCGAGTGTTTCTTTTTTCAATTATTTATTAATGTCAGTTAATGGATGATGAAAACTTTTTTAATTGAGTTATTCAATATATTTAAACAAACACCATCTCCCAAATATGTTATTGACCTATTTGTGTGATAATACTATTAAAAGGTATGAACGAGCCAATTGAAACGTGGAAATAATCGCAATCCCTACCCCAAATCCCGACCACTTGTTTCTATTTTTCTATCACTGTCCAAAAGCAAAATGTTTTCGTTTGACGTTGTCATAATTTAAACCACAAAACATAATCACACTGCGACCATGTAAACATGTAGTTAGTTACTTCTGTAGATTTCAATCACATTGACTTTTGATAGCAACCAATAATCTATATATATATATCAGAGAACGACTTTCAATAGCAACTTGTGAATTGATAGTAACTATAAAAAACAAACCCGAGACTTCCATATCAAGCATGTTCTTTTCATTACAATCAATGACTTTCATTTGTGTGCCCCCAGTTTAGGGGCCGGGGGCATTTAGATTTAACCCTGTCCGTCCATCCGTCCGTCCGTCCTTTTTTCGTTCGTCCGTCCGTTCTCTTTTGTGTCGCACGTAGCTCAAAAAAATGTGACATAGAGTCATGAAACTTTACAGGAATGTTGATCAGCATGTGTAGTTGTGCACCCGGGTATTTTCGTCTGGATTTATTCAGTATTTTTAGAGTTATTGCCATTGACTTAGTAAAAATTTGCTATTTTCAACTTTTGTCGCATGTAAGTAAAAAGTATTGTGACCTAGCTATAGAGTAATGAAATTTTACAGGAATGTTGATCAGCATGTGAAGTTGTGTACATGGGTATTTTCATGTGGATTTTTTAGTATTTTTAGAGTCATTGCCCTTGACTTAGTAAAAAATTATAATTTTCAACTTGTGTCGCACATAACGCAAAAAGTTTTTGACCTAGAGTCACGAAACTTTATAGGAATGTTGCTCACTATGTGAAGTTGTGCTTTTTGTTAGCAAGAGTTATTGCCGTTGACTTAGTAAAAATTTGCAATTTTCAACTTGTGTCGCATGTACCTCAAAAAGTATTTAACCTAGGGTCATCAAACTTCACGGGAAAGTTGATCAGCATGTGAAATTGTACACGTGGATAGTTTCGTATGGATTATTATAGTACTTGCAGAGTTATTGTCCTTGACTTATTAAAAATTTGAAATTGTAACTTGTGTCACAGGTAGCTCAAAAATTATATGACATAGGGTCATGAAACTTTACGAGAAAGTTGATCAGCATGTGAAGTTGTGCACCTGGGCTTTTTCTTGTGAATTTATAGTTATTGTCCTTAACTTAGTGAAAATTTGCAATTTTCAATTTGTGTGGTGCATAGTTGAAAACGTATTTAACCTAGAGTCATGAAACTTAACAGGAATGTTGATCAGCATGTGTAGTTGTGCACCTTAGGTTTCGCTTGTATATTTATCTAGTATTTGTAGAGTTATTGCACTTGAATTTGTAAAAACCGTTTCATTATGCTGTGGTATTTGTTTCTTGAGTGCTTGAGTAAGAATCAAGCAGCTTTACAGGAATGTTATCAACATCACTGAAGCTATGCACCGGGGACTTTGCATGCGGATTTTTTCAGTTTTGTTGAAGTTATTGACCTTGACTTACAGTAGTATGAATTTTCAATTTTCAACTTGTTCATGCAAAGTTCAAAATGTATTTGACTTGTAGGCTTGAAAGTTTACAAGAATCTTAGTCACCATGTGTATTTATGCATCTTGGGGTTCACTTTTCACTTTTATTCAGTATTTGTAAAGTTCTTGCCCTTTACTTAGTAAAAGAGTTTTAGTTTTCAACTTGTGGCACATTTAGTCCAAAAAAAAAGATTTGACTTAGAGTCATATGATTGACAAAACAGTGGAGTTTGGGGCACCCGTGTCCTATGGACACAATTCAAGTTTTTTCAAGCTACACGTGATTCCAGTGGCCACAAAGAGATTTAGCATACAACCTATGTCTTCATTCATTGCAACCAGTGACTTTCAAAAGCGACTATTGGCTTTGCATAGTTATTGTTCTATTCCAAAGCAATCAATTTTTCATCAGTAAGTAATGCATGGAACGCTTATGCTCGTTAAACCGATATTTTATAGAACCGTGATAAAAGAAAATTAAGTTTAATTAAAGCCACACGTTTTTTTACATATATAAAATGAAAAAAACTGTTTTTTTGATTTAGACTAATAATGACCTTTTTCATTTATACTTATCAATATTTTTGTACTTAGCGCTTTTATAATTAGGTGAGAAAATTTAAAGGGACGTTTTTGTCATTGTGAAAGGGAAAAATTTCTTTTTAAAAATTTTAAAAGCTGAAATTGTTTTTGAAAAAAAATTCCAATTAAAAATTTAAAGTAATGGAAAGGTAATATTAAAGGGTAATTTAAAAGTGATTAAATTTCTTCCGCGTGCAAAAGGGTTAAATGAAATTTGTACTTTTTACCCGACCTCCAAAGGGAAAAAACTATGTTTCTAGGTAAAAAAAAACGTAATAATCTTTCACAGAAACTTAACAAATAGATAGAATATAAATAATGTCTTAAAAGTTTTCTATTAGCATATGAAAATGTTAACAAGATTCTCGTAGGTAGCTCATTTGTATTGGTTAAAGTTAACACCAATTAAAGGAAGATAATAATAGTCATAATACATTTAGGTGCTTTGTTTGAAAGTTTGTATGTAATAATATTGAGTTCACACTTGCAAGTAAATATGTACGCTGTTTTGAAACACGTAAAATGAAATTTAAAGTCTCATCTACTTTTTTTAACAATTAGGACGTTGCAAGATTAACTGAATAATATTATAAAATAGTCATAAAACAAGGATGTTTCTGTGATGGCTAATATGTGCCTTACGTGTTTTCGCCAGCGAAAAGTCAAGAATAAGCAGGTTAAAATGGCGGGGGCGCGGAGCGAAAATACGCTTATAATCGAGGGCGCGGAGCAAGATTTAAGAAATAAAACGACGGGGAAGCGGAGCGAAAATACGCTTATTAGCGGGAGCACGGAGCGAAGTTTGATAAATAAAGCTTCGCTCCGCGCCCCCGCTAACAAGCCATTTTAACTGGTTAATTCTCGACTTTTCGCTTGGCGGGGCCGCAATTGAGCCACCATATGTTTTTCATTTTATTTTCATATTTGTAAGACAAAATGACAACCAATGCAGAATCTCAAAAACAGCTTGGGGCAATTCTCTCTTCGGTCAGTGAAAACCTGCGAGTTGCAGTTCAGAAAATTGAAAACTATAGAGAGCATCAATGTGTAAGTAGTTGATATAAAGTGTACTTAATTGTCACGATATATTAATTATAAGCAGGTTATAAAAACAGTTGCAGTAGTCTATTAAAAAAATGCAATTGCCTTGAAAATGGTGAATGGTGTGGTCTTTGTAATTTTAAGTCAGGATCACGCCATTGAGCCACACTGAATTTATCAGAGCACAGTTTAGCCAGCTCATCGTCCATAGGCAGGTTTTCAAGCAGTTTATCAGTACTAATTACCTTCACTTTCGCAAGAAACCAATAACTTCTATTCATGCACGAGCAGGAGTTCAGTGTGAATGATTGTAAAAAGGATTTCACGATCAATCACAACACATTTGACCTGCACCATACGAGAATCGAACCCTAGTCGCCCAATTCACGGTCTACCTACTTAACTTTACTGGACGGTTTTGCTTTAAGAATATTTTTATATTTTGCTCTGTCCGAAACATTTTTGGTTTCATTTTTTTAGTAATATCTATAAAGAAGTTAAGAATTTATTTGGGTATCCGAGAATAAGACGTCTACTGACAATAATAATATGTTAAGTGTCCAGTACGTATGATATTAATAAGCAATTCATACGTGATTTTTCTTTTCTAAGTTAATAGAGGAGAGACTAGAATCTTTTACTCAGGAAAATCGGGAAATAACAGATCGCCTACAAAAAGCTGAACAGTGTAAAGAACGTTATAGAGATGAGAGGAACAAGTTGATGAAAGAGAAATTCGCGAAGGAAATTAAGGAAAGGTCGGACATACAAACTGAACAAAAACTGAGACAGGACTATAATGATCTAAAAATGCTGTATGACGCAAAGGAAAAAGAATGGGAACAAAACATTAAAGACTCTGAACGTTCATTCCATGAATTTAAAAGAAACCAAAAACAAAAACTCAATGAGTATGTTGAAAAACTGAAGAAACAAGACGGGCAAACAATTCAACTCCAGAAGACCATTGAGCAAAATAATTGTGACATACGAAAATTAAGAAAACAGTTAGAAGAGAGTAAAAGACAACCCAGTACAACAAGTGACGACACAGAGCCACGGTTATTTATACTTCACTTTTTTTTAAACAAAATATATTTTATTTAAATTTACTTACAATTTCAAACATATAATGTTTGTAGCAATGGAGTTATATTGACATGATGGAAAACGGAGAAACCCAAGTCAATAGAATAAAGACAAAATGACGTTAGAATGTTTCAAGAAATCTGCCATCTAATTTTGTTTGTTTTAAACTGCCTTGTTATTCCTTTTTTTTCGGAATTATACATGTAAATAATGTCGTTATTTATTTATTCATTTATTTATTTGTTTGTTTGTTATACAGTGTTATTGGCCACAAACTGACAGATAATAATCCAAATATTGCTGACTTAAGTGACAGGGATCGTCCAACAAAGCTGGCAGAAAAGTTTGCTGAACTGTATGACAATCAATGGCATGATGCATTTGAAGAACTGCAGAAGTCATTTTCTAGCGATGAACAAATTATCGAGATACTTTTAGAAATTCTAATGGTTAGCTGATTTGTTATTCAATCTGAGATTATAATCATCCTGAAAATGGTAACATCAATACATGTATCATGACGGTCCGTATAATATTGAATAAAACAAATAAAACAATATATTGTTTTATATCTCTAAATGTGTGAACATGAAGTTCAAGTTATTCAAATGAGGATATACTTTTGTACTGCAATTCTTTTTGTCAATGTTCATATAAGTAATTCATGTGTACTCTATTTTCAGGATATCTATGATTTCTGCAAACGCAGAGCAAGGGAACAGCTTGACGATTTACAAAGAGTCCTATTGTGCTCCAAATCAGTGGTATGATGAAGCTTTTATTTGTTATATGAGTATTATGAGAAATGACCATTGATAGTTAATGAAATCTTTTGCTTGCTTTCTACCATTTTATACCTTTTAATATGCAATTTCATAAAAAAATTATTTTATAGATATATTTTATGTCGTCTTTAAACGTTCATGTACAACTTTATATAAATCAGTTTCTCATGATTATGAAATATGCATGGGTATCCCTTGACATTCTCTAAATCTACATATGGTATCTCATATGAAAGTAGTGTGAATATAATAGATATTAATAGAAGTCGACCATAGTGTTATAAGAGTCAGTTAAATGCAATATGCACTTCACTTCAGATTTCTGAGAGAAGATATTTGAAAGTTGGCATTTATTTTGCATAATACTTTGTCATTTCTGATACTTGTAGTACTAAGATAGGAAAACAATATTGTAACAAAAAACTTTAAACTAACAAAATCAATGCATCTCAAGTAAATCAAAACAGTGCTAAATACTACGATAGTGTTATATTTTAGTATTCCGTCACGGTTTCTGTGGGGATAGAGGAAACATTTAGATCAAGAAATTTAAGAATAAATTCAACTATCTATCACTTCTCACAAATTGCTGACTCAATCAATCAAACTGAGTCTCCGATGTTCGATTCCTTTTCTTTTCTTCCGAGGCGTCAACCTGTTTAAGTTATTCTTTGTTATTTGTTCAATTAACATTTATGTTTTCTAACCCGCATACTTTTCAAATATTTAGATATTTCTTTATTTGTCTGAAAGCATGGCCAACTCGCACACGTCAATTAACCAGACACTTACATGTTCTCATAAAATAGCTGACCTTTATAAATGCAATTGATCAAGACTATGTACCTATGCATATATCTTCAAAAGACACAATAATATTATAGTTTTTAAAAATACAACGATTTTAGAAATAATCCCTTTAAGTATCCTGTAGATATTTACTCAAAATATACTTTTGTGTTAAAGGAACGTACACAGACTAGCTGTCCGGAAAATGTTATAAAACAGCTCAAAGACTGTCGGAAGACAACTTCTTCAATGTCTTTTAGATCTGTTTATGAGGTAATTTCTAGTTGTTACAACTGACGTTCTGTTTTTTTTACTTTCTATTATCTTTACAAGGCTGTTTGCCTAAAGAAGGTAACAGAAAATTTAACGTTGAACAAATATTTTTATAATTTTTGAATAGCATCGAAAGTATGGGGATACAAATAGATCTTAACTGCTTCGTTTTGATATGTGTCGTAATTTTTGAGCTTTTAGAATATTAATTGATTACGATTCAACTTATGATTAAAGCTATACAGTTCCAGATAAACCAAAATAATATTTAACCAAAAAGGGGTCGAATCCCATGAACTGCAGGATATTTTCTGATTTGTTTTGTTTTCATATTGGTGCTCCGAACAAAGAATGTCTGTTAGGAAATAATAAATTTATTTAACCATCCTGTAGTTGACTCATATTACATTTTATTTAAGGATGCTTATCGTTTCTGTGAAAAAGAGGCGAATCAACAGAGAAAGGATATACAAATGGCAGTCACACAGGGTTCTACGGTAAATACTGCAATTTTCAATTTTTCTTTCGGCTTGATATATACAACTTGTCTACTGTTTTGTGATATATTTGTGCAAAACTTGTAAAAGGTAACCCGTGAAATACTAGAGTTTGCAACAGATGATTTTTAAATGTAAATGCAGATGCACATTGTCTTCAAAATTAAAGCGTCATTTTAAATTACCGAGTTCAAAACTAATATATTGGACACTTATTGAACATCATAAACTAAGGGTACCTGACAAATTCTTTCTCTACTTATTCTAGTCTCGTTGGAATTGTCTATTCCCAAAAATCCATATCAATTAATGAAGATATAATGCACAATTTCTTTGTGTATTAACATCTGCAGAAGTTCTCCTGTTTGTACAGATATTAGTGCACGAAAAAAGATCCATAAGCGCTATACTGTTATTAAAGTATACGCCCAAATCGGTAATTCCACTTTAACGAGGTTTGCCGAACTCACCTTTCCTGTTCCGGCGTCATATGACCTTTATTGTCTAATCTATGTTTCACTCCTTTGTCGTTTCATTTTATCTGAATGTTTATTTCTGGATAATATCATTATACTTAAATGCGATGTCATTTATGAATTATCTTAATTTTAGAATGAAAATAGCTTGCCTTCGTCAGTAAAGAAACTGATAAAAGACTTTCAGCGAAATGTGGTAGTATTTTCTGGCAAACAGTTATATCAGGTATAACAACAAAATGTTCAGTAATTTTAGCTCAATCACTGTGCCATGTAAAAACTCCATAGCATTATATGTTATATTTTATGTTTCTTTATTAGGGGAGGTTGGGGGGTGGGGGTGGGTGGGTTCGGGCGATAAAGTGTTATGTTTCTCAAAAAGTACTACAGCTGTCACACAAGTACGCGACGTTTCAAATGTTGTCATGTAGAAAATATTTTTTCAAATTGATTTTAATCAATAAGTTATTACAGTATGCTGAAATGTTTTATATATTGTATTAATGATCTTGTAAAATGAAATATCTTAATTGTCACTCCATTGTGTTGACCTTTAATCAAGAAGCCCAACATACCAGAGTTATGGAAAAATCTCCCTTTGATATTAAGGAAAAGCTCCTGATACTAAGTCTTTCTGAATATAGTTTCATTTAAAAAGTGTCTTTTTACCATTCCATTGAAGAAATATCAGACGATACATCATGCAGCTCCAGAATTTGTTAAAAGCTGTTTCGAAGTATGCTGGCTCATGGTGGTGAGTGCCAAGATAGTTTTTTAGACTATATAATTATATAAGAGTTATCTGGTTAAAGGCTCATTATGCCCCAGAAGTGGTTTCATTTTCCTTTTTCAAAGCTTTTAATTTTTTATGTCCTATTATATTTTTCAAAGAAACAGGTTAGTAATTTTCAAAACACCTGAACCATTTTTTGCGTCTATTGAATTTTTGGCAACTAGTAAAAGTATAGTTATTTAGTATTTTGAGTGGAAATCACAATACTTTGTACATATTTTGCTACTTTATGACAGAGAATTTCACATCCAGCGTTATTTTTATCACGGGATAAGCATCTACAATGTTTTAAAACCATTATCTAAACGTTATAAAATACATGTTTGCCTTTTCTAAAGGATGAAAAAATAATTTATTTTTGAGACATGATGTGTTTTTAAGCTTATCAATCAGCATTTTTCCCTGAACCTGCTAATGTAGCGTTTCTGTAATGCGTTTGCTCTGATTTGAATATGTTTTATGAATTGGTAAAATATTTTTTGTCAAAATACAAAATAAGAGCCACCGGCAGTTAAACTATTTAAGTTTTATAAGTTCAATTGAATGTTTAAGTTCTTTTGCTGTCTTAATAATCTAGTTTATCTAAATACTTTTATATGATCATCAACGTTACCAACGCATAGAATTCAATGATATGACACACATTAACTCATACAAGTTCATAACCGTTAATGGTTTTTGATCACATCTTAACAGTTTATGTCAAGTTTGTGTCAAGTTTGTGTTATATAATTCAAACAGGTTCAGGATCCACCTCTTGCATTTGGACCAATCGTTACAAAGGGTGAAAAATTCAATACAAATATTTATAAGGCGTACACAATACGTGGTGATAGAGTTGCGTTTCTTGTTTGGCCAGCCCTTTTACTGCACGAGAATGGACCGGTTCTATGCAAAGGAATAGCTCAAGGTATTACAAATGAACGGAGTAAAATGGCCATACCCTCTAGTGAACAAAAGAAAGATGTTGCAAGTAAACTAGTAACAAAGGAAAACAATGAAGGAAAAATTCTGCATAAAAGTTATAACGCACACGTATATGCTTCAAAAGACCTTATGAGGGACCAGAGAAGCCAACAGACTTCGTCTTATAATCAAATAACTATGCAAACCACGGACGTGAATTCCATTCCTGCTCAATTTAGTCCCCCATCAGATAGTGATGTCGACCAATTTTTACGTTGGAGAGATAGGCATGGAAGAGAGACTGCAAGGGATATGATTAAACATCAAACGTATGATGACATCCGAACTTATTGCATACAAATTGGTATCATTTAATAAGAATGTAGTATTTGAGTAATGAAACAAACAGTTACCAATTGTGCACCAACCAAAACTTGTTCTGATACGATTATTCATTGAATTGTTGTACAACTATGTTTTTGAAGAAGCAAGTAAAAAGAAGACACAAACAATATTATAAGGGCGGATATAGAATGATCAGTTAGAGTTTTATTTTTGTGTGTTTTCGTTTTGTAAAAAACAATAACGTTACTTCGTAGAAATTAATTGAAAAAAATTCACTTGAATTGATTTTTACATACATGTACCTGTATGATGCTTCACATAGGTGATGCCTAAGCTTTTTTGTATTTTTACAGAAAATATGTTTAAGTGGAAACAACAATGAACGAATGATCAAGCAAAGGATTCATGACTACCATATGACAAGTTTAAATGTTCAACGTATTTTGATTGTTTATAAACTATTTTCATTTTATGTATGCATAGAGAACAATAAAATGATAAAATAAAGAACAGTTTGCGTTACGACATAGTAGGTTTTGTTTGTTTGATTTGATTTTAATATCAGAGCAACCTAACTAGACAGTTTAAGAACTATCCTGCACATTTTACATGTACTCACTCTATACAAGTGCAGACAAATTTTATTTAAAGATACTACGCAAGCATGTTTCGTTATGAAAATCGATCGATGAAAGTATTTGAATTGTCCGAGAAAATATACTAGTAGAAAACATTAGGAAAATTTATAAATATATTTGATAAGGACATCCAGGTACAGTTCACAGACTGAACAATTACTGTTTACTTACCGTTGTAATTCATTTGATAAACGCCCGTCTTTATTTTGCATATAAATTGTTAGCAATTCAATATATCTACACCCACACAAACTCAGTTGATAAGGGGCTTTATAATATGACTTTTGACCACCTATCGCTCCAGTCGAAGTTTCTTATTTCTGTAGAAAATTACCTGATTTTGACAGTAACTGTTATAATTATGCTTTTTGTATTCTTATATTATTAGACTTTTAAATTATGACATCGATATATATCGTTATTTTTATCTTTATACCGATTTCCCACAAATATTAATATTTCTATGCTCCCCGAGTCGGGTTGTCAGTCAGTCCGTCCGTCCGTACGTACGAAATGATCATCATATTGAGACGACGTGTCGCGCGCAACATATGGGTCGCTACCTTAAAGGTCAAGGTCACAGCATGTCCTTGGAGCAAAATTGTGTCCGGCCTATAACTTCGATATTTGAAGACAGATTTTACAACTACTTCACAGAAATGATCACCATATTGAGACGACATATCGCACGCAACATTAAGGTCGCAACCTAGAAGGTCAAGGTCACAGCATGACCTTGAAGCAAAATCATGTCCGGCCCATAAACTCGCTATTTGAAGTCGGATTTTACAACTATTTCACAGAAATGATCAACTTATAGAGACGACGTGTCGCGCGCAAGTCGGTAGATAGATCTCATTGAGTAGAAGTGCAGTGTAAAGAACAGTAACTCTGCCTTGCCTTAGTTTGGAATTATCATACTTTGAACCTTGTCTGGGATATAACTCTGAACTACAAAAGATATAATTTTCTGTGTCCAAAACCTAGTCGGGGAGCATCACCCGGTTCAACCGGCTCTTGTTTGTTTTTGTTTCAGTGCATGCAGTGAAAGAATGTAGTGTAACGCAAATGTTTAATCAGCAGTTGATTTTTTTAGGTGTAAGCGCGCTTATGTACGAGACTTAAAAACTTCATGTATTAAGTATTTATAACTATTCAACATATTTTGAACATATTGTTTTGTTTTCTTAAAAGTTCATTTACAGTAACAACACTGTGATGACATAATAAAAATCATTATATATATTCAATTAAGATCATTTCTACTTAGAAAACTGTATTATTATGTTGAAATGATCAATCAATCAATTAATCAATCAATCTAAACTATATAGATTAAAGGGTAATAACCATGATAAACAAAAAAGGATGATCTTTCTGGTTTATCTCCCTTCAAAGGTTTTTTTATTTGTTGTTGTTGTTGTTTTTATCATTAACTGAACATTGCTTTCCTTCATATAGTTACATGGCTATAAACGGAGGAAATAGTAGGATCAAAAACGAAATGTTACAGTATACGGGACTGGCCATCATTCTAAAATATGACAGTGATTTATCATTTTGTGAGGGGCAAGAGGTTTGAAGTCAACGACCGCTGTGGGTTCGAATCCCGACAGGGACTTTGGATTCGTTTATGTGACGAAGCTATGCACACACACACACGCACACACACACACACACACACACATAAAATGCCCTTAGCAGATTATGTGTCTTTCTTCATTTTCTTTGATGTCTTACATGTGACGATACAATGATTTTCAATAACGTATTTAATTATGGCATTCAGTATTCAGCGGCATTCCTTTTTTCACGCGCTGACGTATTCGTTCGACGCTTAAGTGTATGGGGTTTCGGGACAACGTTATTTCTGAAAAGTAGATACTGCTTGAAAACAAAAGATGAAAAACAAACTAATACTTTAAGCAAATTAGAGTATCTTTATTTTACGAATACCGTAGCCATTTCTATCACAGTTAAGATTACTTTCAAAGTTCGGGAAAAATGATGCTGGAAAACACAAGAAAAAATATAACTAATATTTTAAGCAAAATATCTTTATTTTATGAATTATAACGTATCCATTTCTATCACAGTTAAGATTCCTTTCAAATGGTAAAAAATTAAATTAGCCAAATTACATCAGCCAAATATATTTTGTTAAATAATTCATGTTGTAAATTTATTTAGTTAAACAGAACGGTTACCGCTTTCGTTTTACTTTCAAATGCATAATATTGTTTACATAGTCGGCCAGGATTAATCTATATATAAGTTATTACATTCAAGTTTGTTAAACCAGTTTTATATAAGTGTTGAATTAACTACATGTATATTGTGATTCGATAGTTACCTAGACCAGGAAGTAATTCGTTTCAGTTTGCCTTCCACGAAATCTGACAAAGATAGATATAATAACATGGTTAAGGTTACAGACGATATCGACCTTAAAACTTATCAAATATTTAACTGTTAGACACGTTTAAACCGCGGTAAAACTCGTAGTCATGTTATCTCCTATCAAATAACGCTTACTGAAACTTATCTGAAAATTAATGGTAGTACAAAGGCCACATGATCGTTTAAGTTTCATATGTCTACTTTGCATAAAGATAAACTCAGAATATTCTTTTCAGTATCTTAAGGAGAAAGGTGCACTTTTTAAACAGATAATGAAGACGAAATTGTATTATATTAAAACTCCGCAAATAATCAAAATGTATTTGTATAGCAGTCTGGCAATGGCTATAAGTATTTGACCTGACGAATTGTACAATTATAAAAAAAAAACAACATCATCCGATGATGTACAATATTTTCAAATTATAAGAATGGGTTATAATTAACATATTGATATAATTATTATTAGTACCATTGTTTCCAAAACATTGTCTAATAGATTTCAACAATTACCGACAGAAAAATGAAAAGGGAGTCTATGTTTGTTTATTTTTTTATTTTTTTTTTATTTATTTTTTTTTTTTTTTTTTTTGTAAAAATAAAACAATTTTACAATATGTTTTGTTATATCTATAGAAACCATAAACTTTTATTAAATAAAATAGATATAACCAGTCAATACCATAGAAATGCATTGCTGTTTTTTATTTGTTGAAGAGAGGTCGTAGTATCGAAACTGAAAGAAGAGGAGTTAGATCGAATCCATTAGATTTTCTCAAATAGTTAAGGTTGAAAAAGACAAATTTGATAATGCTTTTGTCAAAATGTCCATACACTAAGCTACTCTGTAATTGAACTTAAAATACTAGGACATTACATCTAAAATGAGTCTAGATGGTCTAGCTTGATTTATTTTGTAGCTAAATAAATTGGTTGTTTTTAATGGTCTACCAAAATGAATAAACAATTAACGAAAATAGGCACTAATAATGTAAAGACTAATACATGAATATGTGATAGAACTAATAAAGAGATGAATAAAACAATAAGAATATCAGACTGAATAAAATGTACTTAAATTTAAATTAATGAAAAACTTCATTAACTGACTTATAATTTGTAAGTATGAACGACCATATACATTACATATATTACACAAAAATATGTTACATCTATGTAAGACATCAATGTATGGCATTGATAAAACGGAATTAATGTAAATCATGTTGAAGGAGACAAATTGTTGTAAGACCCTGATATACCTAAGTTGGTACCGTTAGGAGAATGTAAAGTATAACAAATAACATATTTACAATATTAAATGATATAATGGTAATTTTTTCATACCATTAATAATGTTCGCATTTAAACATTTCAGTATTGTTTTATTAATTGTGTCCCATTTTAAACTTCTATAAGAAAAACATGCAATAGTGTGAATATATTGATGTTATGTCTTTAAATTGTAACATTACCTTTAATGAATGATATTGATCATATGAAATTTGTGTAGCTAAGGGGGACAATTCCTCAGTGCATAAACCAGTAAACTGCTGTGATATGGCCTGTGGAGTTTTCTCCCTTAGAAGCATCTTGTAACTGTTTAGAGTGGCCTTTTCATGTATTTTATGTTTGTATTTTATGCTTTATATATACTTATATGTACACATGTAACAATGAGACTTCAATAAATAATAAATCAATAAATATCAATATTACAGCACATTCCTTTTAAATGCTTTTAGGTTATCATTATAACAATACAAACAATATGGCCTATCAAAAACACGACAAAAAAAACGGCAAAGAGCAAAATACATGTAATACCAAAACTCGAACTTTCTCATAAACATGTTAAAATTAGACATATACAATGTACATACAATTTCTTCAACAAAGCAAGACTATAATATGTCCGGACATTTAATAAAGCTATAAAACGCTATTTGGTAATTACTTATCGTAGCAGCTTATTAGATTGTTATTTTTATCATATCTATAGGGAAATATACAACGTATCTATATTACGTAAATATTCAACCACTAATTTTTCTTAAAAAAACAACAACAAAAAACAACAGTTTACGTTTTTCTTACACTTATACAATGATTTTCTACATATGATTGTTTTCTTTTCACAGTTTTTGCATCTTAGTAGCTATATCTTTGTTGCTATTACTTTAATTTGTTATTCGTTTTGTTTTTCTCTCTATTATTTATCTAGTTTTTGGTTCTTATCATAATACATCATTACTATTATTATAATGAAATAATCACAACTTTGAAAAATATGACAAAGAGTAAAGTATATTATGATAAATATTACACTAGTCTAAATACTCAGTTAAAACTCCTAACTTATATAATATATAGAAACCTGTTCAGTATGAATCAAACTGTGTAATTTCTAAATGGTTACCAGTCAAACATTAAATAATCACATAACAGCCAGTTTGTAGCACTTTGAAACTAAAAGTAGCTACGATACAAAAACAGATATTATTAGATATTTAATAGATATAAAATATTTATTTTAAACACGTATTTTCGAAACAATAATTCATTCTGAAATGTAAAAAATGTGAAAATAAGTAATGCTAACTATATATTGAATGTTGGCAACACATCAAATCATAAGCAATATACATAAATTGGTAACATGTGACACGGTAACCGATAGGATCATGCAAGCATCCTTCAATAACTTTAAGGCAATTATTATATTAAACAAGGTAGGTGTCTTGAATGAAAGCCCATATTGGTAGAGCATTCAATGATTCAATTTTTTCAATACTACTATTTAGCACATATATTAATTGTATATTGGGAAAAGACTTCAATAAGCATTAGGTTGCTTCCAGTCTAATCCTTTTCTTGTTTTGATTGTAAATATCATGTATGTAAATATACTTATGTGAGGAATAAAATATGTTTATTTCATGCTTTCCAGTGTTTTATTACAATATATCAGATGATTATATTCTGATAAACCACTAGTGAAATTTATAAAATATAATTTTCACTGTAGCCGGACTATATCTAAATGCGGATGAAAAGAAAATCATAACCAAATGGAATAACAGACAGAAATAAATTCTGTCATACGTAAATTTGCTTATTTAGGAAAAGAAAGTCAATGTCGTCATTTATCATGTTAAAATTTAACAAAATTAGAGAAATTTAACAGAACTATATTTCAAAACTTATGATGTGACGTCATGATATAATGACGTCACAAAGGAAAATGCGCGACGTTACGCGGCAAAATCAGTAAAAAAATACTTAAAATCACTTAAAAAGCATAAAATAAAAAGAAAATTTATTTTTTTTACATATAAGATTGTAATATATTTCATTCGTGAACACAAGCTATTATATTTTCACTCGTGGCTACGCCACTCGTGAAAATATTGTATCTGGTGTTCACTCAGTGAAATTATATTTCAATCTTACATGCAAAACAAACAAATATCCTCTATTTAAACCAATACTAACGAAATAATCTAAATCTGAAAAATATAGATAAGATTGTAGTCCAGTGATCTGTAAAGATTATAACGTTACATGCTTTCAACGAAAGTGTTAGTTATCAATATTGAATTTTTCAGATTTTAAATCTTACATGTGTTGAATCAGTACTCACAAACCATGTTGTATAAAGTGGCTACAGTCAATTAAATCAAAATCAAAATCAGATTTTCATCTTCAGACAGTTAACATGGATCCTTTCAATGTAAACTATATAATATGTTACCCTTATTCTATTCAAATATGACCATTATCATGAACCAGTAGATGGATCAGATTAGTAATAGAAGCACATAGTCTAATAATTACATGAACTAACAGTTGCATTGTATATATTAAAGCTGCACGCCTCCAGATTAACCAAAATATTTCAAGAAAATCAAATTTGAGAAAAACGTACAGGAATTTTAAGAAAAGTAAAAAGATTCTTCAAGATTAAAGTAATCAAGTAATAATTTCTATGCTATGTGCGATTAATGACCAATTTTGCAGTATTTTCAACCATATTTCTACTGCGTTAGTAACGCACTAAGTACTATTTTTGCATTTTTTGAGCTCTTTTTGTTGATTTACATGGGTTGTACGTGCTGCTTGCAATGTGGAAATTATCATCTTTGTTCACTTCACAATATTTTACTTTTCTATGCCATGTATGCATTATCTCAATTTTCATGAAAATAAGCATGAATCTGGAGGCGTGCTGCTTTAATTAAGATACAAAATATTGTTCTATAAGATACAAAACTAACATTAACTTACAAATTGTATTGATATGCTAAGAAATCAATATGAAATAAATCAACAAACATTTATAATTACATCAAAACGGACGACAAGCATGCAACATGATAAAATACAAGAAAAAATAAAATAAGACAACAATAAAAACATAGACTGAAAGCAACCAAGCATGCCACCAGCATATGTAATATATCATCTTCATATGGTAAGAAACTGATTAAAACGATATGCTTAAAACTATCCACCAATATTGCGTTTTATTGCTTTTCGGTGGTTTATAGAGATATATCAATGATATAAAACTGATAATATCACTGTTTTAAACAAATTGATAATTTCACTGTTTTGAATTTATTACGTTGTTTCAGTGAAATACCTGCGTGCACAATACTGGAAACCAACTTAATGACGTAACGTCGTAAATGACGTCACGATGTATTATTATTTGGAGCGCTTTTCATTCAGTATTAGGTTCAATGTCTTTTTAAAACGTTTCTTTGCATATAATAAAAAGAACATTTGTTTAGTTTAGTGTAAGATCGAAATATATTTCACCTTGTGAACACCAAAAGTTCATATTTCACTCGTGGCTGCGCCACTCGTGAAATATACCTTTTGGCGCTACCTCGGTGAAATATATTCCGTTCCTACACTGAACTTAACAAATATCCTCTATTTATCTTGATTTATAAAAAGTTGCTTATAATTTCCTATTCAATAATTGTAGAACCTAAAGTCGTCATAACATACTTATGAAATATGGTAGTTTTACTTCAAGCAAGTAGTAATTGGTCTGAATACCAATGTACATAAATAATGAGAATAATCTAATTTTAGCATGTACTGCCTTGCTAATATCTTCAGTCTGCGTGATCAAATTAACATACTTATTTGATTATACTTATTTTTTGTTTTACATCGGTTAATGTGATCTCTGGTTACATAGTGTACTTTATTTTGAACATAAAAAACATTGTTCGTGCGCATCCTTTCATTTTACTTTAAAATAAACTGTATTTTGATCATTTGAATATTGTGCGTTTGGCATGCTTTTCAGTTAACTTAACTGTTTCTTGAACATTTCAATATTGTTGTTTAGCATATATTTCGTTTAGTACTTCAACTGTACTTTAATTACTATTTCCTTATTTTGAACATTTCAAAACTGTTTGTTGGACATGGATTTCTTATGCTTTGTACTTTTCTTTGATTTGTTGATTCCTTGAGCTACACCTTTTGCCAGAATTGGACCACCTTTATGTAACAGCAAAGCAGGCCATACAACATATTCGACGTGTGACCCATTAGTTGTGTACGGTTTGTATAAATCTGAGTTGAAGTGTGTACCCTTTGCAAGCAAGGGAGCAAATGCAACAGGAGGATCATTTACCTATAAGAAAATATAGATTTTTTCTTAATTATAGAAAATATTTATTGATATGATTGAATAATGTTTCTAATAAACACAGTTGCACCTATAAAGAGAGATTTCTTCCAAAATAGTTTATGATTTCAATTTTTTATCTCTTATGTCATTCATAACGTATTTTAACTATTGCATTAATCATTATTACAAAAATGTCACGAAAATACAAACCAACATTAACCAGCACATTTCAAGGCATTCAAAGGTAAAATCCTTGATTTCAAGAGCTCTTGATACCGTTTGATCCGCTGTTTGTCTAAGATATGAAATAAACATCTGAAACATAAAATATGTTCTTTTGTGATACAGATCTATGTAATAGATTTTTATAAGGGGTAATTTACTGTTTCAAAATAAAAGGCCCAATATATTACATACAGGCTAAATGTACTAAATGTGAAATAATATTGATTTAATTTTTATTACAAAAGGGAATATTTTGAAACTTGTGACGTAGTGTAAACACTAATTGTCCCCTCAACGCAATAACTGTATAACTGCTATTAAATTTAGAAGCACTTATCACGTTCTTGCACTAAGGTGACGACTTGTCTGCGATGAAATAAATGCTTGCATTTACTTCTTACTTAAAAATATAAATACATTTAATTGCAAATAATCATTACTTTAAGATACAAAGCGTTTACAATTTACACATTTAGTCCGCTACCGTATTGTTTGAAGAACGTTAGTAATTCAGTTGTCATACCATCAGAACATTGTACCCAAACATGACAAGCGATGTTAATTGTCTTTTCATTTGACTATACGCCTGTGTATTATAATTATATAAATAACAGTTGCCTGTTTTTATGATAAACTTACCTCGCGTAAGTTTTTTACTGCTGATAACGCAGTGGCTTTTCTAGTATCTTTCAACTGTTTATATACACTGAGTGACTGATCAGCATTTGCCTGTTGATTAAATACATAAAACAAATGACTCATAAGGGCTATATTTATCATAATTTCATCATTTCAAAATCATAAATTATTTCCAGTACATTTTAAGTGGAAGAACAAGTTCATTATCATTTTAGAATATTTCATTCTTATATTTTTATGTTATACAAATGTACATACATTTCTGTCTGCGAAGGTCAAAGTCCTCCCTAATTCGTCCATCTGGTACTGCGCCTTTTCTTGACAGAAGGTCATTGTAACCTGTACATTTTACGATACACAAGGGTGATATAAATGTATATTTGCATTTATGCTGCCTGCATGATTATGATATGTAGAACTTCATTTCAGCTTTCATATCAAAGAATTAATTAAAAATTCAAGAAGTCTTACGCTCAGAAAAGGCCAACAATAATATTACTAATAAAAATATTGTCCAACATGTATTAATATCATAATATAAAATGCGCTTTGATTTTTAAAGGCATGACATAAAATTAATTTGATGGCCTTCTTAAAGACACCTAGTTAAAGGTACAATTGTCAAGATACAATGATCTGAATTAAAATTATACTCTTGTCGCATGGTAAGAAAACGTTTTCAATTACCTGTAAGATATGCAATAAAGCTTCGATTACAGCCTCATCATTTGGAAAATATGTTTCAAGAATTTCAAATGCATCTGTCCATTGATTATCATACAGCTCTGCACATTTCTCGGCAAGTTTTGTTGGACGATTCCTGTCGCTTAGATCAGTGATGTTGGGGTTGTTATCTGTCAAACGGTCCCCCATGGCTTTACTAAGTCTTAGAAATAGTAAAAAACGGTTGAAAGCAGTATCAATGTGTCAGTTTACATATAGGATTTTTATAAGGCAAAGTGATTTGTAAGTATTATCAATTTGTTATCTAATAAAAAAGATATTTCAAAACTATACAAAAAGTGGTTTCTTTGAACTGATCGATAAAAGCAAGATATCATTTACCTAGTCTTAGTGTCATCGAGTTCAGCTTCAGTGTCATGTAGTTTTGACATTGTAAGTTTTAACTGTCTTTTCAGCTCCTTGATCTCATTTGTCACTGCAACATCAATTTTGTGTTCTCCTCCAGAAAGGTTTTCTAATGATTCCTGTGCGTTTTTTTTCTCCAGACTACTAATTTTAGAGTTGCGCTGTTCAACGTCTTTTTGGAGATGAAGTATCAATTTCTGTTTTGAATTGATGACGTTTTCGAGATTTTTCTGAGTATCATCTTGGTGTTTTTGGATTTGTTGGAGCTGTGCATCAAGTTCATCTATTTTGGCATCTCTTTCCTTCAATTCTTTTCCTAGCGCTATTGCGCGTGATTCCATTTTGCCCATTCTATCGTTGATTTCGTCAGCCATTTTGTCTTTCCTGGCAATTTCATTCTCATAAAACTGTAATTTATTCTCAAACTCATTTTTTTCTGTCTGTAGAGTCTTTTCCATGTCTCGAACTTTTGACTCATTTTTATTAACCAAATGTGTGTATTTCTTTAATTTATCATTTAACGTAGATATGTGTTCTTCTCTATTTCTTTGATCTAATTTAAGTGACTTTTCGGTTTCTTTTAGATCGGAGATTGTTTGATTTAACAAAATCATTGTTTTGTTCAGTTCTGATATAATTCTATCTTTCTCGGATAAAAGTAAAGTTTGGCGTTCGTTTAGATCCTCAAGCTGTCTGTCTATGTCGGTTTTGGTCTGGTTATTTTGCACAGCATCTCTTTCCAACTCCTGAATCTTCTTCTGCATCAAAATGACTAATTCGTCAGATTCCTTCATTTTTTTTAATATTTGATCACGTTCCATCTCCCGTTTAGTTAGTTCGCCTTCTTTTTTCCTTAGTTCATTCTCTAAATCTTCATATTTTGTCTTTAGCTGACAGTGTTCATTCTGGATGTTTTTTAATTGTTCCTCTGATTCAATTAATTTGTCTTTATACTTCAGCAATTCTTGTGCATTAAGCACATGGTCTGTTTTTGCCGACTCTCCTTCAATAAGTTGATCATTTAATCGAGACAGTTGTACACCCTTTTCTCTCAATTCCGATCTTAGTTGTGTCAAATCATGCTGATATTTTGATTCCCTTTCTTCGTAGTGAGAGAGATTTTTATATATGTCTTCCTTAAGTTGTGTTATATACATCTCTTTTTTCTTTAATCTGTCTCTTAGATTATCACATTCTTTTGCAAGATCTGCATTCATCTTCTCTGTTGAATTAACGGTTTCTGTTTTGTCTTGATATCGTTTTTGCATATGGTTTAATTTTTCCCTGAACTGTTGCAAAAGTATTTCATTTTGCTCTATTGTGTTTTGTAGACACATTTTATCGTCAGTTAGTTTGCTCAGCTCATGTTCTTTTTTGTTGAGCAATTCATGTAGTTCGTTCAATTCTGTCTGTGTTTCAACAGGTTGTTGCATGAAGTTTACATGTTCACTTTTCATGGGGCTATGATATTTGTCACATACGTTGGTGTCTTCATAGCTATTACTTTTGATATTTAGGCCGTAGATATTGCCTTGCAGATGATCAATTTTATTCTTTATAGAATATGCAACCTCTTTCCAGTCAGATGTTTTTTGCATATGAGTTTCGTGTTTATATCTTGTACAGTTATCATCCTCACATGTGGTCAAAGAAACCATGTCTATCTTCAGAGATGATAAAACCGCACCCAATCGCGCATCAGTTTTACAAAGTGTTTCAGTCACTTTCTCCATTTCATCAAAAAGTTCTTCATTTTTCCTTTCTAATATTTGTTTTTCTTCACTCATTTTACTTATTTCATGCTCTTTTGCTCTCAGAAAATCATTTTTAACCTCCATGTCTTTTATTTGTTCACGAAGGTGATCTATCTCTGCACACTGGTATTTAATCTTTCTTTCGTTTGAAGTGATGACTTCATCTTTTTGCATTATCCGTTCCTTTTTTTCCTGAAGGTGTACTTGTAATTGATGCATTTTTCTTTCTGTTGCTTGAACCTCTTTTTCACATTTTAGCTTCATGCCAATAACTTTATCTTGATACTCCTTTGTCTTTATCTCCAATTTAGATATGTACGATTTTAAACGCGTTTGCTCTGTAATATGGTGATGGTTGTTTCTCTTTTTAACATTGACTTGTTTTTCCATTTCTTTTTTATGTCTATCAATAAGAACAGAATTATTTATTTCAAGTTGCTCGACCTTCTCATTTAGCCTCTTATTGTCTTCAAAAATGTGCTCCTGTTTCTTTTCATACATTAAATTTTGACGCCTGACTTCCTCTAATTCTAATTCTAAATCTTCTTTACTTTTTGTAAGAATATGCAGTTGGAGCTTGTAGTTTTCCAAATCATCTTTATCTTCCTTGACTTTTTCATGGAGACTTTCGTTCTGATAATTTGAATATGATTTAACTTAAGACTTTCACAATGTAGCAGTTTTATTCAGCAAAGAAACATTATAGTACTTTATGACTATTTAATTACCATGAAACTAACTTGAGTTGTGTGTTTGATACTAACCGTAACGTTGTAATCTAAATTAAAGACTTGTTTTAGGTTTGATTAAAACATATAAAATATGTTTTTTAAATATTTGCATAGAAAGGTTAAGTTTTTAAGCATATTCATATAATTAAAATATAGAAACAAAGATCATACATTCGATGAAAAGGCGGCATTCAATAAAAACATTTAATGTTTTGAGTATAATAAATATTTGGATCATGCGTTAAACACTTCAGATTTTTATAATATAAATTGTACACAACACGAAAAGGTAACGCAAGCAAAACTAACCTGATTGATTTGTTTTTCTACTTCTATTCTTATTTTTTCCGACAGGACGTCTAAATGCGAACAAGAATTCTTGTGTTTCTTAATATACACTATAAGACAAGCTACAGCAATTGATAAATCCATCATCTTGCATTGTCATTCTCTATTATTTCCTAAAGTAAAATATAAAATAAACGAATATTACACAATGGAAAGTTGTTTATGTATGGTCAAAACATACTTATTGGCAAAGAATGAACGATACTCATTAATAAATTATCTCTCCCGGAAGCCGATATAACATACAACTGTAAATAAATATTGTTTTTACTAATGGTTACAACTTATAATTACATAACCTTTATTTTTTGTTCATCAATGTTAAACGACAATAACGATAACATCATAATGTAGAAATAAGAGGGGTTTAATCATATAATCAGATTTTTAGTTTAAGACAAAGTTATCACTGTACATGTACCACTGCACAAGCTTTCAATATACGCCAATACGTTTAAAAGAACTTAGTATGTCTACAGTACACATGCACGCATAGTTAATTTAAATTTATGCTGCTTTCAGACATTACACACCTACTCTCAGACTGTTGTTCGAAATATGTATTTTTTTGACATACTTGTTTAAAGAAAAGTAAATCCGTTCGGAGGTCATTCTTTGTCACGTTTATAGGTCTTGCTTTGTCAGACAGACCGGGACATGTGGAGTACGGAAAAAATATACCTGCTTACGTAAAGAAAATGAAAACAAATAATCAAATATTATAAATAAAGAAAATGCATTTTGTTCACAATTATATTATTTTTATAAAAAAAAGTAAATACAAATGTTTAGCGTCGAGATAATGTTTATTGAATATATTTAAGCCAATTACTCATTTCTACGTTTATATTAATATTATAAATATTTTATGAATATTTTAATGAAAAATATTGACTCCCTAGTATCAACATTATCCAAATCTTAACACATTTTAGATTCATTTAATGGATTTATTTTTCAAAGTGATATGATCTGAATGGTGCTTAAGTTTCTGATACTGATACAATTAAACGCTTGAAGTGTGCAATAAACGTTATAGAATTATTCCAGATATTAAAATATATAATCCATTTAATGTTAAAAGACGTACCAGAATATGTGCAGAATGTAAACGTACTGTATAGAAAATGAATGGTATCGATTTTCGGCGGTACTGTTATTTGTGTGTTAGAAAAAATACCATGTCTTATTTTATTCTATTTGTTTTTCATTGCTATGCGTTTTAGTTTTTTCTATAATACGTATGTTTTAAGTTGAATGGCAATCCCTCAAACTGTTCTTTGAATGTTACATTTTTAAGCAGTAATTATAATTTTCACATTTTTCCGGCTGTAGGCTAAACTTAGTAATCTTTATTACCAACATAAAAGGACTCAATCATTGTTATGTGGTATTTATTCTATCCAAGTCCTACCTTCAGAAGTTTAAAGGAGGTTAAGATATACCGCCAGTTGAAATAACTATGTTTGTGCTTAATAAAGCCGTAACCGAAAAGGGCGTTTGATGGGGCTTTTACCACCTGATTGATACAATTTGAGTGAAAGATAGCAGGAATCGCCATTATCACGGCTTCATCGGGTAGTGGCTGCGGTTACAGCACATAACGTAACTCAAACAGACGTCATCTGAACCACGAATATTCTATGCATATTTAAGCAGGATGTTAATAATAGGTTATATTTTTATGTGTTCCGTGCTAAAAAATGTTAACGACAGAATGTCATCCGGGTTGTCATCGTAAGCCAGTGTAAACAATTGTATCCAAACCAAGTGTATGATGCTGTGTAACTTAGATATCGGCCTCGTTCATCTTCTGTTTAGTAAAAAAATGCTAAGTCGTAAATGTCATGAAACACACCAAGCGCTACCCGCTGTCGGTGTCACAAGAAATTCGTGACCGGGTCTTTTCTAATAAGAACATTGACAATACGTTGGCTCACAACAAAGTAGAATAATATGCCTCGATTTATGTCGACAACAACAATAAATATAACAAGAATTTGTAACGTAAGAGTTGCCAACGTCCCCCGCCTCGGGGAAGTTTTATATGAAGCGTATATCTGTGCTTATTTCAAAGATTGGGGTATGGATCTAAGAACTTTTAGTCCAAAATTATGATCAATGCTAGATCTGCAAAATTTTTGCAACAATAGATTTATTAAAGAAATAAAATGAATGTTAAGCTTTGACCTCGTAGTGTGACCTTGACCTTGGATGTTTTGCATGGCATAATTATCGTCTTATTATTAATACCTTGAACCATAAAGAAGTTATAGATGGGAACAAAATATACCCTCTAACAGACTATGTTAATCTTTGACCTCTACATGTGACCTTTGAGGTAGGGTCCCATGTTTTGGGCCTGACATATCGTCTTATTATTGTGATTATTTGTTTAAAGTATTTTCAAAATCCCTTGATCTATGAAAAAGATATGGACTGGACACAAAATATACCCCAAAACAGACTATGTTAATCTTTGACCTCTACATGTAACCTTGACCTTGGAGATAGGGATACTGGTGTTACACATGACAAATCATCTCATCATTGTGACTATTTGTGCCAAGTATTTTCAAAATCCCTTGATCTATGTAGAAGTTATGGACTGGACACACAATATACCATATAACAGACACTGTTAACATTTGACCTCTAAGTGTGACCTTGACCTTGGAGGTAGGGGTGCAGGTGTTGTACTTGACATATCGTCTTATTATTGTGACTGTTTGTGGCAAGTTTTTTCAAGATCCCTTGAACTATGAAGAAGTTCTAGATCGGACACAATATATACCCTTTAACAGACTATGTTAATATTTTACCTCAAAATGTGACCTTGACCTTGAAGGTAGGGATGCAGTTGTTGCGCATGACACATCGTCTTATTATAGTGACTATTTATGCCAGGTATTTTCAAAATCCTTTGATATATGAAAAAGTTATGGACCGAACACAAAATATACCCTATAACAGACTATGTCAATATTTGACCTCCAAGTGTGACCTTGACCTTGGAGATAGATGACCGATTATTGCGCATGACACATCATTTTATTATTGTAAACAATTGTCGCAAGTATTTACAAAATCCCTTCAAAGATAAGGAAGTTATAGACCGGACACGACATATACCCCCAATAGACAATGTTGACATCGAATGAGCAAGTGCGGCATTAACCCTGGAGTTAGTGGCCTGGTTGTTGTGCTTGACACATCGTCTAATTATAACATACATTTGTGCCAAGTTATTTCAAATTCCTTTGATAAATGACAAAGTTATGGACCGACACGAAATATACCCTGTAACAGACAATGTAAATATTTGACCTCCTAGTGTGACATTGACCTTGAAGGTAGGTGACCGGTGGTTGCGCATGACACATCTCCTCATTATTGTGAGCAATTGTGGCAATTATTTACAAAATTTCTTCAAAGATAAATAAATTATGGACCGGGCACGACATATATCCTTAAATAGACAATGTTGACCTTGGATGAGCAAGTGCGACCTTGACCCTGGAGGTGGGGGTCTGGTTGTTGCGCATGACACATCGTTTTATTATAGCAAACATTTGTGCCAAGTAATTTTAGATTCCTTTCATAAATGACAAAGTTATGGACCGGACATGAAAGTGTGACGGACGGACGGAGGGACGGACGGAGCCCATTTCTATATCCCCTTTTTTCTTCGAAAAAGCGGGGGACAATAACAACAATACAGAATTTTATTTTACCCAGGAATCCAACCTTAGTTAAATCGTTCTTAAACTAAAACTGCGGTACTACAAATCGAGAATAATTATTTTTGGATCAAATAAAGTAAGCATAATATACAAACAATCAAAAATAGTAATTAGAGATTTATATTTAAGTAATAGACGAGTTGTCTTTCATTTATAAACAGGTAATTGCTATTCTTGTCGATTCAATAAATAAAAAAGAAAAACCCATTTTCAGAAACAAGATACGTCTAACACAATTGATATTTAGTTCGTGACCTTGTCTAAAATTGAGAAAAAACACGCATCCCTAACGGAAATCGGTATGATGTATTTACAAAACCTTTGAAGTGTTTATAAACATGGTGTATTACTCTTGTCTAAATAATTTAACCCTCTCGTCTGATTATTAATCAGTGCTTCAAGAGTATCCTGTCCTGAATATGCTTTCATCGTCAGCACTTCAGATAAGTAATCATCTTATTTTAATTTTATTTTCACAAAAAGGTTGCTTTATATAAAAAATGGGCTTAGCAACAAGATTACAACATATATAGGTCATTTCGATACATCTACTTTCGGTTTCGAAAATTTTAGATTTACAAAGAGTCACACATATAGTTTAATAAAATCAGAAATAAAATACGTAAAATGATACGAAAATCATCAATATAATTTAATTCATGTTGCATTCTTGTTCTAAAATTAAAACTAATAGCGAATTAATATGTATACGCTGCAAAAAAACATTCAAATATTTACGTTAACATATTCCTTTTTATAAGTAATATATTTAAAAATCCCTGGAACTTACCTTTAAAGAACAAGAACAGTACCATCTCTGTTTAGCAAACTTTTCACCATCGTGTGTTACTGTCTCTATGTGTTTAAACTCGTTTTAAATTTTATTGGCAATTGATATACTTCCTTGTGTGGATAACAGTCAAGTGCGCACACGATCGATAATACATACCTCATTGAATATCTTATTGTGTGCAAAGTTTAAAGGTCGGTATACATACATTGCCTACTAGATGCGGTATGGTAATTACTTTCGGTCTGTAATTATAAAAGGATCCACTTCTGTTTTCTTTTGTTTAATTATGTTTTAACAGACAAGTTCAATAATGTATTTATGTCTTTAATCTAAAGTTACAGGTAATTAACAACTGATACTTTATTAGCCACTTTTTTAAGTGAATTGACAATGATTTTAGCTTTAACCATGGCCAGAAATAGCACAATCATTTTCAACTACAAATGGCTACGTTCTAACAAGAGATAAGATGTACCTTTCGAAGGTATGTGAACCAGCGGCTAAAATGAGCATATTCGGTCAATTTATACCATTTTCATACTAAAATGCATGCAAATTTAACACATATTGAAGGCAGTTACATAAAGTAGCTACTGATTTAAATGAGGACTGTATGATTTTCTATGTAAACAGTATAGTTACCCTAAACAGAATGTAGTTTACAATACTTGAATGACCTTGATAGTAATTTGACTGTGTATAATAAAGACACATAAATGATTTCAACATGTAATCTAGTACCGTAGTAAAGTAAAAAATCCGTAAAATAATTTACTACCACATTAAATCTAAAAATAAAGAGTTTTAAAAGATAAAAACGTTATTTCTGCCACATAAATATTTATCGACTTTTTTATAATTTTGTATAATTCCGGAAAACCTAGTGCACATAAGATTCAGTAAAAAATCACCGTGTATATCCCGTTACACAGAAAAGTTCAAATAATGCAGGAATCCTCTGAGGTTTGCTAAAGATAGGGTTTACAATAAGTGGCGACAAAAGGCGAGGGTAGCTTCGGGCCTTCTACAACTTATCACGATTTTACCCGATATTTACCTATTTATTAGAGTCCGTAATCCTTAAAATACATGTTAATCAGATCGTTAATAATAAATAAGAGTTTGTGGCTTCTGTGACAACAGTTACCATGAAAATCTTCGCTTTTTAATAATTTGTGAAATGACCAGGATGAATGATGTGTTTTGCCGATAACTATAAATCAATTAAGATTATGATAATGTTACCTGAGACATTTGCGAAATTCAATTGATCCGTATCATACGGAAAAGAAGCAGATTTTATGGTGTTTTCTTTTTTAATACCGACGCACCTAAAAGTTGTTTTCCGTTTGGTTGTTAGGCAGTTAGAAATGATCATGAAAAGCAAAATAGTTTCTTGGTCATTTTTGTCAAAAGTGTTTAAAATCGGAATGCTCTAATTCTATTTTCTCAATTCAGATTAGTATAAAAATATTTTGATTGGTTTTCTTATGGTTTTGCACTTTTTCACTTATTTCCGTCTGTTTTTTTTTTTTTTTTTTTTTTTTGTGCACAAAACGGCATGACTTTTTGCACACTCTCACATTTACCTTAACATTGCAATTTGGATAAGTCTGTCCTCCGCATGTAAGGCTTCTGTGCACGACTGCTTTTCGGAAATGCGATTTTTCTTTCGATTTATCTTAAAAAATAGGTATTTTTTTATAATTTCAGGATTTAAGTATACCTGCGCATGTATACTGTTTGTCAGGATGAATTAGGATGAAAACGCCGGTCAATTTTTATTTAAGACGTCATATATTAGTATACTCGAAAAGAAAGTTAGCTTTCATACATACTAATTTTAACTACATATAGAAAAGAAACGACATGCTACTGTGATGAAATGTATTCAGTAAACAAATTGTTATAAACATCATTACATACAGAGTGGAAAAGTGATGTTATTACTTTAAACAAATGATAACCAAGTTTGTAAAATGAGATTGAAATAATGGAAACTGATACTAAAGTAGCACAACGAATAAACAAATAAAAAAATACATTTAAACAAGCAAGAAAATCTGCGAAAGTTGACATGCAGAGGAAAAAGAAATTACAGCTTTATCTACAATTATGAAATAAATTCAACTTTATTTACATTTTTAAAAACTTATTTTGAGTGGTTTTCTCTTAAGATTGTCTATCAAAAGTTATTAGAATATTATTTAAAGAAAACAATAACAACAACAAATACCTAAAAATTGGGAAAGCGGATAATAAGCTGAAGAATGCCTGTTGGCTATTGGGACTCACGTCTCCACCGATCAGGATATTCGACGGTATACATGTACTCTCATATAATACAAAAGACACTGTTGTAATCTCAGTGAAGAACAATCACCTACAAGAAAAGCATTAATGCAAAGCATCAAAGGGCGTCCAAACAGCAGGTGCAGATGAACTAGTAGATATATGATGACAAGATATTCTTATAAACTTTTCAATGGTTGATTGGGTTTTACCAGAATTGTATATCACTTTTGAATGAACGGACGAAAGACATTGTTCATTATTTATAACTTTGATCGGCATGCTAGAAATTAGAATATTACTTGTTATTTCTTTATGATCGTGGTTATTTAAAGCAACGGATATACATGTCTACAATCATTTATAATCCATATGTGTAACGCATGATCAACACCATACTTGTGTAATTGTCCCTTATTATGTTATCGCTATTAGCGAGGACCCCCTCTTAAGGTATCTGTTCACACTAAGTAACAATATGACACTTGTTATATTACCATGTTGATCATGTTGAGCATAATTGTTTATTATACAATAAATGTAATTTCTATTTTAATAAAAAAATACAGATTTTATGAATATTGTTTTCTATTCTTTTTTTGTGTGTGTTTTATGCGCTATTTTAATACTGAGTTTTTACGTTTACTACTATTTTAAGAATTCAATTGTCATAATGATCGACGATTTTAAGTCAAAACTTAACTGGAAAAAGTCAGTAAATCATGGTTAATCTTTCAATATATAATATTGTTTATTCTGAAACCATATACATGTACAATTGTATTTTTCTTTATCATTTTTTAAATTATCAATCAATTGAATAATTCATAAAATCTGATTTGTAACTTTGAATAATTCCTTGGAATCTTTACTAAACACGAATAACAAATTAAATAAAATGTTTTAAAGTTGATAGTGTCATATTAATGCCATAAAAATGTACATTTTTTCTCATTTATTGTACATATTTATTGTTTTTATCTCATATAGATAAAATATAACATGCGATTTGTGTTGTTGGTTTTTTTTTTCGAATTTTATGTTTATGTATAATAATAATCAATCAATTCGAGAGTTGATCTGTGTTTATTAATTATTGTAACCAAACTAAGTGACAAACATTCATTTTGAAAAAAAGCTTATTTATCTGTAAAATATTTGTTCTGTTCTGTAACGATATCAAACATCTACTCCAAAACCGGGAGAGACCGGACAATAAACGTGTGGTACTATTCGCCGGTCATTAGTAAATCCCGGGAATTACCGATAGGAGTACATCCCTCTATAAATAGATTTTCGGAATATTTAGGTCATCAACTCATCATTCTATTAACAGCTTTCGGAATAACATACCATAATAACTCACTGTGTACTACAAAATGATAAGCAAAAATACCCCGAAGAGCGCGATTTATTGAAAGGTTATTTCATTTGAAAATGTTTGCATTGCAAAATTCTCCAGTTCGCCATTCATTGTACATATCGCGACTAATTAATAATCAAGCACCCTCATACCGATCGGAATGTTCGGCTTTTATTATTTGCAACTATAAAATGCTCGAGAAGTTGCTGTCGCCCTTTCACAAAATCTCATTTCATTCCAATAGGCGCCGCGCTTCGGCGCGGACGCCAATCAGTTATATAAACAGTGACAATGTCCGTGTTACAAAATAAAATCTGATCGCATTTACCTTCTTAATTTGTGCTTATGATTAGGAATGCCAACATATATGATGGGAACTAATTAGATTAAATTTATTAACAAAATGCCCAAACATATTTTCTATTTTCCTGAAGTTTCTTAGACGTTTCTTCTTTTAAGAGTAATTGTTTAAGGTGAAATTATAATTTCTAACTGTTAAAATCAAGGTCTGCGTCATTATTTATGACACAATTAACGCTGCAAATTTCAACAAACAATACGAAATGATCACGATGGACTGTCCTCTAAATAGGTTGTGCAAAATTTAGCATGATTATTTAATTTACATACATTTGCAAACAAAGGTGCATTATAATATAACAATATGTTTTTACAACAAAGAAATATAAAAAAAAAAGTGATACTAAACATAATGAAATTCAAACTATAAAAAATGACTAATTGTTTGCACAAATTCTCTAACATTAACTGAACAGTCTAAGATGGTTCTTAAGCTATAACATTTGTTATATAAAGTTTGATTAATACTCAATTTCCATAAATATAATTATGAATTTTTCACTCTGAAAATCGCAATATGTAATCAAAATAATTCTAAAAATTAAACTTATTTCATTTCTATATTCAAATTTCTGAGACTTACAAATAATAATTTAGGTAAATAAATGAACTATACAAAAGTGATTCATGAGTCATCCCTAATTCTATCAATAGAATATCCTTGAAAGTAGTCTTAACGAAAAAGTTCCTTTAGAATACGTTCAAAACTCAACAATATGTACATGAAATGCAGTTATATAATACAGACACATGATACTTATATTGTGAATAGTAAAGACACAAAGACAATTGTCATTAAAATATTTAAATACTTGTTATGTTATGATGAAAATGTTCAGATCTTATTGAGCTGAGTAACATTCCTCTCCCTTTCCTTGTTGTCAAGGGAGAGTGAGAATAAAAAACGTGTTGGAGCACGTCAATAGATGCGATATTCCGGTATATACCGGACAAGGCGCTTAAACGACTAAACTTGATGCTAAAATATCGCTTTTCACCCCTCGAACTGCACTTTAAGACGCCTAATGTATCTGTTCATAATGTTTTATATACGATAATGAATGAAAAATATATGTAAATCAGCGTAAAAAGCTATACTTTTCTACTTTGTGATCATAATGATTTCTGCAATGGTCCGGATGTACTACTCTGCCAAGGGGACCTTTAAGCCTTATTAAGATTACTTCCCTTGATCAAAAGTAAACATATAAAATAAATGAACAATGACATTACCTTAAATTGCAAAATATTGCATAATAATTACATAATTCAGCATAATTATATGAACAGGTTGGTACCTTTACCACGAACAGGTTTCATTTCAATTCATTTTTCTATTTGACTTAAAAAACTACGACTCGTTAGATTCAAAGGCCGCAACACCCCATGCATCAACAAATAAAATCGGACCATGAAATGTAAAATTATGATGGAAATCAAACTTTTGGACGGCAATCTCAGCTTTTTCAGCTGCAACCATGTACAAAACATACACAGAGTTTATAAAATGTATTCGTACTCAAAGTTTTCGCTCCATCTGATTTTTAATTTCGAGTATGTCGTTTGTCTGTAAATATATAGTTTTTATTGGACATGATAATTGTTATATCGACCTCTATCCATGTTCTTCAGTATGAAAACTTTATGTAGACATCAAAAGAAGTTTGTAGTTGTATATTATTAAACACATAAAAATTATCTCAATCTATTCAAAATCAAACAAGATTTAATTCCGAAAGCTAAAAAGGTGGATCATATTTAAATAACTATAGTTCATATTCTAAATCAAAAACATATCCAATGTTATAAAGGCATCATTGATTTCAGTGAACATCACGTGTTCCACATTGATTTCATGCCTATATTCTCTTTTTATGAGTTATACCCTTGAGCTACACCTTTTCCCAGAATTGGACCTCCTTCGTGTAATAGCAAAGCAGGCCATACCACATAGTCGATGTGCGTCCCACCATATGAGTACGGCTTATATAAATCTGAGTTGAAGTCCGAACCCTTTGCAAGCACTGGAGCAAATGCAACAGGAGGGTTATTTACCTTAATGAAAAAAGGTATAATATTTGAAATAAAAAAAAAACAAAACAAAGATAATGTTTCATAACTAGATGTTTGAATACAAAATGAGAATATCGCAGAAACATGTACAAAAGATAAATGTCGAAATGATACATACGCATCCCCTTAAGTTTAAATGGACATTAAGAATAAGCCACAATCAAATAATCACATACAAACTCAATATGTTAAGATATGTGTATATGTTTATAAATAAGGAAACACTATACAACAGAAACGCACAGGGTGTTTTGATGGTTTTGTAAGCATGAAAGGAACAAAGAAATACGATATTTACGTACAAACTGATCTATCAACATTGAAACTGTTTATGCCTAAACGGTCAGAGTGACCTTGACTGTTGAATTCTAAACACAAAAGCAATATCGGGTCACCTACAACCAAAGACAAATGCAACTTCTATGAATTGAGGGCCAACAACCCACTGGTTATCCAGCTATTGGTCGGAAAGCGTTTTGACATGCAACGTAAATGTAAGTTTGAATTTTGACAAGGTCAATTTGACCTTAACATTTGAGTCAGTGTCCCAACAATCAAAATTATGATATTTTGCTAAACCCATTCCCCTTAAAAAATCTTGAAAAAGTGTGATCCCTTGGAAGCATCAATCACAACAAAATTAAATGAAAATTGCAGACTCGATTTGTTTGAGTCTGTACATAAGTTAAGCTAAATATGAAGTGCAGAGTACTTGTTATCCATAGGTTGCAGGTATAACTTTCAGGCAAGGTGCAAATATCCAGTAAATATGTTGTCAGACATAGAGTCTGGTCGTCATTTTTTAGGAATCTGGTGGGATTAGCAGTCCTTGAGAAGAAATTGGTAACTGATGCAAGCGGCATTTTCATTACAATTGACAAATGAAATAATAATGTTGCTCTATTACGATTCTTAGCCGTGGTTAATGTGATAAATAATGAGATATGTTACTGTAAAACAACTTAGGAAAAAATAACCTAAATGACTTTGCACAATCATGTAAGTAATTTAGTTGCCTGTATGAAATAAATCATTGATAAGCTAAAACAAAACTCGTCGTATAGATTCTCACCATCATAAACCAACACAATTCGAGGCATGCAAACGCGAATTCCTTGATTTCAAGAGCTTTCTGCACTGTCTGATCTGTTGATTGCTTTAGATGTGAAATAAACATCTGTAATATATTTATAAAGCAAGTACAATGTGTTGTGTGATACGAGTTTAAACTCGAACACGTGTATAACAATTAGAAAGAAAAGATTTCATCAGAATTTCTCATTATTTCACTTATATGTACATGTATATAAGTAAATTGGTTCTACTTTGGGAGTCAAATATACAAACAGTATTCAAAAAACAAAGTAATGATCAATTGCATCTGTATTTCCATGACTACGCAGCCACTAATTATGATTATAAAAGATATATAGTATCTTAAGTGGATAGTCTACCTTGCTTAGGTTTTCAACTGCTGATAATGCCATTGTCTGTCTGGTATTCTTTAAATGTTTTTGCACACCGTGTGGCATATTTGCAGATACCTTTGAAATGGATTTAATAGATATAAATATATATAGCGCTTCAATATTGGCAACGAAATAAGGAATATTCGTTTTCGATTGACAACAAACAAAAGCTAAGATAAAAAGCAAGTTAAAAGTAGTTTACATGCATAGTTCTTTACATACTATTGTGTACTTATAAAGAAAGCTTATCTGACAGTTTCAGCATACATACGTGTGTATCTGCAAAGATGACTACTTTCCCTAGTTCCTCAATCTGGAATTTGGCCTTATCTTCACAGAAGGTCATGGTCGCCTTAAAAGAAATCAAATCATTATTTTTAATTTTAATTTTAACTAATTTAAATATGTTAATAAGGTAAACACTCAAAATCAAATTCAATTAAATACAGTAGTTCCCCGACCAAACGAATTGATTAAAGTTAAGGTTTACGAACCCTAATGTGCTCTAATACAAATCATCTTTTCACTACTTGTATCTTTTTGAAGATATAATAAGGCATTTAACTGTTACTTTTCAAATTTTAGTAAATTTCACATTCTTTTTGTTATATTATTATTATTATTATATTTTATTGCATCACCACTCTTTGAATTTTGATCACAAAAAAAGTTTTTGTTGAGAAATAATTTATGTATTTGTTTTCATGTTGTACCTATACAATTTACACAGTGACTTTAACATGTTTAAGTTACAAATTAATTATTGCTTTTAAAAATAAATTATTTAAAATAAATGCGTGTGCGGGAAAGAACCTGGCACTATCACAGACTCAAAAATGACAGCTCTTTCCTAACAACTACAACCAATATCCACGTGTAGGATATCTTATAAAACATGTTCAATTATAATTATATGAACTAGTTTTAAAAATGTAAGACACATTTTTATTTCTATAAGATTTTGATTTTGATCCATATGGAATTAAGTTATTATCTTGCAATATAAACAATGTAAATTCACTATGTACATTTTATTTTCTACCGAAATTAGAATTTCAGACCTCTTACTTCGTATTGTAAGAAGATATATTTCCAAATACCTTTAAGATATGCAATAGAGCTTCGATTACAGCCTCATCATTTGCAAAATATGTCTCAAGAACTTTAAATGCATCCGTCCATTGATTATCATACAGCTCTGCACATTTCTCAGCAAGTTTTGTTGGACGATTCTTGTCGCTTAAATCAGTTATGTTTCGCTCATTATCTGTCAAACGGTCCACCATGACTTGATTTAGTCTTAGAAATAGTAAAGGATCAATATAAATATATAACATAAATAAATGTGCTGACAAATGTCCAATACTATGGGTAAGAAAATAAAACAGTTGAAATTGAAATAACAAATATATCCTTAATTATACCTCTACTGGTTTCACAATATCATCAGGTGGATAAAGAAAATGTACATATAGTTTAATTGCAATTTACTGTATCGCAAAAAGAAACATTGCCATTATAAAGCATATTGTTTGCAATTTCTTTAAACCTATTCTTTAAGTTACGCATTTTATGCTAAATTTGACCAGATATAATCAGCTTATACAACTGTTTTTTTATTGTGTGTGAAAATAGATATAATAATATATCAAAAGGCAACATATGTCAAAACTGTGGGTTTTATTTATCATTTATTTTTGTGAATTGTGATAATTTAAAAAGTTTGCTTTAACAAATGATTTTTCCTTGTTAAATAATAAACAGTTTTTACATTTTTTAGCAGAAAATTCAATCAATATATATTAATCAAATTGAAATTATAAAATGGGAACAAGTTTTAAGAGCTTATAAATTTTTAAATGTTTTTTTGTTCGGTTATTTTACCCAACCCACTTGTTAAGCTCTACTCTTCAGGGATAAATGGTGAGGTAAAATGTTATGCTTACATTTTTAAGCAATTTTCGAATGATAAAGAACATACATTTAAAACACAATTTTCTTTATATTAAACTGAAATTTGAAAAGTAAATGCAAGTTTTAGGATAACTGTATTTTTTGTATTATTTCGGTACTTTTACCATATCCACTTTTGAAACTCTACTTTTACAGCATAAATGCTCAGATGGGTAGTTTCATGCTCAACTTGTCTAGTGTTAAGTTGATAAAGTATACAAAATGCATTTTCTTTTATATTGTGTCAATACGGAAAAACGAAGGTAACCAAATTGTCAAAAATGTTTATTTTGGTATGCTGATAGTGATTATTTTTATAGTTTGCCATACAATTGTCAATTTTGCTTAATTGATTAAAAAATTAGCCATATGTTATCTGATATTGTGCAATCAAAAATATATTGTACAAAAACTTAAAGAATAACGTCAATAAAGAAAAAAATGTGGTATTTTGTTAATTTTTTGGCAATATTGGCGGCCATCTTGAAATTCTGTACTTTTGCCAAGGCTGCGTTAAGAAATGAGTGTTCAGAAACTACAAACAATGCTTTATTATAAATTGTTTTGTTCTTTTTTGTGATGAAATCAATTGCAAAAAACATCTTCTCTTGGACTAATCGGTACACAACAAAGTAATTTGTAAATATTATCATTTATTTTTACGTTAAAACTACGAGCGTTTTTTTCAAAATTTACAAAAAGTGAATTATTTTAAATGATCGATTGAAAGAAAATAAACTATTTTTTACCTTGTCTTAGTGTCATAGAGATCAGCTTTAGTGTCATGTAGTTTTGACATTGTAAGTTTTAACTGTCTTTTCAGATCCTTGATCTCATTTGTCAGGGCAGCATCAATTTTGTGTTCTCCTCCAGTAAGGTTTTCTAATAATATCTGTGCGATTTTTTTCTCCAGACTACTTATTTTAGAGTCGCGCTGTTCAACGTCTTTTTTAAGATCAAGTATCAATTTCTGATTTGAATTGATGATGATTTCTAGATTTTTCTGCGATTCATCTTGGTGCTTTTGGAATTGTTGAAGCTGTGCATTAAGAGCATCTATTTTGGCATCTTTTTCCTTCACTTCCTTTCCTAACGCTATTGCGTGTGATTCCATTTGGCCCATTCTATCGTTGATATCGACAGCCATTTTGCCTTTCCTGGCAATTTCTTTCTCATAAAACTGTAATTTATTGTCAAATTCATTTTTTTCTTTGTGTAGAATTTTTTCCATGTCTTGAACTTTTGACTCATTTTTATTCACCAGATTTGTGAATTGCTTTAATTTGTCATTTAACATAGATATATGATCTTCTCTATTCATTTGATGTAGTGTAAATGACGTTTCGGTTTCTTTTAGATCGGAAATTGTTCGATTTGACAAAACCATTTTTTCGTTCAGTTTAGATATATTTCTATCTTTCTCGGATAAAAGAATATTGTAGCGTTCGTTTAGATCCTCAAGCTGTCTTTCTGTATCGGTTTTGGTCTGGTTATTTTTCACAGCAACTCTTTCCAACTCCTGAATCTTCTCCTGCATCAAATTGACTTGTTTGTCAGATTCCTTCATTTTATTAAATATTTGATCACATTCCGTCTCCCGTTTATTTAGTTCGTCTTCTTTTTTCTTAAGTTCATTCTCTAACTCTTTATGTATTGTTTTAAGCTGACAGTTTTCATTATGGATGCTTTTTAATTGTTCCTCTGATTCAATTAATTTTCCTTCTCTAATTTTACTTATTTCATGCTCTTTCTCTATCGAAAAATCATTTTTAATCACCATATATTTTATTTTTTCACGGAAGTGATCTATCTCTGCACACTGGTCTATTATCTTTCTTTCATTTGAAGTGATTATTTCATCTTGTTGCGTTATCAGTTTCATTTTTTCCTGAAGGTGTACTTGTAATTGATGCATTTTTCTATCCTTTTCTTGAACCTCTCCTTCAACTTTCAGCTTCATTGCAATTAATCTATCTTGATAATTCTTTGTCCTAATCTCCAAATCAGATATGTATGATTTTAAACGCGTGCGCTCTGTGGTATGAAATTGAATTTCTTTCTCTTTGGTTTTTGCAAGCTTTTTGATTTCTTTAATATGACTATCCTCAAGAACAGAATTCTTTATTTCAAGTTGCTCGGCCATCTCATTTAGTCTCGTATTTTCTTCAACAATACTCTCATATTTTTTTTCAAGCGTATAATTCATATGCCTGACTTCGAGTAATTCTAAATCTAAATCTTTTTTACTCTTTGAAACAATATGCAGCTGGAACCTGACGTTATCCAAATCATCCGTCATTTCTTTGACTTTTTTATAATGGCTTTCTTTCTGATAATGTGAATACATGTAACAACTATAATGTGTAATTTAACTTAAGAGGTTTAATGTATATTCAATAATTATAGGTATAATTTCATTATAATTCGCGTAACATTAAACTGGCATTAGTTATGTTTTGCATATTAACCATATTACTGTAACCTTTATTAAAAGGTTGTATGAGGACAGGTGTAAAACATATTTTATATACTATATGGGCAGGAACCAGTTTCCGGACAATACCAGTTTCAGGACAAGTATTATAACGACTTAATTTTGGCTTTATCGATGACGATCGGTATTATATGTCATGAAGATGCTTGGTTTGATTGTTTGAGAAAATAAACTTCCTTCCAAGATGATACATCATTAAACTTTCGTGAGGATATCTTACCTGTGTTTTAAAAACAGCCTTATATCCCTTTGGGGCATGTAATTTGTTCTGCGCATGCGCAATATTTTGTTCATTTCGGGATATAATTTGGGGTAGCAATAAATGCACAATGTAATTCATTCGAAGTTCATTGGGTTTCATTCTCCAGAGCTAAATCTGTAACGTATCGGAAAACGGTGTTTAGCTAGGTTTACTCCACTTTCGCACTTTGTTGCTGTCGTACACACAAAAAAATATCCGTTTCACTCTTCAGTCATTCCGAGACCCATCACGTGATCGTTATTTTTCCTATCATAAACATTTTTTAGTAAATCAGATTAATTATATAAGAAAGCTAATATGTGAGAAGAATTTTTTTGTTATATTAGAATAATTATCAGTTAAAAAAAGATATGAATAGCAGCTTAATATATGTCCGGAAACTGGTACTGCAATGGTGAACAATTTACAATTTTGATGACCTTATTTAACCCTTCAGTTTGTACTTTGCTTACGTCACCAGGCGGTATTCATTGTGTTATAGACGTAGTTAGAGAGGTTTTTGGTATGTTAGTTTTATTAATGCATGTTTATTATTAAAAAATAGACAATTAAAAAAAACTCGAATTCTGTCCGGAAACTGGTTCCTGCCCAGTATATTTCTTTTCGAAAAAGAAAATCATTTTCAACACCTTAAGAATGAATCTGAAAATAATCTAATATCAATCAAACAATTGATAGTTTTGATATAATTTGTGCCTTATCATGAAAAACAGAGATTACATTAGTCATGTGTAAACAAAATCTAACCTGTATGTTTTCTTTCTTCAATTCTTCTTTTATTTCTTCTGCCAGGACGTCTATATCCGAAAAACAAGGATTCTTGGCTTTTTTAGCAAACACTAAAAGACGAGCTATAGCAAATTGCAGATTCATCGTCGTACATTCAGTGTCTTTACTCGCCATTCTATATCTATGTTTTTGACTCAAATCTAAAATAAAAGAATAATACCTAATGGTTAGATTCCTTTTTATATGAAACAAATAAACCGTGAACGATACTAATCTTAGAAGTTCTTTTACGGAAACCTACACTGTATAGCATACTGTCCACGAAAGGTGTAAGTCGTTATTGTCTTTATGATAACAAATAATAATTACTAAACAGTAATTTATTGTTAATCAATGTTAAACGAAAATAAAGATACCGTTTTAAAGTTTTTTTAAGTGCTGAAATCTATGTTGTTATGTATACACATAAGACATTATTTTATCCTTTATTTGGTATAACGACATAAGTGACCAGGCAAAATTTCTATTAAAATAACGATACATATGACACGATCAGTAATAAATACAGAGACATTTTAAGTCTTTTCGAAGTCCTACTTTCGATAATGAAACTGTTTTAATTTCATGTTGTGTGTGTCTGTGTTGAGACCAACAAAAAAGCTAAATGGTATAATTATACTTATTACAGATTGAAAGCAGTATGACTCCTGAGTCGGACTACTTTTAACATAATAATATATAAGAAAGTAAAATATGTCAAGTGAGCATGGGAAGTAATTACACGTTGCAAACCGTACTTAAAATCTTCAAAATATCACACTATTACCCACAAAATTAAAAACAACTGGTAAAATATGCAAAATACCCTTATTGCGTTAGTCACTTAGTAGAAACATGGTGTAAAAATTGACTTTAAATTAGAAAAAATGATGAGACCTAGGCACATTATAGAATAGATTACTATACTTCGTTTGATTTCGACAATAAAAAATTGAATCCAGTATTGGAATAGATAGAAAACAACAATATGATCTAAATCTTATAAACTTTTATACCCGCCCGGGCTTGGCAAAATAGGTTAATTAATGCAGTAGAACTAACTAGAGAACTTCTGCATGTCACCTAAACATAAGACACACTCACTCTCAACTTGTAAAACAATTACGCACGGCTTGAGGTTGTTTATAGCACATTGTTATCAATACAAAAAATAAATCAATTTTTAACACATTTTCAGAAAACAGATAGATCTACGTTTGTATAAGGTGTAGGACGTAGCTTCACTTAAATCGGTATGCTTGATGCATAAACAAAACCTTTTAAGTGTTTTTTAAACATGGTGTACTATTTTTGTTTAATAATTTTACCACTCGTGTGATTATCAAACAGTGTTTAAAGTGCATGAAACACTTTTAGGATTATTATGCATTAAATATATTTTCGTCGTCAATAAATAAGTTATCATCTTCTTTCATTTTTTTCTTATTTTTCATAAGTTAATATTGAAATAGATATATAAAATGAAAATAGTCAATACGTTTTAAATCATTTAGGCACAGAGCACAACATTTCTTAAATGTCAATATAGACAGTTGTTTGATAAATTAAATGATCTTAGCAACAAGATAACAAAATATAGGTCATACGAAACATCTTCTTTCGGTTTTGAATAATTTGAGATTTACAAAGAGACACACATATGGTAAAATAAAATCAGAAATAAAATACTTAAAATGGTACAAAAATCAACAATATAATTTAATTCGTATTGCATTCTTGTTTCAAAAATGAAAACCAATAACGATTTAAAATGTATACGCTGCAAAAAAAAATTCAATTTTTAAGTTAAAAGACATGTTGTATAATTAATATATTTTAAACCCCTCTATATATGGAATGGAAATTACCTTTAAAGAACAAGCACAGTTCCCATCCCTTTTTTACTCCTTCTCAAGCAATTTATTTTCCATCGTGTTTAACTGTTTCTGTGTGTTTAAAATATGTTTTACATTTTTTGGCAGTAAATGTACTTCCTTGTCAAGTGCGCTCAATCGATAAACGCTTATAACACTTAAAAAAAATTCAACTCATACCTCATTTAATATCTTATTTTAGGAGTGAGACTAAAAGAAGGATTGGAGCACCACACTAAATACCGATTTCCGGTATATACCGGACACAGCGCTTGAATGATAAAATGCTAAAATATTGCCAATTTACCCTACGGAATGAACTTTAAAAGGTCTAATTCATCTTTTCACACCGATTTATGTACGATAATGAATGGAAAAAAAATCGACGAAAAAAACGATATTTGTCTAATCTGCAAGCGTCTAGAGGTACTGCTACAATCCTGTATTGAGTTAAATCCTTATTTTAGTGCAAAGTTTAAAGGTCGGTATACATAAATTGCCTACTAGATGCGGTCTGGTAATTATTTTTGATCGCTACATCGGGCTTTAATTATAAAAGGATTCACTTCTGTTTTCACCCAGATTCTTTTGTTTAATTATTTTCTAACAGAAAGTACAAATTAACAAATCAATTCTGTATTTATTTTCTTAATAAATGTCTATCTTTAATTCACAGTTACAGGTAATGAACAACTGATTTCTTACGAGCCAATTTTTTAAGTAAATTGACGATGATTTTAGCTTTTTAAAATTTAGAAACCCTGGCCAAAAATAGCATAATCATTTTCAACTACAAATGGCTACGTTCTAACAAGACATAATATGTACCTTTCGAAAGTATGTGAACGAGCGGCTAAAATTAGCATATTCGGTAAATTTATACCATTTTCATACCAAAATGCATAAACATTTAACACATACAGTATTGAAGGCAGTTACATAAAGTAGCTACTGATTTAAATGAAGACTTATGATTTAGTTTGTAAACAGTATAGTTAGCTTAAACTGAATGAACTATAATACCTGAATGACATTGATAGTTAGATGACTGTGTATTATAAAGATACATGTACATAAATGATTTCAATGTTGTCTAGTACCATAGTAAAGACATAAATTATTGACTAATTCTTTGCACAAATTCTCTAACATTAATTGAATTTTTCTCAATATTTCATTTATAAGTATATAAGTAAATTGTGTCTATTTTGGGGGTCAAATGTAAAGAACGTATTCACAAAATAAAGTAATGAACAATTGCGTCTGTATTTCCATGACTCTGCAACCACCTATTATGATTAATTATATTAAATAAAATTAAATATGTAATATTTTCAATGCATAATCTACCTTGCGTATGTTTTCAACTGCTAATAATGTCATTGTCTGTCTGGTATTCTTTAACTGCTTTTGCACACCGTGTGACAGATTTGCAGATACCTTTGAAATGGATTTAATAGATATAAACATTGCCTTAAACGGTACGGTGTATAATGTTTCAATATTGCCAGCAAAATGTTTTGATGTCATTTGCGACATCTAAAGTAAATTCGTTTTTATTGTTTACCGCAAGCAAAAAGATAAAACTAAAAGCAAGTTGAAAATATTTTACATGCTAATACTTCTTTAAAGACTACTGTGAGATTATAAATATAAAAAGCTCATCTGACAGTTTTAAGAAGAAGTCGTCTTAATTATTTTTTCCTTCGTTTGTAACAGAAAAGTACAAATGCATGAGACAATTCCGTTTTGCTTGTGATTCAAACTTGTCACAACGAGCTGACGAAGTGATCATGTTCAAAGTCATCACTTAATGACTTGCACATTTCTTATAAGTTACACTAGTTCTAGTAGTGATAAGGATAAGTGTGTACTAAACCAAAAAGCACCTTTTATTAGCAGAAGTCATCATTTTTATGTAAATTGCTTATCTTAAAACACAAAACACAATTTCGGTAAATTTGAAATCATTTCGTATTTTGCATCTTTACCATCTTACTATAGTATGATTCGATTAATAACAGAAGCAAGACATCCCGGAAAACCAGAATCTTAACAAATTATGTCAGAAAAAAAACCCTTCCTGGGTTGAGATTCCAACTCCAAACCACAGGTATACGAACAAGTTGCAATGCAATGCAAAGTAGATCACCGTGTATAAAGATCTATTAAATGATCAATTTGTGAGTGTATGTCAGTTATTGTGCTGCACTCAGCCGTACACAATACCAAATCATTTCTGAATGAGATAACAATGTTTTTCCATTTTACATCAAATTTATGCCATTGTTACATATATCGACGTTTCAACGAATCTTTATGGATTTCAGACGAAGTACATGTAGGTGCATGTTTCCTATGTTTGTATCACTATAGATATGAAAATTCAGATATTTGTGTTTGTTCATAAAATGTTATACCCCTGATAAGTCATACTGTCACGTCCACATTTCTTTTAAGTTGAAAAGAAATTAAAAGTATATCAAAAGCCTTTGTCATTTAAATGTAATAAATAATTAATGGCCTTTTCAACGTCAGGAATACTTTTATTTGACAAAGATACGACTTTTTTCAATATTTTCCTCGATATATTGATTACCGTTTCACAGATAACGGGGGACGGCGAACATACAAAATATTGTAAAACCTTCACAAATGCTATGTATGTATTAATTTCAAATGATATGTTTATACATAAACCTATTATAAGACATTTTGTTGAAGGGTGTCTTTATGTTATAAACGAAACAAAGGCCTGAAATTAGACAAAAAATCATTTTACCGTTACGGTATTCGTGTGTACATGTATTCAAACAAATTAACAAAAAGAATAATTGAGACGTAACGTATAGAAAGATATACAATGTGGATCGATAATACCTGACAAGGAAGTTATTCGTGTTAAGTTGACGTATACGTGCAGGTTAAATAGCATTGTTAAAATTGTCAAAGGTAAACCCTGACCTATAGAATAAACAAAGATTTAACTGACACGTCGAAACTTTAACTGACACGTCGAAACATGTATTTAATTTTCGCTGAAAATTCGTCACTAGGTGTGTTTGATATCTAATATGAAAACCTTAGCGTTGAACTATTGAAGTACAATATGACAGTATGGGGGTTTCGTATTTGTGTGATATATAGGTAGACATCAAGGTTTGTTTATTTGTTTAATGCGCAGTGTCTTAGGAAATAAACATAATAATGAAGAAATAATGTTATCACAATTTTATCTCATAGTATATATTACAACAGGTTGGTAATATAATAATAATATATAGGTACATGCACATATACGATAAATAGGTGCGACAATTAGTATAAGGTGCATGTATGTCAAGTTCTCCATGTTACCTAACCTTTCATCCAGTTGTTCGTTGTGATATTTTAATCACATCACCAAAACCTGGTTGTCGTTACCATAAGGGGGAAATCAATTATTCATTAAAAAGTATCGAACATATATAGGTGTGTTTATTTAATCAAATATCAGTAACAATGTTGATAGCCTAGTGGTAAAATGAACCCTTTAGACAAAAAGATATGTGGTTTGTGCCCACTAAATTCCCAGTTTTGTTCCATACTGCGATGCCATACATTACTTCCTCACTTTTTAAATCTTTTCATTACACGGCCATTGAGACTGAACAATAACAATTAGCAAAAATAAAATTATTGGTTAAAGTATCTCTCAACCCCCCCCCCCAAACTTGCGGCTTGCATTTTTTCGACATTCTCACCACTGCATTTATAAACGATTATAATTTTTTTATATATTCGTATAGTCAATAAAATATATGAGTAAAATAGCAGACTAAAATTATAGTACTATCAACAACTGGATCATTTATGCCAATGGCAAGGTTAATATCAGCGGAAAATACTATGCATGTATAGTATTTAAATAACAAGCATCATAACTGCCGTTATATTTATATTATACATTTCTAAAAGAATATAATAAATATGCTTTTTCGTTTGCTTTACTTTGGTCCCTGAAAAGTTACAATTTCATAATACTAATAACTACAATAAATTTAAAACATATTTACATTTTGATGAGATGATTAAAACACAGTGTACAATTTAACCTAGCTACCAAATGAAAACTTAACATAATATAAAGATATATTGTAATAATGTTTTATGTAGCATAAACTAACCCAAAACAATTATCTGGCGCATTTGTATAAAATCAAATCGAATCTTCACAGCATTTCTTGATATCAATAAGTAGCAAAATGCATTGGTAATAGTTGGTACATTCTTATGTACCTAGATAGAAATTTACTATTTTGCTTCCCGATACAAGCACATCATACAACGCAGGGCGAGGGGTCTTGTAAGTCTGGGTGCATCTGCGGATGTTAATGCATGCAAAACGGTGCATTCGCGCTTTTCCTGCATAGAGGTATACATGTAACATGACATTTTTTTTAAAAAAATGTGCAAATTTCTATAATTAAACCAATTGGTTCAAGAATACGAAAGTAAGCATTACTATCAAATTTATATATAATGAAATACAAAAAAGAAAGAAAAATGATACATGAAAAAGGTAAACTTTAGAACCTGAGTGTGTTAAATGTGGAAAAGTTTAGTCAAATTTAATATACATGTATGTAAAAACAATCTTTTAAATAACAAAGAAGGCAAACACAGAAATTTGATACAAATTGATCTCTTTTGAGCTTTTTGTGCGATTTCGCATTGCAAAAACAATTTTATTCGTACAATGATATCTCATTGTCTGCTTTATTAATTAATGAATACATATACATCAAAAATTGTAATTTTACATGTTCATTAGGATAATTTCTTTGACACAGTTTTTCAACAATGACTGTCAAAAGTTATTGTAAGATGCTTAAACTAACCAATAAGAATTTTGAATTTGAATAACAACATTAAGCGATAACTTATTCACATATCGTTTAAATGATATTTCACTACCGTAACTATGAAAGGCATATTAAGGCATTCAAGATTTGTCAAAAGAAAAAAGAACAACTAAAAAATACATTTAGAGAAACACAAGTCTGTCATGTACATGTTTGTGTGTATTTACCAGTATTCATGTCAATGTTTGTGTACTCAAGTGGTAATATTTATGTATTATAAATATTGTTAGATGTTTTCCTTTAAGCATTTCTAATTTAATGCATTTTTCTTTGATTTGTTGATTCCTTGAGCAACACCTTTTGCCAGAATTGGACCACCTTCGTGTAATAGCAAAGCAGGCCATACAACATATTCGACGTGTGTCCCACTGCTTGTATACGGTTTGTATAAATCTGAGTTGAATTGTGTACCCTTTGCAAGCAAGGGAGCAAATGCAACAGGAGGATCATTTACCTATAAGAAGATTTATTATATTAAATAAGTATATTATACATATATGAAGTGTGAATCAACAAAAACATAAAAAGGTTCTATGAATACATGCAGAGGAAGTGTTTAAACTTAAATTTATTTAGCTTTTAGTTAACGGATGCAAAACCATTGCGTTGTACATAAAGATATTGATATAATTATGAATAATATTTATTATCAATAACGTTAAAACAAGAGTAAGTTATATCATTAGTTTGACTAACCATCATAAACCAGCATAATTCAAGGCATTCAAAAGTGAATTCTTCTGTTTCAAGAGCTTTTGTTACTGATTGATCCACCGATTGTCTTAGGTATGAAACAAACTTCTGGAAAAATAAAACAAGTATACTAGGCTGGCGGATGTATAATAAACGGTTAAGATAAAATAAGGCCCATCCTTTGAATAATTTGTTACAGGATTTAATACGTATTATCTAACTTGCATATGACATTAACAACATTTACAAGTGATCTTAAATTGTCAAGCTTTGACAGGAACTCAACAATTATAATAGATTGTAATAAATAAAGTACTCATATCTTGCATTTTTATCATTGCTTTCAAAAAATATCAACATCATATTTTACTTCAAAAGAAAGAGAATTGTCGTACATGTGTATAACAGCTTAAAAACTTTTTATCATGAAAACATAAAATAAGAACTATAGATATATACACTTAACCTTTTTATTTCGATATTCATAAGAACAACTGCTTTTCATGCGAGTATGTTTACAAACTAAAATGTGATGAACGAAAATATGAAGCATAATATTTTCATTTCATTTACCATATACCTAACAGTTTCGTGGTGTTATAACTTATTTACCTTACGTAGGTTTACAAGTGCTGAAGACGCCGCTGCTTTTCTTGTGTCCTTTAACTGTTTATGAACACTGTTTGATACATCAGTATTTTCCTGTGAATATTAAATAAATTGATTTGTATAAAGCTATATTACTGTTTCCTGCATCTTACAAAATGTGTGTTTGAACTTTAATAAAGAATAATTCTAAAATGACTGTATGTAAGACATATGTTGGTAAACAGTTAATTACCTGCATTTAAAGGCACCATATTAATATTTTGAACCTGGCAATTTTATCCTGTTCACGCACAATTTACATGTGTATTAGTTAATAACAATCCATATTACAAGTTTTCGAGGATAAGCCATAATATTATGAATACAACATAATTATACCGTTTATTTTATGAAAATATGTCATAAGATAAAGCTTTATATCCTTATAAACCTTTGATATGACACGCATTTTTTATTGTATGGCATAGATTGTTTGAAATGCTTTTCAAAATTAGGTATTTTTGTTACAGTCATGTCTGACATCTAGTAGTTATAATTTACACGAATATGTATACAGTATTTTTTTTAAATATTTATTATTAGATATAAAATGTTAATAAATAAATAGATAATATTAATAAATATTTCAAACAGAAATAGTAAATAAAATATCTGACATATCAGAATACATACATGCCCGTGTTTGTCTGCAAATTGCAATGTCCTTTCTAGTTCCTCTAGCTGGTGCTCGGCCGTATTCCGACAGAAGTTCATAGTAACCTTATAAATAAATACATCTGTAATGATTGTTTCTTTCTTTCATTGTCCTGTTTTACCATTATCTTTTGATAATTTAGCTTTAATTGGTATATGCGTCTTGATCGATACAAAATATATATATATAACGCTAAAAGGAAAAGTACATAAAACGTGTCTGTTATCGATGCAATATGAAGTGATACGCAATGGTTTCTATACACAAACTTAAAGAATCTTGTAATTGTATTAACAAATAAATTTTATTGGTTTAACGTAAAGCATAATGACACACATACGAGGGCTGTTTAATAAATACGCGGCAAAGTGCTGCCATATTTTTAAGATTCATGGGAAATTTAAGTTCTCTTTATATTTTGTAAATAAACATATAATAAACATGTACACAAAATTTCAATAAAATCGGATACAAATTGATAGTACAATTTCAAGTATTTCTAAGGTAATCGCATATGAGGATTCAAAAAAGTAAATTAAGTAAATAAAGACAGCATTAAATACTTTATTTTAAAGATTAGTATATATTTGAAATTAAACTATACACTTAAAGTAAAATCCAATTTATCCTATAATGTGACAGAACCAATTGTAAAAACTATACAGTAAATGCCCCTTAATAATAACACGAACGGTACTGACTAAACTGTTCTTAATAGTGAATAAGCCACTTTTAGAACTTATTTTATTTTAGAAAATATTAAGTACTCGTGTTGGTGCATAATTTCATTTACTCAATTTTATAACATTTGCGCAGACCAATAGACTTATTCAACTATTAATAACATATCTAAATAAAACTCCCTTAAACACTCCTTTTGTGAACATTGTGAATTTAGCGACTTTTGAAATACTTTCCAACAAATAAATTTAAATGCTATTGACCGATACATTTTTTTTCACACCAAAGCTCAAGAAATATAAGCCCAATCATGCCGACGCTTGAAGCGTAAATCTAGAGTCTAATAAACCAAAACAGATAATGACCTCGTTTGACCCGGTGTATTTGTTTCCGCCAGATGAAAGATTCTGCTAATGTGACAATAAACACAATCATGAGGTTTTGTGGTCATTTATTCGCATGGTCGTAATACAGGTTAATGATTTAATAAGAAATACACATAAATGTTTGTCAGAAGTGGCGGCAGTGCCGGATTAGAGATGTGGTCGGCATACTGATTGTTTCTGTCATATATTTTGTACCTTTGAAAAGGACCCTTTTTTAGCGGCATGGTCCTATTTGTGGCGTGGTCGGTAGGTGGTTCTTGACTGTATATAATTACAGTTATGTTCACTACCTTTTCTCCTTTTATACCCATATTTTTGGAAAAATTAAAGAAAAAATATGGTGGCGGATTTGTGCCATTCGTGTTTTTCCCTGAGACCCCACCAAGCGAAAATTCGAGAATTAACAAGTTAAAACTGCGGGTGCGCGGAGCCAACCACGCTTATAAACGGAGGCGCGGGCAAAGTTAAATAAATGGACATTCGCCATGCGGGGGCGCGGGGCAAGATTTAAGTAATAAAACGGCAGGGGCGAGGAGCGAAAACACGCTAATTAGCATAATTAACTTCTGCAATTTAACTTGTTAGTTATCGACTTTTCGCTTGGCGGGGTTGTGTGACGAAAACACGCTTATTAGTTTTATTTGTTCAACTTTGCCCCGCACCCCCGGTAATTAGCTTGTTTTCGTCCCGCGACCCCGTTTTATTTCTTAAATCTCGCTCTGCGACCCCACAAGGCGAAGTTTTATTTATTAAACTTCGCCTGCGTCCTCGCTTATAAGCGTGTTTTCGCTCCGCAACCCCGCCATTTTAACTTATTTATCGACTTTTCGCTTTGTGAGGTCATGGGACGAAAACACGCTAATTAGCGGGGCGCGCGGCGAAGTTTTTACTTTGCACTGTGCACCGCGCCCCTACTAATAAGCGTATTTTCGTCCCGAGACCCCGCCGTTTTATTTCATAAATCTATCTCAGCGCCACCCCCAGGCGAAGTTTTATTTACAAAACTTCGCCATGCGCCCTCGCTTATAAGCGTGTTTTTGCTCCACGCCCCCGCCTTTTTAACTTGTTAATTTTCGACTTTTCGCTTGGCGGGGTCGTGGGGCAAAAACACGAATAGAACAAATTAGCCACCATAAAAACCTGAATGGCATTGTTACCTGTAAGACGTGCAAAAGAGATTCAATCACAGCCTCATCAGTTGAAAAATACTTTTCAAGAATTTCAAATGCATCTGTCCATTGATTATCATACAGCTCTGCACATTTTTCAGCAAGTTTTGTTGGACGATTTCTGTCGCTTAGGTCTGTTATGTTTGGATTGTTGTCTGTCAAACGGTTCCCCATAGCCTTACTCAGTCTAAAGAATAGAACTTAGCTATATGTTCTTAAGTTAATCAAAATGGTCACATTAAGTTTTGATATAAAGCCAAGGAACATGTAAGTATTGTTTAATTTGCTATTGAGTTATATATGTTTAAAACAGAAATACTGATATTTTTTTTAAAAGATCATAACAATCTTTGGAAAAAAAGATTTACCTTGTCTTTGTGTCATCAAGTTCAGCTTGTGTATCATGTAGTTTTGATAATGTATGATTAAGTTGTTTCTTCAAATCGCTGATCTCATTTGTCACTGCTGCATCCGTTTTGTGTTTACTGTCATGTATGTTCCCTGAAGAGTCCTGTTCAAGTTTCTTCCCAAGTCTGTAAATTTTAGAGTCTCGCTGCTCAACTTTTTTCTCAAGATCAAGAACCAATTTCTCCTTTGAATTGATAATGTTTTCGAGATTTTTCTGAGTTTTGTTGTGGTGTTCTAACCTTTGCTGCAGCTCGGTAGCAAGGTCATCTATTTTGACATCTTTTGCTTTGACTTCCTTCCCTAAATCTTCTACTATTGCTTCCATTTTATTCATCCTCTCATTGATTTTGACTAACATTTTCTCTTTTTGAGCAATTTCTTTTTTACAGAAATTTGAATCGTTGTTAAGATTGGATTTAACTGTTTGCAATTTATTTTCCATTTCTCGCAATTCTATTTCCTTTGTTTTTACCATTTCTGTGCACTTCTCTAATTCGTCATTTAACATAGAAACACGATTGTCTTTTTCTCTTACGTCTAAATCAAGTGATTTTTCTGTATCTGTTAGATCGGATATTTTTTGTCTTAATTCAATGATTGTTCGGTTCAATTCTGATTTTAATTTATCTTCTTCCATTACAAGTTTTACATTCTTCTGCTTAACGGTGACGGATTTCGTATTTATAGTGTCAAGCTGATCAGTTTGATGTTGGTCATATTTTGAGGAATCTTTTTGCAATTCTGCATTTTTCTTTTGTAGTACAACGACTTGCTCGTCGGATTCCTTCAATTTACGCATCATTTCAGCACATTCTACCTCCTGTTCACGACGATCCTTTTCTGCTCTCCCTTTTCCATTTTCTAAAATTTCATTATGTGTCTTCATCTGACACATTTCATTTTCGATGTGGTATAATGGAAGCAGCTTTATTTTATTTTTTATAGAAAGTGCAACCTCTTTCATACAACACGTTTTACCAATATCATCATATTTTGTAACACATTTATCGACATGCATAGACAGTGCTTCTGTATACGTCTTCTGTGGTGATATAACTGCATCTAATTGCATATCGATATCAAACAGTGTTTTAAGTACTTCTTCGGTTTCATCAGATAGTTCTATTTTTTTCTTGTCTAAAAGTTTTCTAGTGTCACATGTTTTATTCCCTTCGTCAACTAAAGGATCATTTTTAATTTTTAAATCTTTAATGCACTGGCGAAGGTGATCTATCTCTGCACGATACTTCTTATCGTTTGAAGAGATTATTTCATCTTTTTCAATATTTATTTGCATATGTTTACTAAGATGGCCGCTACATATATCAATCTGTCTGTCCTTAATTCGAATCTCTTGTTCATGTTTAAAATTCATCTCTTTTACTTGATTTTGACATGTTTGTAATTTCATCTCTAACTCGGTATTGTAATTTTTACATTGCATTTGCTCTTTTGTAAGAGTTTGAATTCCCTTTTCTTTAGCATTGGAAAGCTTTTCGATTTCAAATTTAAGAACAGTGTTATTTATTCCAAGTTTTTCAGCTTTATTCTTTAGCGCCTTATTTTCTGCAATAATATCATCCCATGTTTTTTCATACGTCATTCCTAGCCTGGCGTCGTTTATTTCTTTCTTTGCATTTTCCAAAGTTTTTAAAACATCACGAAGCTGTAACCTGTAACTGTTGATATCGCTTGTTACGTTGAAGACTGTTTTTTCAAGGCTTTTGTCCTGATGATTTAGATACGTATTAAGTAAAGCATGCACACAGATATGAAAATCATGACTATTGGCAATAAATTATTAAGAGTTATGTGTTGGAAGTTAACCGTACTATTGCAAGTGTAATATATGATACTATATTATGAAGCAGTAGTATTATAATTAAGTTAATCATATATGGTAATATTTTGTAGTTTTTGAAATATATTGCAAGTACAAAAAAATAACAATAAACAAAAACATATAAAACTTTAACATTTCAACAAGTAATAAAGATTAAACATTAGTAGTAATTTCAAACAAATCTTACTTGTCTTTTTTGGTTCTGAATTTCACTTCTTATTTCCTTTGACATGTCTCTTAAACGAGAATAAGACGGATTCTTATGTTTTTCTATATATCCAATTAGATTAGCTACGACTGACGCATCGATCATCTTGAAGCCAATATCTTTACTTTCCATTTTGTATTTTTTCTCTGAAGCCCAAAAAATACTTAATGACAAGTTCCAGGGCGTCTGAAATGATTATATATTTAATTTAATAGATTATTTGATTACAATTAATTTAAAAAAAGAAAAAAAGAAAGAATGTCAAACAAAAACAACAATTTTTCACCACAAGTAGGTGTTAGGGCACGTGTTAACATGGAAAAACTAGTTTTAGGGTAATTCCAAGGTTTTTCATCATTTTTGTTAAGGGTTGGCCGTGCATATTCATATGACCAACTGCAAAATGAAGATCGTGACCCGATTATCAAATGCTTAATAATCGTCAATGAATTAATATGCCGACAAAGGTGATATCGATGTAATTGTTAAACTAAGGGACTGTTAGTAATCTTATTTACAATAGAAGGGGTCAACGACTTACACATTCTTATCTGTAGCACTCAATGTATGTTAACACTTTGTGTCTTTTTTTGACCGTATAAATGTTTTTAGACAATATTACCTGTAACTCACTGCCTTATCTGTTGATATACGATAATTAATAGTTTCTTACTCAATAAGGTGTCTACTTATTATGTTCTATGATATGTTACTTATAGAAATTTTTACATTAACTGTTAATTCAATAACACGATCTTACGCTATGAGAAAACTATATACCGATGATGTTTTTAATCAGGACTGCTCTTAAACTCAACGAAATTAACAACATAAAGTGTTTTCTAAATGTTTTATCTTTTCAAAACAAACAAGATACCTTTGAGATAAAACAACTTTTAAGATTTTTATGCCTTATTTTGCTAGACTGATTGTCAAATGTATTACATTTTCTAAGTACATTTATTCGTAAAAATTGATTACCATGCCCGCCAGATATAGAATAAGAATTCTCATTTTTAAGTATTTGATCCGATTTCTGTTCTGCATGTGAAATTTAACAGTTTTCTGAAATAAAATTGAAAGCTTATATTTTGGAAAGTTATACTTAGTCTAGCTTAAAACAATCACCACTCTTCAACTGTGACAGCATAGTAAGTTTGATGTTTGACTAATATGAATGAATAGGATATTTGGTACGACACTTTCTGTTGATAATTGTTTTTATCTTCTCAATTTTGGCAGAGATGGTCGATTTATTTCAAACAAGTACACACCGATGCGGAGCAACTCAAGAACAGTTTTCTCTCATTTTGTATCGTTTTATACCAATTTTAATTTTATTGAATCTAAAAACATTGAATGTTAGATATTTATGCCTACAAATGATATTTAGATAAGGATATTTTGCAAAAAGAAGTCCACAACATATCGAAACAAAAAAGCTAAAAGTCATGGTTCCAACAATGTTGGAAATATAGATAATGATAATCTTGGCTGTTTCAATCTATTAATACGTAGGTCGTGTATAAAAAACCCCATAAAAACAACATAGTTTACCATATTCAGTTTAACTCTCGGTATAACTTTTTTAATAAACAATTTTAAATTCAAGTACATCTTACTGCGTACATCTCACAATCCGCGCTAAAAGTTATCGTATGCACTGACCATATATTCAGAAAGCAATTCACAGGTTGATGATATCAAATAGTGAAAAACAGAATCCCTAAAGAAGGCCCAACACGTCAAAACTGTAAATGTTGCAGGCTCGGTTTGATTGAGCCTGTTCATGGACGGTAATGGAAAGTGCAAGTTACTGTCCACGCCCCCTAGCACCGGCTTAAGCAGAATTCAACATTTAACACGAAAATGGTGAAATTTTGAATTTAGAAACTTCCGCAGATGTGTTCATACGGCGGTTATCATTTATTACACTATCATTTATTACTATAAAAAAACATTAACAAATATTTTGAAAATGTATAAAGAAAGTAAGATTTTGAAAAGTAAAGCAATTCTTTGTCAAAACGATACGGAAATGGTACAAAGAAAATTATTACGAATTCTAACACGCTTTATAATTTTCCCCTATCGAATAGATAGAGCAATGATGTGCGTTTTTCAGCGATATATTCACGTCATAATATGCCGTCACATATTAAACAAAATGACGTTTGGAAATTACTTCTACGCTCAATAAAGTTCTCGTGTTTTCTTCAAATTGAATGCATATTTTTATTGTATGTATAGCATTATTCTACACCTAATATTAATTCTCTATTTTTATCAGGAAGACCTTTGCTCAGATTATTTGGAAAACTGACAAATATGCTTTATGATAGAACGATCATGATTATGTAGTTTCTCATATACTGTAACAGTCTAAAACTTTCGTTTGCGAAACCATTGTCAAGAAAGTGATTTTATGACAAAATAAATGAGCTTAGCGACAAGACAATAATTATTACAATGTGGGTCATACGAAAATTCTACTTTCGTTTTCAAGTATATGCAGTTTACAATCAGTCACATACTTACTTACTTTAAGATCAGCAATCACGTACTTAAAATAAATAAAACAAAAATATTTTCTCGATAACAATACTAAATTTGATAAAAAACAACAACATTTCATGTTTGTTTCAAAATGAAAATGGTGTATGTACATGCATATGTTGTTTAACAATAACATAGCCACGCCAATTTAACATTGTATTAGAAATATATTAAAATATCTCTAAAAATATAGAATAAAATGAAACTTACATCTTAATCCCTTGTGCAACACTCACTTTTTGTTGTATTTTTCCCTCCACATAAAATATTTTCTCCATTGTGTTTTACTGTTACTATGTGTGTACGTCAATTTACTTCCTTGTCTAACGAGCACTCCACTTCACAAAACCGATATCAATGTATAACACATAAATATAGTTAAACATGATTAGTATGCTACGTTTTAAGTTAAGTCCCGTTTATATATGCTTTATGTAGAAACAATTATAATATAATATTCGATAATGTATCCAAAAACATCCATGTATCATTCTTTCATAGTTTTTGGCAAAGTATAATACTGAATACTATTAACGTTATCATGCATGGACTAATGTTTGACCTACTTTCAACTACGAATTAATTTAAGAGTTTAAAAGTTTAAAAGTAGGAAGGGATCGCACGCTTGTTTAGATTTACTGCTGTACTTATTAATCTTTCAGCTAAAAAAACGGTTAAAAGGGAGTGAAAGACAAATATATATATATATATATATATATATATATATATATATATATATATATATATATATATATATGAAAGAAAGAAAGTCATGAGCGAGAAATTATTACCATAGCGGCGAGCTATTTATAGCTTCTTTTACCGCAATTGGCTGACTCAGTCACTATTAATTTTCTTATTACAAATATCTTATGGCAAACACATTTATTGTTTTATAAGACCATTCCCGCCCAAGAATGAATATATATGAAAGAAAGAAAGACATGAGCGAGAAATAATACATAGAAAAATCGCACGAAAAATCGGCACGCCGCAGCCGGGACTCGAACCACGGGTCTCTGGATTGCCGGTCCAGTATGCTAACCACTACACCACAGCGGCCGTTGCTTTTTCTTCGTGCTAATTGGCCTTATATATTTAAGTTATTTTTAACTTTATTGTGACGTCATCACTTTTATTACCATAGCGGCGAGCTATTTATAGCTTCTTTTACCGCAGTTGGCTGACTCAGTCACTATTAATTTTCTTATTACAAATATCTTATGGCAAACACATTTATTATTTTATAAGACCATTCCCGCCCAAGAATGTATATAAATGAAAGAAAGAAAGTCATGAGCGAGAAATTATACATAGAAAAATCGCACGAAAAATCGGCACGCCGCAGCCGGGACTCGAACCACGGGTCTCTGGAATGCCGGTCCAGTATGCTAACCACTGCACCACAGCGGCCGTTGCTTTTTCTTCGTGCTTATTGGCCTTATATAATTAAGTTATTTTTAACTTTATTGTGACGTCATCACTTTTATTACCATAGCGGCGAGCTATTTATAGCTTCTTTTACCGCAATTGGCTGACTCAGTCACTATTAATTTTCTTATTACAAATATCTTATGGCAAACACATTTATTATTTTATAAGACCATTCCCGCCCAAGAATGTATATAAATGAAAGAAAGAAAGTCATGAGCGAGAAATTATACATAGAAAAATCGCACGAAAAATCGGCGCGCCGCAGCCGGGACTCGAACAATAAAGTTAAAAATAACTTAATTATATAAGGCCAATTAGCACGAAGAAAAAGCAACGGCCGCTGTGGTGTAGTGGTTAGCATACTGGACCGGCAATCCAGAGACCCGTGGTTCGAGTCCCGGCTGCGGCGTGCCGATTTTTCGTGCGATTTTTCTATGTATAATTTCACGCTCATGACTTTCTTTCTTTCATATATATTCATTCTTGGGCGGGAATGGTCTTATAAAACAATAAATGTGTTTGCCATAAGATATTTGTAATAAGAAAATTAATAGTGACTGAGTCAGCCAACTGCGGTAAAAGAAGCTATAAATAGCTCGCCGCTATGGTAATAAAAGTAATGACGTCACAATAAAGTTAAAATTACTTAAATATATAAGGCTAATTAGCACGAAGAAAAAGCAACTGTGGTGCAGTGGTTAGCATACTGGACCGGCAATCCAGAGACCCGTGGTTCGAGTTCCGGCTGCGGCGTGCCGATTTTTCGTGCGATTTTTCTATGTATTATTTTTCGCTCATGTCTTTCTTTCTTTCTCATATATTTATTCTTGGGCGGGAATGGTCTTATAAAACAATAAATGTGTTTGCCATAAGATATTTGTAATAAGAAAATTAATAGTGACTGAGTCAGCCAACTGCGGTAAAAGAAGCTATAAATAGCTCGCCGCTATGGTAATAAAAGTGATGACGTCACAATAAAGTTAAAAATAACTTAATTATATAAGGCCAATTAGCACGAAGAAAAAGCAACGGCCGCTGTGGTGTAGTGGTTAGCATACTGGACCGGCAATCCAGAGACCCGTGGTTCGAGTCCCGGCTGCGGCGTGCCGATTTTTCGTGCGATTTTTCTATATATATATATATATATATATATCTATCTAGTACGTAATATACTTTCACATTTATTTCATTTGTTAAGCCAATGAAAATAAATACAAAAATGAGTACAATGTCAAGCCAAGTTCCAAACGTTAAAAAGATATCTTTCTGCTACTAATATTGAAATAATATTATTCGTTATATACTAAAATACCAATTAGTTAAGTACATATTTGTCTGCAAACTGTCTAGTAGAAATTTAAAAATCAGCTTTACAATCCGTATACATAAACAAATTTAGTATTTGTGCGTACGAGGGGGCGTATTCTATACACCATAATCAATATCCTATCAATAATAAAACAAGATTTAAATGAATACATTTGCATTAACCTGATATTCTAAATACTTGTACGTAAACATATGCTTCAGATATCGACTGAAATTTAAGATGTTACACTTTAAAGGGATTTAGTGCTTGTTATTTTATTGATGAGCTATTTTAATTAGTCAATTATTTCAATTACTTATTTATTTTAAATCTATCCATTGTTTCAGATTGTCATGTTGATGTTTTATGAATACGTCTAAATTGACGTGCAATATTAAATTTGTATACATAACTTAAGGAGTAAATAATTTTACGTTCAAATATAGTTTGGAGTAAAGTGTATACAAATACTGTGTACGAAAGGACTGTTTATAGAAATTAAATAGCAGTTAGTTGATCTTAATGCTTCATCGTGATATGTACAGGCATAATCCTAAAAGGCCAGTAATTCATGATTGCCGGCTAATCGACATTAAATGTGAACAACTGAAAGAACAAGTAAATCAACAATCGAAAGCTATACGGGAATTAAAAGATTCAAGTGATGAAGTATTTTGGCTACAGCATCAGGAGATAATGAATTTATCAAAAAAGGCAGAAGTTTGCAAACGTCAACAAAGTAAAATGGTAAAAATGTTGAAGGAAAAAGGACCAAACAATTCATAACCACAAGAAAATGATTGATTCGTACGTAAAAAGAACTGATGAATATATATCGGATTTAAAAGCCAAATTATCAATAGCTTTTACTGAAAAATACCTCATAGAGATGAAACTGAAAGATAATTTTAACCTACAAAGGAAAACCATTGAAAATCTTGAGAAGAATATCACGACACGTGACAAACTGCTGTTTGAAAAAGATGAACAATTATATGCACAAGAAAGACAAATAAAAAAAATTACTAAACAATTAGAAGACATAATGAATGAAGAATTGTCACATCGTGGTAAAGTCAATGCTATCCAATCCGAATCAAAAGGCAATACACACGATAAGGACATCGGCAATCGTGATGGAAGTAAAACGAAGGTCATCATAAAAGAAAGTGATTTCGATAAGGAAAAGATTGAAAAAGAATTAACGGAGCTTAAGACTAAGTTAGAATTAACCTTATCAAAGTTACAGGAGACAGAAACAGAGCTTGAGAACACAAAGACAAGGTGATTTCTATCATTAATGCAAATATTTGAAAAATTGTATATTTCTCTTATACAAATAAATATTCGCTTTTATCGTGACATGTTTAAAGTATATAGAATACGTTTTTGAACAACCAATCGATTATTTTTTCATTTGATACCTATTATAACATATTATTTTTCCATTGTCTTAAAACCCATAATATCGGTCTTTCAACTTACAGACCATATCATATTCAACTTATGTTTCCTTTAAGTAAGTTTATATTCTAATATTCTTTTTTTAAATTATGTAATGATTGCAATATGACTATCTGTTCCTGCTTGAATTTCTTAATTACTTAACATCGACTTATATAAAATCTTACTTTTAAAGACTCAGCAAAGCAATGGGCGATAAACTGACAGATAATAACCCAAACATAGCTGACCTCAGTGACAAAAATCGCCCAACCAAACTTGCGGAAAGATATGCCGAGCTGTATGATAATCATTGGACCGATGCTTTTGATGTTCTGCAAGCTTTCAACCAAGGAGAAGAAACAGTGATTGAAATATTAATCAACATTTTAAAGGTCACATCGTTTCTTTTTTTCTCTCTCTCAATCGTCTTCGTATAAGGTTTAAGTTTATTGAGCTATAGATAAAAGCAATGACAAATAAGTTGCTTGTTTTGTAAATAATCATTTAGGCAGGTTATTAACGTTGAAAAATGCAACTAATTCCTTTTTCATAATTTTAGAATGTAATGATTTTCTGTCAATCAAAAGCACTGGAGCAGATTAAAACCCTGAAAAAAGTTCTTGCGTTCGCCAATGAGCCAGTAAGTACAGGCGTTTTAACTTTAAGAACATTTGATGGAATAAAACCTTTCAAAATTAAAAGCGTATTAAAGTATTTAGTGCTTTGAACTCTAAGCCTCTTCGAATTAGTACATGAGTTAGCGATTCCGTTGATTATAATACAATATATAAAGCCAGTGTTACAATATTTCTTTTGAAAGTTACATACCCAATGCATCGTTACAGATTTCAGAAGATGTGTCGCCGGATTTTTGGAAGGTATTAAAAGATGCTCGAAAGGCTCTGTCAGGGATTTCTCTCGAAAATCTCCACCAGGTATACCATGTAACAAATATTTCAAACAAGAATTATTCCCTGTTAAATATAGAAAATGTTATGTGTTTATGTTACTGATGATACGGCAAAACAAAAATACGTTAATACTTTCATATGAATGGAAATAAAACTATTTTACAATTGAATTGACTTATCTGTTGCATGTGCCAAATTTATGGCACGTGTTAGTCATTCCGTAAGTTGTTCATGTTCTATTATTACTTTTCAGATGTTCATATCAAACGGTCAAGGTTCTACAAATGATACAATAAAGTCAGCGTTAAAAGTCGGCAAATTTACCAGGGAATGTATTGAGATTTGCTGGTACATGGCGGTAAGTAATACTGTATACGTCTGTATAATTTATTGATCATGCTAATTTTCTTTTTAATTTGCACAATCTATTTTAAATACAGGATAACTTATGATTTGATTTTCTTCTTAACCCTTTACCTGCTGAATTCTCGTAATTGAGTTGTTTGGTGTCCATTCATGGAATTGTTTATAACTAATTTAGGGATGCAATGATGGACATTTAGATGTTGTCAACCAACAGTGAAGAGCCTGGCCAGACTGTATGGATGTACAATCTGGCCGGATCTCTACTGGTGACAAAGGCAAATCCATTTTGGTTCAGCAGAGTAAGGGTTGGGTGTCAGTACTTTAGTATTTATAAGACGACAAATATGATGATGCATTTTTCCAGTCTTTGTGTAAAATATTTTTATCACTGAAAATGATTGAAATTCATGAAATTCTAACTGAATAATTATGTTAATCTTGTATAAAAAAGTGTAAATTATATATGGGAAGCTGCATTCCCAATTATGACTCTCGTTAAGTTTATCCTTTCTTAAAAGGTATGTTAAGGTTTTGATGACATTATGTATCCATTTTGTGTCTTCCTAACATGTGTAAAGTATAAAACATATTAAAATTTTACTTTGTGTGCAGTCAAAATGTGTTAATGTTAATTTCATATTTTCAAAGAGACTGTGTTGCAATTGGAGTATATATCTTTGATATCCATGCTAATCTTATTATTCAATTCTTTATACAATTCATAATTCTTATAGGTACAGGATCCACCTGTGACCTTGGGACCAATTTCTGATAAAGGCTCGGTTTTCAATGCAGACATGTACAAGGCATACACAGTTTCCGGGACACATGTAGACTTTGTCGTCTGGCCACCGCTTCTTTTACATGAGCATGGACCGATCTTAGCAAAAGGTGTAGCTCAAGGCTATGTCAGAAAGCCATAGATTTTTGATACTATCACTTGAACAAAACTATCTCTCAACCAAAGTGATCAATTTTATAATTTACACATAAAAGTTATGTTGCACAACAACGGAACGTTTAATAAAGTGACAAACACTTACATTTGTTTTGTCAAAGTTCCAAACTTACAACCTCATTTTGACGATTTAATAACAGCTAAATGTTCAATTTTAAACAACAATAGCAGCCTAATTTGATAAGTGAATTTTGTATTCTAGGAAATTCATCTCTATACAAATGTGGATTTTTTTAAATATCGGAACATAAAGCATATGACATAAGCCTTTGTTTCAAGAAATATCATCGTGATTTTACTCTAATTTCTGTTTAATGAACTGTCAACGTTAACCTAGTTCCGTGATTTATGTTTTTAACAATTCTGTTTTTTAATCCAATAAAAACAATTAAGTTGAACACTACTAAATATATATTTTTTTACATTTTCCTTTATGTCATTGATTCTATTATCAATGTTAAACAGGAAAATCAAATTTTGGTTAATATACGTATTGCTTGTGTTTTGGAAGTATGTTTTTAAGGCCCAAAGAATAATTTAGTATACTGTTATATGACATGAAAATACATGAAAACTTTGTTGCTTTGCTCTATGAAACAGCAAAAAAAAATGCTTTGAGTTGCAATAAAAAAATTAATGATCTTCCTATTTCTTCATGTTCATCGTACATTATTAATGACTTGGTTTGATAATTGATAGCAAGTGGTCAATTTTGTTTTACTAATAACACCTTATAAAAGTCATGCTGACAAATTTTAGGTAGGTCAAAACGGACTCAATCCATACCTCTACAGCCAAGAACTTTTACTTAGTTGAAAGAAATTTAACGTCATGAGATAATAACAATTAAATGAAATTATTGTTCGAGACATGTTTTATGTTGACTTCATGTGAAACATTCAAAGAGGAAAACGGTAGAAAGATTAATGTAATTGTTCATTACCTGGCCAGCTGTTGCAATAGTTTTGTAATTTAGATAGAAAAAGCAAAGACACAAACAATGAATAGAATTGTTCTGCGGATATATGTTTGACTGTTATACTATAGTAAATTCATTTTGAAACCTAGTGCAGTATCAATATAAAACGAAACACGAATATTTAATGTGAATAGTAAAGATACTAAATACATATTCTGATAATTTCCTTAAATCTAAACAGTAATATAAATATTATCCCTGTAAGTTTTTACTTTTGTAACTGCATGCTTGCTTATGTTGTTGAAAGGAACGAACGAATGAACGAAAGAACAAACGAATGAACGAATGAATGAATGCATACTATTTGATAGCATAACATATGTATATGACTAATATACTCTGTTACCTTTGTACTGATCAATAAGTAAAAAAGAAAAGAAAATAACAACGGTTTTTAACCTCAGTTATTTAAAGGGCGATAATTCTTTTGGCTATGGCTAAACACGCGTTGGATTCATCTAACTTACAAAAAAGTTTGCTTTTGGTTGCATGCCAAGTTACTTGACAGTGTCATCAACATACCATAAATCATTTCTATGCAGAAAAAATCAACTACTTGAGAATTTTCGATCAACTTGATGTTTTATTTCGCTATATAACTATACAAACAATACAGCTCCGTAAATTGCGACATGAAATAAAACAAAATGTAGCCATCTAAGGCTGATTCAGATATCTTTTGATAACGTTTGATAGTTGTTGAACCTTGTAAAATCAATAATGTGTAGTTGATCACATTCGTTAATATCGCACAGATAAGAATATGAATTGAATTTCTTTATTCGGAACAGGAAGTTAAACGTCAGTTTTGGATCTATGTTAGTTTACCTGCGTTTGACCAAACGACAATTTAAGGACTTAACAGTATTTATGAATATTTTCTTCGAGTAAGTGCTTTATTTAATTTAATGCTGTATTCTGAGAGAAAAAAGTTATGAATTTAGTTATCTGTATTGTTGACTAAAACATTGTAAAATTTTTGTAAAGTAATTGACATTTAAATATTATATATAATAAGTTAAATCTATGCATTTGCTTTTTCCTGTTTATGTGATTTGTACCAGGTCTTTCAAGAGAAAACGGCTGTAGGATCGCGTCGTAGGTCTTGATACTTAGAAAGTTTATTGACTGTCTGATCGGGCACATTCATTTTCTATTGAACCGCTTCAGTGTAGAAGAGTTGAATCTATCAGTAGAATTTACAAAACCCGCTTCGGCCAGTATAGAAATATGACTTAATAATATTTTTCTTACTTAGATGAATTTGGCTCTCAGGAGTGCATAGAGTGGACCAAATAGTAGAAGAGTTGAATCTATCAGTAGAATTTACAAAATCCGCTTCGGCCAGTATAGAAATATGACTTAATAATATCTTTCTTACTTAGATGAATTTGGCTCTCAGGAGTGCATAGAGTGGACCAAATAATTTTCGTGGACCAAAGTAATCACAGAGTAGTGGTAAGGCTGACACCTTAGAACATTTAAAAACAATGGCAGATAATGGGAGAATTCAAAAATATATTATCTATGATGTCCATTGCTTGCACATTTCGACAACAGCTTTCTTGGAGAAGTTGCATACACAAGATATTGCACATACGCATGTACTAGATGTTCTTTTTGATGAAGTTTTAACAGACATTACAAATATTGTGTATCACGTGAGTTATGTTTATGTTTTCCTTTATAGTTCAAATTTGTGTTTAATCTTTTAAATATTAGATCATTGTTGTCATGATAATTATACTGTCCTCTTGCATTTTCTATTGTTTTAAACACACTTTGAAATAATTATTTCTAATACAGATAAAGAAGAACGTGGATGAAATATGCAATCATTTGTTAGTTGTGAAAGAAGCGGAAAGTGCGTTACAATGCATGCCGATGCTAGAAGATGCTGACATACCAAATGAATTGCTAAAAAAGAAGCGGCGTATTGACCTGAAAGAGTTAGAAAATCGTGGCAATATTATAAAAGATCGGATGCGTAATGAAGAGGCAAAACACAAGGAACTACAGAAACTGATTAATCAAAATGCCAACCTAGAGAACAAACTTTCGAAAGCCGAAAAGAAATATAGCGAAACAAACGAAAAAATAAAAGCACTAAAAGTAAAAAACAATCAATTGCACGAAACCATTTCATCACTTGAGAATGAGAACAAGAGTCTTTATATTGACATCGATAAACAAACACAAAAAATAAAGAAGCTTGAAAATAATTTAGTTTTAACACGAAAAGAGTGTAACAATCAACGTGAACTGCATGAAGCAAATGTGAAAAGCCTTGAACAGAAACTTACACACCAAACACAACTTCTACACGATAATGAAATGAAAGCACAAGAAGTCGACAAACATGAAAAGAAAGAAATTCAGACAAAGGAATTAGAAATGTCCGAGATAAATGATAAACTGCACATTGCCCTTCAATAATTAAAAGCTTATAAGCAAAGTAAAGAGGAGGAATCGTTAAGAGATAACCTTTCGAAGTATGAATTAGAGCTAGAACAGCAAAATCAGCAAATTTGTCATCTCAAAGATTTGTTTAAAGATTCAGAGCTGAAGACAGAACAGCTTAATGGAAAAAATAGAATTCTAGAAACGAAAGCAAAAGACATAAATATAGAGAATAACAATCTAAGAGAGGAACATCAACATTTCCGGAATGAAATCAAGCATCGGGATAAACGAATTTCAGACTTAGAAACCAAATTGCGGGTTGCAGCAGAAGAAAGGATTAAAGAAAAATCATTTGAAAATGAGAGGGAGGCTCAGCTAAGAGATCAACTTCATCAAACTATTGAAGAGCTACATGCCACAGAAGCTGAACTTGAAGATACAAAAACAAGGTAAAGTCTATAAAAGACTGGTGGGTACTGCAATTCCATTGCATTGTGTTCATTACTATGAACTACAATAATGAAATGATTTAGGATCGGACATAAATGCAAGATCCTTTTTTGTCATATTGTATAATAATTATAGCATATCATTTATATTAAAAGGTAGTCGTACATGTACGTGGTTCGTTAATGTCGTATTCATAGCAGGAAGTTACGTAGTTACGAATAAGCAATTAAATATTTAAATCATTAGAACATCTCGTTTTTTTTAATACATTCGTTTTTAAATTATCTTGAGTTTATTATCTCGACGAAATAACCTTTACATATATTTCACAAATTTCATATTTAATTTAACGTTTAAAGGCGTAATAAGCTTGAATGTGCAAGATCAATTTGTAAACTTGTACATTGTCGTCATAATTTTACAACAGTTGTAAGTTTCGATGACTTTTACCCTTCTTTTATCAATATGACTAGTGTTGAAATTACGACAGCCACTATATATTCGTTATATAGGATTCCAAAATTGAAACGACTTAGAATTTTGCAATAAGTAATAAACAGTGTGTCTCTTTTCTGCTGATATGCTGCGAGGTTTCTGTGTTGTTGCTGATGCTGCTGTTGTTGCCGTTTACAAGCATTCGATACCACCCTATCTAATTCATTTATACTAAATAAAACCCCATCATCATTTTTATAAAAGTATTATCAAATTCATGTGTTATGTATAATGTGATAAATAATCGTTTGAGAATATATTCAAACTGTCATTTTTTTAATTATTGATATTTTGATTAATCGTAACATATATTATACTTACGACCAAGATTATTTCTTGTACACTTGTACTTGTACCCATATCTATTTGTCTTCAGACTGAGTAAGTCCATGGGACTTAAACTGACCGACAGCAATCCAAATGTAACGGATTTGAGTGATAGACACCGCCCAACAAAACTTGCGGAAAAGTACGCTGAACTGTATGACAATCAGTGGACAGATGCTTTTGATGTCCTTGATAAAATCTTTCCATCAGAAGAAAAGATCATAAACATTCTTCTCAACATATTGCTGGTAATAAAAATTTTGGAAATAAAAAGACAATTTTTCTTAAATGCATTATTTACATGTGGACAACCTTTTGCTTTTTGTTTTTAATTTCAAACAAGATCTTCATGTATATTGTACATAGCATATTAGAACAAACTAAAATTCGACAAAATGAGCTACTATTTTCTTTTTGTAGGATGTAATGAGATTCTGCAAAGAAAAGGCAACCGAGCAAATGAAGTTGTTGACGCAACACTTACAGTTTACAGATACAAATGTACGTATTCGATTTCAAGTATTCAAAAAAAAACAATAAAATATTCCTTACTGTTATATAAGTTTAATGTCAAAACATAAATCACTGTGCATATAAATATGATGAAAATAGCATTTTACTATTATGCTAGTATAATACCTTTCAGTAAATAATGTATATCATTTTCAACAGATAAAGGGAGACAATTCAACTGACTTTATGAAACTAGTAAAAGATTGCAGAAAGGCTGCAGCAACTACAGCCATGGTAAACCTTAAAAAGGTATTTTGTTTAACAATCAGCATTCACTTTACTATCATCTGAGTCAGTCGATACTAATGTAAAGCATACGTACAACAGTTCATTTGTGTTTTGTAAAAATATACAGAGTGTTAAGATTAAAGTTTATAAAACTATATATCTGATGCAAAAACAAATTGTTTGAATTTTTAAAAAAAATGAATACTTCCAAAATGCTTGTAATTTAAAGCGAGTGGCGCATGCACAAAGTCATTGCTAATAGGATAAAACTCTACTTAAAATAGCAAAATAATATTTTGTTCCGGAATATTTCATTCTGTTTACATACATTTTCTCGTGTGTTAAAGAACAGAGACATTTTATGTTATTACATTTTCGGGAATCAAACATATAATAATGGAACTAATATGATTTTACTGTTGATAAATTTTATAAAAATACATCATAAGATATAGATTTATACCCTTTAATAGGCTAAAAAGTAAAGATAATTCGAAGATATCTTTGTATCTATACAATTATATACAAAAGGCACATACTAATACTACAACAATTTAATGAGCGGATATGGACTTTTCACACTGCTTGACTGTGACTCAGGTAATTTTAAAACCGGACTGTCATCTGGTGGGCTTGGAAAGTATTACTATGCCAATTATTCTTTTTTATTCTCAAGTTATTATGTATTATGATAACATACCAAATTGTGATCCAGTTATTTGATGGACATCGTTGTAGCCAACAGAAAGACGGACGAACGAACGGTAGTGCTCATTAGTTTGACGTTAGTTTGGCCACCGATTGTTTTAGTTTATTTAATTGATCTTTAAATTAAATAACATCAAGCAACACTTTTTCACCGGCAAGCAACTGCTTAACTATTTAACCATTTTTACACCATACAAAATCAGTTTGTACGGGATTAAAACGCACATAAATCTACTATTCGACTGAAGTGACATTCAGCGTAAAAAGTGTTTTAGTTGCATTGTTCTTACTTTTAGATACACCAGCTGTACCTTACGCAATCAGCTAACGAAACGTTAAAAACTGCATTAGATGTCGAAGCAATTACATCAGAATGTCTTGAAGTTTGCTGGTTTATGGCGGTTTGTATTAAAAATTGTGATACACATAGATAAAGTTGACGTATTTGATATTATGTATATTATAAAATGCATCCTCAATCAGCTTTGGCTTAAAATTGCCTTCGTTGTCATATAATACTTTTGCATAGACACATTATTTTAATTATTTGTTTAAAAAAATGATAAAGGTCTCATGAAATGGTCATAAACCTAAAGAGTGTACTATTCAAATAATAAATAACATATATTTAGTGAATTAATTTGTTTATTCATAGGTACAAGACCCTCCTGTCGCTTTTGCAGCATTGCTAACAAACGGATCAAGTTTTGAAACGGAGTTGTATAAGCCGTATACAATCAGTGGGACACATGTAGAATATGTGGTGTGGCCTCCCCTTGTTTTACACGAAAATGGCCCAATTTTAGCAAAGGGCATAGCGCAAGGCTGTGGGAAGAAATTGTAATCGGCTTCATAAATTATTGCACATTCAGATAGAGACAATTTGTGATGTCTCCGACATATCTACATTTTGTACATTAATCAGAAAAGTAGTTCATCATGCATAATCAGGATATCTATATATTAAGCGGAATTTGTAGCCAGGTAATTCTCCTTCCGAATATGATTTTAATGTTGTCTTAAACTACTAAATTATGATTTAGATGATTTAGCGCAATATCCTTCTCGTTTTGGAGGATGCCTCTTTTGTTTAGGAAGTAAATATTAACAGCTGATTGATTTATTTATCATATGTATATTTGGTGTACTCATTTTGTTAATATCTATTTTCCCACATCTTTCAAACACATTTTGCAATATTTTTTTTTTCAAAATGTGGTCACGATTATTTTTCTCTTTACTTTTCATATCAGAATACTATAAAACAATATAACTGTAGGTACTGCGGCATTAAGTGTTTAATACGAATCATAAAACAACATTTAAACCAATCATATTCAATATTTGATATTTGAATCCTGACTTTATTCATTAATATTATATATTCCGCGAACATTCTCCATTGTTGCATCGACCATTTCAGCACGTGCAAGCTAAAAGACCGGAATACTTTCATCATAGTAACTTAAGTGAATATCTATAATAAGTTTATATCTTTAGTCTGTAGTTTATAAATTGAAAATATTTTGAATTTTGAAAACAGATTTTAAACATAAAAGTGTATACATTTCTTAAAAATATTTCATTATTATATATAGCTTTATACTAAGCAGTACCCATTTAATAATTATAACACAGAATCATGTGTGTATGTGCTTTTAATGAGTGCAGTATTTCAGGAGCTGTGCCGATGGGTGTAAAAGTTTCAGTTTGTCATGTTTACCATTATACTATTAATATGATAAAACTTATTAGGATAGAGGTGATAAGTAAACGAAACAGATGTAAGGAATGTGTTCTTTGTAAGAAAGCAAAACATTAATAAATGTTTCTAATCATTTAATATGTCTACTTCAATTATTTTCCTTTAATTGTATTTGATTGTCTGTACTTGTCTTATATGACTAACTTAATGAGCGACATTCCAGATTTTTTTTAAATTTTACCGGAAATGAAAAAAGAAGAAATGAAAACGGAAAGATTTTTACGAAAGACCGGTGGGGACATTTCAACTTCAAGAACTCCGGATTTTATCTTCATGAATTCCCGATTTCAACTTCACGAATTCACGATTTCAGCTCCATGTATTCGTGAAGTCGTGAAGTTAAAATCGTTAATTCATAAGTTGAAAAGTTCAAATCGTGAATCATAAAGCTTATATCGTGAATTTTTGAAGTTGAAATAGTGAATTCGCGAAGTTGAATTCATAAAGTTGAAATCGTGAATTCATGAAGTTGAAATCGTGAATTCGTGAAGTTGAAATCGTGAATTCAGGAAGTTGAAATCGGGAATTCAGGAAGTTAAAATTGTGATTCATGCAGATGAAATCGAGAATTCATGAAGTTGAAATGACCCTTTCGGTTTTTCGTACAGATGTACATATTAATTGTTTACAACAAACATTCTATGTTTTACAATGTGATGATGTAATAACGTATAATTAACAGTGACCCGACGTTTTTATGTTAAATTGCGAGTTTGGTATTTTGATATGCTTAAATACTAAAGAAGCCTCTTACCCATAATCTAAAATGATTGGCTAGCATATTTCCATCACTGTTTATCGGAGTAATTATATGTTCTACAACAGCCGTGACTGAAATCTTTATTCTGACGTATTCTTTCCATTATCAGTTATGGGAACCTCGAAAGTATTTTAAATTTTGTCAAAGATTTTCGCTTGAGAACTCACATTTTCAAGTTTCGCCCGTAAAGCTTCTTCGTATTTTTCTGTATCAATATTACGGTTGTCTGTCTTCTATATACCTTTATGATGGGATAGTTGTGGCTTTTTTTTGCAAGAAAGGAATGCCCAAAAAGCATCAAACTATCGACTGTTTCAAAACCAGTAGGGCTTTATTTTTTCGTAAAAAGATCAATCAAAATCATCAAAGGTCATATGTTTGCATATATATAACGAACACATCATTTGATATGGATGATTATTTTTATTTTCAAAGATTCAGAGAATGCTGTGGTTATAGTGTATCTATGAAGTACTAGCTACTCATTGTGTACTAGCTCCCCTTTTCATTATAAACACGCAAATTTGATCATGTTTATGTGATAACAAACGTGGAAATAATAAATAATGCGTTGTTATGTAAAATAAGAACTTGAATCAGGTATAGAGAGTAGAACTGATTTTGTTTAGTACTAACAATTAGAAATGAATTTCAACTTATAGACGATCTCTCTTACACAAAAGGGATGGTAAGCGTTTATACATTTATACATCTATAGCGTGTATAGAAAAGTGTTGATTCTACATTGAAAATAGCTCTTTAATGTATTCATTAAACAACAAAGTGTATACATGTATATATGCTATTGATACCAAAAAAGTAAACCACATTTATGTATATTGTATATTTATATTTACAGATGTGTTTCCTTTTACTTAAACCATACATTATAATAAATTATATACATTATTGATGGACTATTATTTTTTTTCTAAAATTTCTTGAATGACGCTTCATCTCTTTTGCTCTGTATGTATTTATTACCAGGAGAAAAGAAAACAAATGAGTGTTTTTTCCAATACAACAACAGACATCAAACAATTAACAAACGATAAAATTGTCGTCAAGTCCTTCTAAAGGTATTGGTAACAAAACGATCGACGTACATCTCCTTAGATTTACAAAAAATATGATAGTTAAAAAGTATATATAAAAAGGATATGTCAGTAAAACATTCACTAAATCAGAATACAAAACTAGGTACAAATTTATGTACAGTGATAATACTATCCATTTTTATACATTCTGTTAAATGCACCGTCTTTAAAAACAGAAAATCAATATGAAACAACTCCAAGAAAGGCCTTACTCTTGTTCTGGAAACTTAAGTACGTATGTTAAAGTATAACTGTGATATTGTTTACCAATTTAACCCCCAATATTATCTAACTCGACACATCAGATCATATAATAATATTAAGTGTACTTTCATTGAAATCAACGAAATATGTGTTTCCATAATCGCGGACACATATCATTATACAATTATTGACTCGTGTGCCATTAAATATGATGTGATATTCACCGTTAGATGACCGAGGCGATAGCTGAGGTCAATATGCCTTTCTGCCGGTGAATATCATATCATTTTCACATGTCCACTAGTCAATAATTGTTTTATTATATGAATAGCCAATAAGAATTAAAAATATCACAGAAAGTACAACCTTGTACATGTACAACTTCTGCCTGTTTAGTTGAAGCGCTGGAAAAAAGACACAATTGTCAGGCGTGCATTAACTACGCGAACGCTGCGCATACAAAAGTAATTCAAGTTTACATCATTGCGGTGTAAACTTTAACTACAATAGTAAAATAATGATAGTTTAATCGAAAAGTATGCCATAAAGAACAAAACGATACAATCGTTTTAATAAGCACGCACGATTAGTTGACTTCTGTTTAGACCAATGAGATTGAAGCTATATATAGATCATATAATAAAACATAATATTTATAATGCAATATTTGACGTGTCGAAGTCATTTGTCATCTCACATCTCATGGGTTATTGCTAAAATAACATTGTTATCGATAATGATAATTTGATAAAAAAGAGTAGCGCAGTCTTTTTATTATGTAAGCAGATGTTATTTTAATTGCATCATCATCAATCGACATTCTCAGTAGTTGGTCAATCCCCATTATTAAATCTTTTTTTTAAATTTATAGTTAATTCGGATGTATAAGATAAGGAAAAGATGTTAGTAATGTCACTTTAAAAAATGGAGATGAATATTTCATAAGGCATACCGGAACAGATACACAATAATTATACCTTCACATGAAATCAATTCAAAACATTTCTTCATAGACAAATACAATTTACAATGATATAACATTAAGTATCATAACTGTTTAATATATTTTGCTTCTATTGTTATTACTGTTTACTTTATTTATTTATAACCACTATGGTTAATTTGTTTACAATATTTGTTGACGAAATGAATATCTATTCTCAGCATACACATTAAGTAAATATGTTTATCATTCCAATTACACAACCTCAACTATGTCTTACAAATAAAAGCCTATTAACATATCAATAGAGTAAACTACTCTATATTAGAAAACAAAAGAAAAATGTCAAATTGATAGATGAAGATAAATATTTTAGAAATTCAATGCTCAAATGGAGGACGTCCAAATTTTAATAACAAAATTAAATAGAGTAAATGTAGGTTAAACATTTTTTTTTTGCTTTGCGGATATATCCGTAACAAAAGGTCATGTGCCAAATGAATCTAATATAAATAATCATTCTTATATTACATATATATACAAAAGTTTTAATATTTTGCAGCCCATTCCTATATTCCGTCATTTCTTATTTATTTTCGTACCCTTGGGCCACTCCTTTTGCTAGGATTGGACCTCCGTCATGCAGTAATAAGGCAGGCCATACAGCGAAGTCGACATGAGTTCCGCTTTTTGTGTACGGTTTGTAAAATTCAGAGTTGAAACACGAGTCTTTTATTGGCAAAGGAGCGAAAACAACTGGCGGGTCTTGTATCTGTAAAGTATACACATGTACTGATGACGAGGTAAAAAAATTGTTGATGATCTCATAAGTGCAACTTTCAATGAGTAAAATAAAAAAAATATTGAAATATACTGACCAGCATTAACCAGCAGATTTCGATACATTCTAATGTATACGGTTCAACGTCTAGTGCAGCTCTCATTATTTCATCTTTCGATTGTTTCAGCTGTGCAATATATATCTACAATGAACGAAAATGGTAAAAAAGACAACAAATCAATAAAATTTTATGTCATTCATGTATTGACTTTAAAAGGGAAATACAAAACGAAACTAACACTGATGATTGAAAGAGTCAGTCTGAAACTATTTGAAAATACTTAAATAAACTTAGATTAACAAGAAATATGAATAATACGAAAATATTACAATACTTTGTAAATTAATTCCTATAACAGACCATCCCGACAGATGTTGACCTCAAAGTTATACTTATTCCTAAATATCGGTGCAAATCAAATAATCCAAACAATTCTATTTAATTTACCTTTTTAAGATTTCTCACAGCATCCGTTGCCGAAGCTTTTCGCCTGTCTTTAATTATTTTTTGAATGTATGATGATGATGATGCTGCAATTCGTTCCTAAAAAGTGCCAATGATACTGACATTAAGACAAAAAACGCGTTTTTTAATATACTAGTACTCATATTGACGTGACAAAAAAATCTGAAGTCAGTACTTTTAAGTAACTTTAAAATTCATAATAAAGCGCAATAAATATGAGCATCATGAGAAAGAAAGACAGGTTATAACGTATTGGGCTGATAGATAAATTCGCGGAATTATCAGATTACTTTATTGAATTGCATGAAAACTCGAATAGAGGTAAACGAAAATGTTTACAATTACATTTCCATATTGCCGAATATATATCAAAAGTGTCCTACGAATACAACGTATCCATAGCAACCGATGTCATGCTACTTGAAGCACGCTGTATTTTAAAGTATACATGATAAAGTATAAATGTCACTGCGGGAAAAAAATAAGGCACTATTTGCGCTTACGCGTGTAACTTTCGTTTGACGTCTTGACGTATTTTCCTGTAAATTTAAATACAATGTGTTGAACGGTTGTTTCGCAGCAGCGTTAATCTCGATGTCTACCAAACAGCGAATTACGTCAGCAGACGACATTGAATTACACGCTGACGTCAAGTTTTGTGTGGGACTGAAACTTTTACCGAGCGAAACTCTTAAAACGATTCTGAAACATTGCCTTTTGGTGGAAATACATTTGTGTACAAGAGCCATGTCAACATCGCCATCCCCCGCCGAATGTGTTTGTTCATTGGAAGAATGTATATGTAGTAGAGCAGAATAATTCAATTTTAAGAGGTCTTTTGGTAATGAAAACTGATGGCTGAAGTGATTACAGATTTGAAACCTATGTGAGTACTGATGGCTCAAATAACAAAGGGCAATAACTGAAAAATAATGCAGGGTAGGTTATCATTCTTGTGTGATGCACCCCACCTCAGTAAAATCTATCCACCTATGAAGGTTCAAGTCGATACCTCAAATACTTTTTGAGATAAGCTCCGGACAAAATAGTATGAAAAAGAACAAAGGGCAATAACTTAAAAATTATATAGAGAAGAGCTATCATTCTTACGCACAGCATTCCTCCTCAATAAGATTTATCCACCTATGACATTTCATGTTTACATCTCAAATATTTTTGAGTTATGCTCAACTCAGGTGAAAAATTAAGTATGATTATGAAAGGTAGAGTTATCATTCTTGTGCACTGCACACCTCCTAAGTGAGATCTACGGACCTATGAAATTTCATGTTGATATCTCAAAGGCCTTTTAGGTTATTCTCTAGAAAAAATAAATTTTGAAAAATAACAAAGGGCAATAACACAAAAATTACGCAGGGTAGAGTTATCATTCTTGTGCACTGTACTCTTTTTAAATGAGATCTATCCACCTATGAAGGTTCAAGTTGATACCGCAAATACTTTTTGAGAGATGCTCAAGACAAAATAGTATGAAAAAGAACAAAAGGCAATAACTCAAAAATTATATAGGGAAGAGTTATCATTTTTGTGCACAGCATTCCTCCTAAGTAAGATTCAACCACCTATGACATTTCATATTGAAATCTCAAACACTTTTGAGTTATGCTCCACTCAGGTGAAAAATTAAATATGAGAAATAACAAAGGGAAATAACTCAAAAATTATAAAAGGTAGACTTATTATTCTTGTACACTTCACACCTTCTGAGTAAACTCTATGCATCTATAGAGTTTCATGTTGATATCTCAAAAGCTTTTTTATTTGTTCTGGACAAAAATTAATTTTGAAAAATAACAAAGGGCAATAACTCAAAATTATGCAGAGAAGAGTTATCATTCTTGTGCATTGCACTCCTCCTCAATGAGATCCATCAACCTATGAAGTTTCAAGATGATACCTCAAATACTTTTTAGATAGGCTCCGGACAAAGTAGTATGAAAATGAACAAAGGGCAATAACTCAAAAATTATATAGCAAAGAGTTTTCATTGTTGCGCACAGCATTCCTCCTTAATAAGATATATCCACCTATGACATTTCATGTTGACATCTCAAACATTTTTTGAGTTATGCTCCACTCAGGTGAAAACTTTAGTATGTAAAATAACAAAGGGCAATAACTCAAAAATTATGAACACCTCATAAGTGAGATCTATGCTATGAAGTTTCATGTTGATATCTCAAAGGCCTTTTGAGTTATGCTCTAGACAATTAATTTTGAAAAATAACAAAGGGCAATTACTCAAAAATTATGCAGGGTAGAGTTATCATTCTTAAGCACTGCACTCCTCGATAATGAGTTCTATCCACCTATGAAGTTGATACCTCAAATACTTTTGAGACGTCCGTTCTCACAGGACAGTAATTATGTGGCTACTCTATTGTTCTCTCTATTGTTCTTTTTAGCCACGCAAAAGAAAATAGCCACATAAAAGCATTACGGAATGAATGACATCAAAGAGAAAGAACAGTTACCTATTGTCCCTCTAGCCACATAATTACTCTCCTGTGAGTACGGACGGACGGAAAGACAGACGGACGGAGACTATTTCTATATCCCCGCCGCCTTTTGGGCGGGGGATAATAATGGAATGAGCGGTTTAGAGAAGGAAGAACATCCGTGTATGATGACGAAACAACTGGTCTGCCGACGTCTACAGTTACTGTTGGAAACACAGCCTTAGTGGAAGAACTGCTGGACGTTGACAGGCGCGTTACGTTGCGGGGCATAGCTGAACAACTATCTATCTTTTATTATGCCGTGCGACGCATTCTTAGAGAAGAGCTCACATGTCGAAAGTTTCCGCTCGTTGGGTACCCAGCAGAAGTCAACAGATAGAAGCAAGTGCAGTGTTTTCCTGAAGTTCTCAAACGTTACAAGGCACATCGTGAAGATTTTTAAGGCAGGATCGTGTCCACGGAAGAGACATAGCTGTACTATTACTATCCCGAATCCAATCACCATTCTTCTATTTAGAAGGCACCTGACACACCTCCATCCAAAATGGCTCGAGTTCAGCGAAGTGCCAAAAAGGAAATGTATATATACTTAATTGATAGACACGGGCTCCTGCTACAACACAAGGTTTGAGAGGCATCAACCGTAAATGCGGAATATTATTCAAATGTAAAAATATAAAAATATAACTTTTACTATTTTGTTATTAAAAATTTTAAAAAATACGCGTAGAGCTATAGCCGGTTCTAGTATTTATTTAATTTCAGAAAATATTTTGGCAGTCAAGAGTTAAAGTATCTCGTGGTGTAATTTATTTGTTAGTTTACAATTTGCGAATTTAACAATCAGCCCTCGTAGTGTTAAAACTGTTTCTATTTGGCCTAAGACAAATCGATAAAAACTGCGTGCATTCAATTGTTAATGCTTTAATTTCATTATATATTTTCCAATATTTGTTAAATGTGTATTTAGGCTTCATCTATCAGAACAAAAAATACATACATCATGATAGTAAACTTTAATTCAAAACTGAATTTACAAATAAAAATGGCTGTTAATAAACTTACATTTTCATCTGCGAAGTACATGTCACGCTCTATAATTTCAATCTGACGCCGAGCCATTGTCTTACAGAAATGCATGGTGTTCTGTAAAGTAGAAAAATATTCAACGATTCTTTTTGCATGAATGGTGCACTTAAGTACCGGTTTTGAAATTAATTTATTAAATGTATTGCCACAGTAAAATTCGATATAATAATTAATGGTATTTAAAGGTATTTTGATATTGATTTACTCAGTTAGGTTAAAATATCGCTGGAGGGTGATGCAAAATGATAAATTTTTATCTTTAAACACTTAAAATATAGTTACAAGTATCAACTGCAAACCAATATGTGCAAAATGTTCATCTTTTCTCTATTACGAACAATTAAAACGTCCTTGCAATTAGAAATAAGTTCGTTTATATCATTAACAAATAGTTTATTTCGAAAGCATTGTAAGCAGTATTTGTTTGACAAAGTTTAATTATGAAACACATTTCAGAAAGGCACCTTGTAGGTCCAAGAAAACAATAATAACACCTGTAAAATAAGCAAGAAAGTTTCAATTGCAGTCTCATCTGTTCGGAAAAGCCTTTTTAAAACATCAAAGGCATCCGTCCATTCATGTTCGTACATCTCAACACATTTCTCTGCTATTTTTGTAGGACGATTTCTGTCACTTAAATCGGTTATTTTTGGGTTGCTGTCACTCCGTTTGTCTTCCATGAAGCAACTAAGCCTTAAAAATAAATTAAAAGCAAAATGTATTTATAAACATATTTAAACAATTGAACATTTTAGTAATGATTCATTTTTCCATTTTGCCCGATTTTTATATTTTATCCTGATTATTATTATTATTATTATTATTATTAGTTTGCTATTTTGTGACAAAAGGTATTTCAGGTATACTTTAAAAGATTAAAGTAATGAATTTATATAATTAATCACCTTGATTTTGTTTCATCTAATTCGGCGTCTGTGTCATGAAATTTTGATAGCATATGTTTCATTTGATTTTCCAATTCATCAACATTGTTTTTCATTTGATCCAGCTCATTATTTTTTACTTTCTCCACAGACTCCATCTTTCTTTCTTGCTTCTGAACTTCCCTCTCAAGATGCCGAATTTGCTCTTTTTGTGAATCGATTATGCCGCTAAAGTTTTCTTCTCCTTTTTGAAGTTCGTCTTTCTTTGTTTTCAATTTATTCGTTAAATCATTAATCCTTGTATCCATTTCAGACATCTTCATATGCGCAGCAATATCATTTGCTTCTATATCTTTTTTCTCAATTTGTTTTTGAAGATGTTGAATTTCATTGTTTTGTTTGTTGATGATTTCTGTCAGTTTCCATTCAGTTTCTTGTTTAGTTTTAAGAGCATCTTTACACTGGATATCATACTCTAGGTGCAGCTCCTTCAATTTTGATTCTGTATTTTTGAGTTGTGTTTGCAAAGAGGAATTCATACTTTGTAATTGATTTTCCTTTCGTTTAGACGTATTCGACAATTCGTTCATCTGATCTTTCAGTTCCCTTATCTGACCTTCGTTTTCTTTGTCTCTTCTTTGTAGAATATCGATTGTTCTACCTAATTCAGCCTCTTTCTTGTGTGACTCATTTAATTCTTGTTGAATTTGTTTGCTACGGCTTTCTACTTCATCAATGGTGACATTTTGATCAGTTTGCATTTTTATTTTGGCTTTTAAATTATTAATATCTTCATTTTGTTTAATTATGATTTCTTTCAGGTTTGATTCTGTTCCTTCTTTAACTTTCACAGCATCTTTTAACTTTACATTACATTCTTGCAACAATGTTTCTTTAAGCTTCACTTCTACCTTTAAGCGTTCAATTTCCCCAGCCATTGTTATCTCATGCTTGTCTTTCGTGCTTATCAACGCTTTTACATTTGAATGTTCTACCTCTTTTCGCCTCAATTCGTTTTCTTTAATGTTTAATTGCTGTTTCAAAGACATATTGCTATTTCTTAATTCATTGTCCTTTTGATTCAATGTTTTCCTCAGGTCATCAAGCTGTTTCTTTAATTCAGTGACTTCTCCGTCTTTCTCTTTATTTTTGATTTCAAGAACTCGGCTACGTTTACTTAGCGTAGCTTCTTTAACTCGAAGAGCATCTAATGCTTCTTGAACCTGATCCTTTTGTTTCTTTATTTCTTCTATACTTTTAACTTCCATATATTTTTTCTTATTGTCGTCTTTAAAATATTGAATTATGCACTTTTGTTCCTCGATAATTGCTTTCAGTTTCAATTCTTCCTCTTTCTTTATTTTAATACAAGTTTGATATTGAACCTTATGTTCTTGCAAAGTTATTTCTTTGTGCTTCAAATCTTGTTTTAATTTTTCAATTTCTTTACCCATTTCTACCATATGCTTTTGATTTGTGCTAACTAATGCTTTGTCGTGTGATACATCTTTGTGTAGCTGTTCAAGTTCTCCTTTTGTAGTGTTTAGTTGTGTTTGCAAAGAACGATTGATAATTTTCAAATCTGTTTCTCTTTTGTTAAATGCTTCTGACATTTCATTTATCTGACTGTTTAAGTTACTTACCAGATCTTCTTTTTCTTGATAACCTCTTTGTAGGGCATTGAGAGTTTTACTTAAATCAGACTCTTTTTCATGGGACTCATTTACAGCTTGTTGCAACTGATTGATACGTTTATTAACTTTATCAACGCTAGCTAGTTTCATATCCCTCTTTTCAATTTCTTCTTGAAGATGTTGAATTTCTTTGTTTTGCTTGTTGATGATTATATTCAGTTCTAAAACTGCTTCTTCCTTTCGTTGATTTGCAATTTTAAACCGTTCATGATATTTTTGAAATGTGGTATGTTTCTCCTTTATTGCTAGATTTAAACATTCTTTTTCCTTGGTCAATTGTTCGATGCGTGTTTGATGTTTTTGTGTCAATTCTTTTTCCTGTGAGATTTCTAGCTGTTGTTGTTCTAATTTCATTTCTGCATTTTTAACTTGCTGTTTCATAGAATGATTGATATTTCTTAATTCATTTTCAGTCTGATTTGACGTTTTTGAAATTTCATCCAGCTGATTTGTCAATACAGTAACTTCATTTTCAATTTCAGCATTTCTATTCCGTAGAACTTGGTTCATTTCACGCAGGTCAAGCTCTTCTTCTTTTAATTTATTTAATTCTTTTTTAAACAGTTCAAGTTCCTTACTTTGGTCAACATGTGTAACTTCAATATCTTTTTCCTCAATTTCTCCTTTAAGATTTTTTATTTCATCCCTCTGTTTGTTTACAATGGACTTCAATTTTGTTTCTTCTTTTTTCATCCGATAATTATCATCTTTTAAATCTTTGTTGTACCTTTCTTTTTTGAACAATTCTAATTTAAGGCTTTCAATTTCGTCATTCATTTTCTCCATACGAAATTTATTTGTTCTTGCTAATTCATTTTCATGAGTGACATCTAAAGTTAGTTTCTTCATATCTGTCTCCATAGTCTTATGTTGCAACTGCAAACACCTATTCATGTTTACTAATTCAGACTCCCTTTGCTCAAAAGCGTTACTTATTTCCTTCAACTGACGTTTTAATTCAGCAATCTGACATTCGGTTTCTTTATTTTCAAGATTTCTTTTCTTAATATCCTCTGAAAACTTTTGGATTTGTATGTCTTTATGGATGATAATTCCATTCAGTTTTACTTCTGTCTCTTCATGCAGTTTCAAAGAATCTTCATACTTAGAATGAATTTCCTGTAATGCTGCTTTCTTTATCGTCAATTCTTTCTTCAAACCTTCAATTTCTTTACACATCTGAAATTTCATTATATGTAATTGTTCTTTCTCGTGTTCCATCTCTTGCTTGCATTCTCTTAATCTTTCCTCTGCTTCTTTCTTTTGCATTTTCAATAAAGATTCCCTTTCCTGCAACAGCTTTGTATTCCGTTCAATTTAAGATAACTGAAAAATAATCATAAATAGTACGAGTACAAACAATTAATCACAACATTTACAACCGGGACAAAATGTAAAAATAATCTTCTTATCTTAGGATGCTTTAGTTGTGACGTCAAAAATTACTACATATGTAAGGAAGATCACCACGAATAATTATACTTGCCTAACGTGAATTACTTTTTTTTCAAAATATCTACTTCTCGTTTCAAAAATAATATGGATTTACCAAATAAATTCTATTACGTTTCAGTTATGTTTCAAAGAGGCACTTTTTTTAAAATAACAACGTTGTAATAGAACACAGTTTTTTTTTAGAAAAAATAGCATTCGTGACAATTTGAGCATAAGAACGTGCACATTTCAATAAATATTGGGACACAATATTGACCACCGTGCGGACCACCACCATGCAGACCACCACCACCATGCAGACCACCACCACCATGCGAACCACCACCACCATGCGGACCTCCACCATGCGGACCACCACCATACGGACAACCTCCACCATGGGGACCACCATCAACATGCAGACCACCACCATGCGGACCACGACCATCACGCAAACCAATAACATGCGGACCACCACCACCAAGCGGACTACTACCACCATGCGGACCACTAATATGTGTACCACCACCACCATGTGGACCACTACCACAATGCAGATCTCTAACATGCGGACCACCACCATCATGCTGACCAACTCCACCATGCGGACCACTATCACCATGCAGACCACCACCACCATGCGGATAACCACCACCATGTGGACCACCACCAGCATGAGGACCACCACCAACATGCGGACCACCACCAGCATGGGAACGACCACCAACATGCGGACCACCACCACCATGGGGACCACCACCAACATGCAGACCACCACCATGTGGACCACAACCATCACGCGGACCAATAACATGCAGACCACCACCACCAAGCGGACTACTACCACCATGCAGACCACTAACATGTGTACCACCACCACCATGCGGACCACTAACACAATGCAGATCTCTAACATGCGGACCACCACCACCATGCGGATAACCACCACCAACATGCAGACCACAACCTCCATGCTGACCAAGTCCACCATCACCAACCGGACTAATACCACCATGCGGACCACCACCGACATGCGGATCATCACTAACATGCGGTCCACCACCGTGGTCCAACACGCGGACCACTATCACCATGCAGACCACAACCACCATGCCGTCCACCACCATCATGCGGACCACCACCAGCATTCTGACCACCACCAACATGCGGACCACCACCAACATGCGGACCACAACCAACATGCGGACCATCACCACCATGCGGACCACCACCATCATGCGGATCACCACTGCCATGCGGACCACCACCAAAATGCGGACCACCACCGTGGTCCAACATGCGGACCATTACCAACATGCGGACCACCACCACCATGGGAACCACCAACAACATGCGGACCACCACCAACATGCGGACCACCACCACCAGATGGACCACCACCACGATGCGGACCGCCACCACGATGCGGACCACCGCCACCACCATGCTGATCACCACCGCTACCATGCGGACCACCACCACCATACGCATTTATATATAAATATATAAAATAAATGCGTATATATATATATATTATATATTCATAATATATAGACAAAAGTAATGTGACAAGACAGACCGATTAAATTTTCAAAAAGGAAACCTTTTTAATTTGTTCAAACATTTCAAACCTTGTTCCTTACTATAAAGAAAAAAAACAATCAGTGTCGGGAAACCTTATAACTAGAGAGGCAAGTTGAAGTTGACCTGGACTTTGGACTTGTCTTTCTACAATTTTTTTTTTTATATTTCTGTAATCACTGAAAAACAGTTGTTTCTGGTGAGCGATTCAGGGCCATCATGGCCCTCTTTGTTTTTTTGTTGTTGTTTTTTTACATTTAATATAAACATGTGCGTGTTACCATGTCACTGCGTCTAATTGCTATGCCACAGGGTATTTGCTTTTTATGACATATGATTTTGCCATGAAGATTAATGTATAAGTCAGATAAATTATCATTCAGGAATAAATGCTAGATTAATAGAACTCATAATGTATACAACTGCGGGACATCACCTTTTTTAAGAGTATGCAAATAATAGTAACCAGTTCTAAAAAGAATATTTATAGGTAAACTGGCGGATGTATGTAAAAATAAATTTCGAAAACATGAGATTCTAAAATAAAATAGAATTATATATTAACTTGTATTTTTAATACGGTCATCCGTCATACTTTCTTAAAATTCATGAATACAATAAAAAATTCGGGTTTAATTTTGAAATGTTACGATCTTTTTTTTTCTGTACGAAGTCATGCGTGTACAACTATAATATATAACTGTTATTCGAAAACCTGAATGAAGGTCAACATGCTTTGAACTAAGCATGCCCAATTAAGCATGTTTAGGAATAATGAATGTTTTAAAATTGCACACCATTAAGCATACAAATGTATTACGAGATGATAACTCTGCCACTGTGCCTGTTAAGGGACAGGTTAGAATTATATTAGTTTTACCTAGCCCAATTCTCTCTCCATTCTCTTAGTACCCCCTTTTTTCTATCATTAAAAACATATTTTTCCAGAAATTAGTGTTTTCTTTTTTGCACATTAAATTTTGCTGTAGCACATAAATCTTGAAAAAGCCATTATCCGCCATTGCACTGTATCCAGGGTCACAGGTCACAGACTTTTACAATTTTACATTGTCTGTCTCTGGTTGATGCTCTATATGCTTGGGACACATAGTCAACTTATCCGCCCGGTGTGGTGTGCAACCAGCACGAGTTTCAATTTAAAGGTAGGCATAACGGTTTGACAGTATGAAAATAAAAAACAATTATAGTAAAATGGGTCAAACCATTCACGCCGATTTAAATAAGCTTCCTATAAGATAGCTGAAACTTTATACTTGCCTTTGAAAGTAGTCTGTAGTATTAATAAGTACTTATATTTCATGTTCCAACAACAATCAAGTTAAAATAATATAATTCCATTTAATATCGTGCGTAACTAAGCTACTTTCGATTTCAAACGGCTACTTTCGGTTTGAAAATAACGTATTATTGATTATTGAGAGATTGAAATGCCACGTGTAAAAGCCATTTCGATGGAAGTGTTAAATCACTATTCTGCCGAATTTCCTATTTACATTTATAACAGTCCTTGCAAAACTTATGTGCCTTCAGCATGAAAAAAAACAAAGCTACGAATAGCTTAAAGCCTGTAGAACGGATGTACATGCTTACCTATCTCTATTCTTGTTGAAAATGTTCATTAGTAACGGTCCCATTCCCAGCAGGTTAAGGGTTAACAAAATTATGATGCTTTTTTCATTTCAATATCTATTCCGTTGTGAACAATTAATTACTTTGTAATTATGTAAGTGGGATCATTTTTCATAATTGAGGTTTGTCTTTGATAAATATTTTTAGTTAAAACATAAACATTTACAAATCGCTCTAATAATAGACTCTACCGATTTTATTTCAAATGTACGAACGCTTTAAATGATATAGTAAAAATTGTTTTCATTCCATCTGTGATACGATACTTTTGAATTTGATATTATTCAAATTGACTAAACGTAGAATACAGACAAATGAAATTATATGAGCCATAAACAACATTAATTTATGAGAATGTCTTCTAATAATCAACTTATAGAGATCAAATTGTACTTACAACAAAAGTATTCTGCAGCCAGTCAAAGTTAAGACCGAACAACTGTACAGTACTGTGTTAAATCATAAAACGTAATAGATCGACAACAAAATATACTTCCTTTCTCCGAAAAAGAACTTATTTAACATCCACCATTTTTAATCTTGTTTAGACAGTGTCTACGTGACACCTGAGAGATAAATCATATAATTCAGCTATTACCGAATAGAAACAGATTTACAAAGCTATGGCGGTTGATTTGTGCCATTCGTGTTCTCGCCCCGCGACCCCGCCAAGCGAAAAGTTGAAAATTAACAAGTTAAAATGGTGGGGCGGGGCGAGATTTAAGAAAAAACGGCGGGGGCGCGGAGTGAAAACACGCTAATTAGTGCTCTAGCTAATTAGCGTGTTTTTGCTCGGCGCCCCCGCCATTTTAATATGTTAATTGTCGACTTTTCGCTTGGCGGGGCCGCGGGACGAAAACACGCTTATTAGCGAGGGCGCGCGGCGAAGTTTTATTTATTTAAATTCGCCCCGCGCCCCCGCTAATTATCGTGTTTTCGTCCCTCGACCCTGCCGTTTAATTTCTTAAATCTCGCTCCGCGCCCTCGCGGGGCGAAGTTTTATTTATTAAACTTCGCCCAACTCCCTCGCTAATTAACGTGTTTTCGTCCTGCGACCCTTCACCCCCCCCCCCCCCCCCCGTTTTATTTCTTAAATCTCGCTCCGCGGCCCCGCGGGGCGAAGTTTTATTTATTAAACCTCGCCCCGCGCCCTCGCTAATTAGCGTGTTTTCGCTGCGCGCCCCCGCCATTTTAACTTGTTAATTTTCGACTTTTCGCTTGGCGGGGTCGCGGGGCGAAAACACGAATGGCACAAATCAGCCACCATACAAAGCAGATTATATTTTTACAAGTTTAATAATGAAAACTATATTGCTTGCATTATGATTTTACATATTGAAACCAGGGCAGAGAAATACGTTTTTTATGAGATTGAACTATAATATATCTACTTCGATCATGTATTCCGGTTAAAAGGTCCATAATGCCCCTAAAATGCTGAAGTCATTATTTAAACGTTACGGAACACAAGTTTCATCTATCGAAGAAAAATCTTACTCGTTTCAGAGTTAAAATGTGCCTTGAATAACCTACTTAAGCCAATCCAAGGTGGCAATAAATATCTAAATTTGGTAACAATGCATTGGGCTCAATCAGAATTGTTTTATATTTTCTGGTATTGTTTTCTCAAATAACTGTTTTGACTGATATGGAACTCGATCATAACATTCGTAAAGGTTAGAGTTAATAATCATGTTTATAAAAAGCACACACGAATTAATCAATAAGTTTTCTCTGACTTGTATTAATATTTTAACAAGCACAATACTGCATTATAAATGAAAAGAATCGATTTTACCATACACAACTGAAGAAGTCATTTTAATGACACACCGCGGCGGGTTAATAAATGTTCTTATTTATTGTAGTTTATCAAGCTAGTCATCCGATTCGTTCGTCCTTCATTATTGAATAGACAAAATACAAAATTGACATTATAGTATTTACATATAGTATTGCATAAAATTATTTATATATAAAATTGAAGATTTGTTACTTTGATTTTTTTACAATCGCGCTTAATGTCTGTAGTATCACAATATATATGAATGATGAATGCATTCATGCAAAGGAAGTTGATGAAGTTTTTCACATATTCACACGAAAAACAGAAAACCCTTTAGCAATAAGACCGACAACCGATGTTTCAAAAACTAGCTTATATCAAAAATCAAGCGTAAAAAGTAGTAAAACATGAATAAAATAGTACATCATTTGACATAGCGATACTAATTTATGTTTAAACAACAAGCAAATGGATTTTAATGAGCAAGTGTGAATGAATAAAAGTTGTACATTTTCATTTGTATTCAACCATGACATTCAACACTCGAAATTTTCGCATGACGTTTCCGTATACATTGTGTGTTATGACACTTACACGTCAGGCGAATCGTTGAAAAGGAAGCTGCGTTTTATGGAGGGCGTTCGTTGCCAAAATTCCAGACATGTAAAGTGTTCCTATTGAAAATTACTGTTTGAAAATGTAAACGTGTATGCCAAGCATTTTTTATTGTATCTATGCACTGCAAATAATATGCCTCTTAAGGTATTAGGATCCTAATGGGCACTATCAGGAACTAAAGAATTGACATCATAGGTCAGATGTATACCTTAAAGTACACATGTATGCAAAATTTAAACAAAGTTGACCGTACGGAAATCAAGTTATGGCCACTTTTCTGAACTCAAGCTAGGATGTTATGAGGGCCCCTTTTTAGAAATGAGGAAACTTTAAATAATCTGCAATAACATTCTAATGAAAAATGTTTTCCCATGAATTTTAATAAGAAACAAATAGTACCATTCAGCTAACAATCCACATAAGCAAAATTATGGTTTCTACTTAAAATTTATGAAATCTGTATAAAAATGTTACCCTACCCCACCCATTTTTTACCACATGTCTGACCATTTTTCTACTTAGGGAGCCTAATTAAAAAAATCTTAAAATTTACCCAAATGAGTGCCTGTTTTTAAAATTTCCATTAATTTTTTAAAAAAGTATATTGGTTGATCTTGTAAAATATGAAATACTTTTACCGTCTAGTTTTGATTATATTACACTTTGAAAATATCAGGTACCATATTTATTACTAGATTAAGCATAATTTAGCCAATAAATACCTATATAAATTAAAAATTAAACACCTTTTTCTTTCCATATGAGACATGAGAGATACATAAATAATGTTAAAAGAAAAAAGAAAGAAAAAAAAAGTTGACCCTTCTGGGGATTGAACCCATGGCCGTCATTTTCAATGTAGTTAACAGTAATTCTAGCCGATTTGAATATTCTTCAAAGCGGAGGTAATGCATTAGGGTGCTAATACCTTAATCCAAAGTTTGAATTGAAGGTCTCTTTGTTAGATCTAAACAACTGACATTACATGAACAAAAACATAGGAAATTTACAAATTCGTATCTTCCATTGCATATAATAAGTAGATTATGTTCCTTTTTGAAATAAATCGTTTTAATTTTTTTGAGCTTTTTATTACCCTGTTAGGCTTCCTACAACTATTGAAATGCTGAAAAACCTTTGCACTGCACTTCATGCTGTCTGAGCCTCTTGGTATGATACCCTCCTTTTTCGCGCATTATTGTTGGTGGCCTTATTGTCTTGTTTTGCATAGGAGATATGATAAAATACGTGTTTTCATTTGGACTACAAGAATACGTTTACACAGTAACATGTTTAATATGACAAAAGTAGATTCTCAAACTTGAACGATTTCAAGTCATGAATGACGACCCATCCCTATATTACCGAGTATTTATTCACTTCTGTTACATGTGTTACACAGACAGGTATAAAAAATTTAAAATAAGTTTTAAAAAGAAACACTTTACGTTGCCTTCAATTTTGGCAATGAACGCCCTACATGCCCACTTTTTTAGAATTAAAATTAATACATAGTTGCATTTCAGATGAACAGAGCAAAACAAATGTTATTAGATTAATAGTTGCCTATCACTGAACAATAGATAAATAAATGTAAATAATTTCACATAAAGAATTAGACTTATTGTTATAAAGAAAATACTGACACGTTTATTTTTGTTGTACTATCGTTCTTACGTTCTTGTTACATAAAGTTAAATTAATACAAGCGTGAGGTGTGTGTTTGCTGGTAATGCTACAAATCGTTATTTTACAAACATAATCAGTTTTCTTCAATAAAGAGAAAGTGGTCAATAGCGTATTAAAATCCATTTAAGGCTGTAAAGACGTTTTTAAAGTAATCATCACAAAACGTTTATGTTAACAGTATATCTTTCCCTTCACACAGTGCTCATATAAGCATATTAAAATGGCGATAATTGACGCTAACGCGGTCAATCAGGGGTTTATCAATTTTGCATTCAGTATTAAACACGACGGAAATAGTTTGCGATCGTTGTTATAAAAGTGTTGTAAGAATTATGTCGTAAGATGTGACAAAATTGCAGAAGAAAGTTTGCGTAGAACTGCAAAAGACAACATGTATATGCCTTGCTATGCTAGCATAATAACTTAGATAAAATACTTAATAATGTATTTGATTTTCAACAGATAAAGGGAGACTATTCAACTGACTTTATGAAACTAGTTAAATATTGCAGGAAGGCTGCAGCAACTACAGCAAGGGTAAAGCTTTTAAGAGGTATCTAAAATCAGCATTCACTTCAATTTCATCAGAATCATACTTGTATTTCAGTCGATATCAAAGCACATCATACGTACAACGATTTCATTTATCTTTTGTAAAAATATACAAAAGTTTCGATTAATGGTCTAAAAATGTAAAGAGAATTCGAAGGTATGTTTGTGTTAAGAATCAAGTAAAACAGTTCAAATTAAATAAAAAAGGAAAGCCCAACATTTATGGCTTTATACATGTTTAAGTTAATCTATCAAAACGTATCTATAACATTACATTAAAAAGACACATAACTTTGTGTATATATTCATTGCTTTACAACATACATTCTATGTCATGACGTAATAACGTATTAATCTTAATTGTTACAATTAACAGTGACCCGACGTTTTTGTGGTAATATTGCTATTTTGGTAAATGTTGGCATGAGCTGTCAGACGATATGCTTAAAAACTAAGAACTTTATACAATAAAATGACTTTGGCTTGCGTATTTCTATCACTGTTTCTTTGGAGAAATTATATGTTCTATAGCAGTCGTGCCTGAAATATTGAACCAAATCTATATCCAGTAGTATCCCCTTTATTGGAACTCCGAAAGTATCTAAAATTTTGTCAATTTAAAATAGAAAGATATATGTTCGCTTGAGGTGAACGAATATATGTACCAATTTGATGGTTTTCGCCTTTCGGTCCTCTTTGAAGTTTTATAGATATGATTGTTGTTTTTCTTTCTTTTTAGTTTGCACAAGAAGTGCTCAAAACACACCAAGGGACCCTCTGATCCAAACCGATAGGTTTTTATAAGCCCCCAAAAATCAAACAATGGGGCAAATTTTATTTTTTTGGGATTAAAAAACCAATTAAAAGCAAAATTACTTAAAGTTAAGTATTCTCATATCACAAAAAAGTTAACGCTTAATTTCATTTAAAAATACCTTTAAAATTTTTTTTGATAAAAAGTAAAAAATAATAATTTGTTGTTTAAACAAAAAAATAAAGAAATTTAACAGTTTTAATAAAAGTAAAACAAAAGCTGTTTTAAAAACTTTTATATTTTACTGAGTGGTTTTGTAAAGAATTTCTAGATTTATATTATTTAAAAATTTACAATTGTTGTATAATTTAAAAAAATAAATAACAAAAGGGTTTATTTAAAGGGAAATTTTTTTAAAAAAATAAAAAGTTTACTAATTGACCAGAAAACATTGGGTTTCTTTAAACCACGCTTTATAAGGTAAAAAACATTGTTTAATATATTTGTATAGAGTTTTTAGGGCTTTTCCCTTTTTTCAAAACTTTTTAATGTTTCCAAATTTTAAAAAAAAAAAGTGTATATTTTTAATTTGGAAAAAATAAAGGAAATTGAAAATATTAAAAGGTGTTTTCCCTTTTACAAACAACTTTAAAATTATAAAATTTTTTGGTTTATTTTGTCAAAAGAATTTTAGGTCCACTTCAATCTATTTCTTGTATTCTTTAACTTAAAAACAAAGTAATAACAATTAACAAAACAATATAAAGCAACCTTTTTTGATTTTTTAAAAGGGAACCTGTTTATTTAAACCATAGATTTTATATTAATTTGTTGTTACTTATTTCCTGAATTTCTGTTATATTGTATTTTTAAAAAACTTGTTTAAATAATTAAATTTAAAAACAGAAAAAAAACAAAAAATTGGCGTTCAATACAAAAAAAAAACACAAAAAATAAAAACAATCAATTGTAAACCAAATACATACTTCTAAAGATGTTGGCAACAAAACGATCGACGTACATCTCTTTAAATGTATAAAAAATAGGGTAGTTAAAAAGTTCTATGCTTAACAAAACATGGTCATATAAAAAGTATATATCAGTAAAACATTAACTAAACAAGAATAAAAAATAAGGTATACAGGGATATACACAGGCATAATTACCTATCAAACATAATATAATACTGTTTTTTTTTTTTTTGTTAATGTTTTTTTATACTATTTGTTAAAAAACAGAAAACAATATGAACATCTTCAAGAAAGGTTTCTTTTTACTCTTGTTTATAGAAATTTAAGTTTGTTTTGGCAAGTGCTACACTTTAAATTTTCCTTTTTGTGCTGTTTATATTTCTTTAAATTCATACCATATATTTGCATCTATATTTTTTAAAATGAGTAAACTTTTTTCATTGAAAATCAAAATTCAATCTTTTTTTTCCATCATTCTTAGACATACTAATTATATTTCAATAAATATCTTGACAATAAAAGACTTTACGTATAAACATTACGTTATACTGTTACATATGTTTCTTAGTTCGAATATCACAATTAGAAATATACAATCATGTACGATATGTGTGCATGCAATGAATTTCACAGTTTTCAACATACGTAGTAATTTGTATGTCTTTTCAAAACACCACATATAACGTTTCCTCACACTCGGTATAAGAAACTCAATAACTCTATTTTAATTAACAGATGAGGATTAATATTCCATTTAGCATATCGTAACAAATTAGCAATAATAACACATTCACTGAAATCAATGCAAAGTATTTAACCATAGATTGTGTACATTGTGTCCTGAGTCATGCATATTAGAAAAACATCCGTTAATGCACGTTATCTTCTCTGTAAATGTATACATGCGAGCCGTTTTATGCAAGAATAAGACTTAGTGTTAATTTTACTTTATTATTTATATTGGGTGTATAGACAGACATAGTTGCATCAACGATATGTAGCTATATAATATTAAGTTATTATACTTGGGGACTAAAGAAAATTTATTACACATGTATATAAATACTTCAAGAAGCAAACACAGAAATTTGATACAAATTGAGTTTTGATATTTGTGTGATATTTTTCATTGCGAAAACAACTTCATTCGTTCGAGTTTATTTTATGAATTAAAACTCTTTATCTGCTTAATATAGATAAATTGTCATCAAAATTGTTCATTTAACAAGTATTATTACGCTGTAAGAAAGTTTCCTCAACATAGCTTTTCAACAATGACCTAACATTTATTTAAATACATTAAACTTACTAACAAAAAGGAAATTATTTTGAATTATAACAGTTAGCGATAACTTATTCATATGTCGTTTCAATATAAACTATGATAACTATTAAAGGCATATGAAGTAATTGATTTTGACAAAAGTTTTTCTACAATAATGGTTAGTCACAAGAAAAAAATGAATTGAGAAAGACTAAATTCTGCCATGTACATGTTTGCTTGTATCTACAGTCTCCTTGCGCACATTTTTTCCACATTGATTTCATATGTATTTACCATTGTTCAGGTCATTGTATAATAATTATTATTAACTCAGTAGTATTCACAATATTTCATATATTTTATTTTTATATTTTCCTTTAGCAATTTCTTATTCTATTTATCTTTTTTCGATTTGTTGAACCCTTGAGCTACACCTTTTGCTAGAATTGGACCACCTTCATGTAATAACAAAGCAGGCCATACAACATATTCGACGTGTGTCCCGCCAAATGTGTACGGTTTGTATAAATCTGAGTTGAAGTTTGTACCCTTTTCAACTAAAGGCGCAAATGCAACAGGGGGATCATTTACCTATTAGAAAATAAATTATATTAAATGTGTAAATAATATAATAAATATATTACGTATGATCAAAAACATACAAAAAGGGGCTTCTATTGATACAAGCGTGAAGGGGTTGCCAATTTTAATTTTTCTGCAATTTTAATTTTAAAAATGCTAAAAACGAATGCGTTATACATAAAAACAGTTATTATATTGATAAAATTTTTTAAAAGTTTAAAAACTTTTTTTGAAAAAAGGGGAAAAAAAATTCTATTTATTTTTAAACCCAAGTAATTTTTAAATATTAAATTCACAACGTTAAAAAAAGGGGTAAGTCATTTTGGGTAAAAATGACATACCAAACCCTAAAACCAGCATAAAATTTAAGGGCACTCAAATGTGAATTTTCCTTTTTTTCAAGAGGGTTTTGTCACTGTTTGTCCGCCGTTGTCTGAAAGGGGTAAAACAAATATCTTTTAAAAAAAAAAAGTATTTTTTAAGCTTGGGGACTGATAACAAAAAAGTTAAAAATAAAATAAGGGCCCCCGTCTTGGAATTTAATTTTTTTACAGCATTTAAAAACGTGTTAAAAATTTTATTTCATTTTTAAAATTTGTATTGGCCCCAAAAAAAAAATACAAGAACTGTTTACGCAAAATTTACGAATTCCCCCAAAACCGGCAAGATAGACGGTGCAATTTTGATATGTCTCCCTTCGGGGGCATAAAAATAAAGAGATCTATATGCAATTAACCTTTATAATTGTATATCAATAACAGGAACGAATTTTCACGTAGAATACGGGTATTGCTGAGGATAATGATATTATTAAGTACAAAAAATAATAAGCACAATAAAAACGTGTTCTAGCAGTTACGTGGTTTAAAAATAATTTACCTTGCGTAGGTTTTCAAGTTCTGAAGACGCCGCTGCTTTTCTTGTGTCCATGAAATGTTTATGCACACTGTTTGATACATCCGTATTTTCCTATGAATATAAAATAAATTAATTATAAAGTATATAAAGCTATATTATTTCTTCCTGCACCTAACAAAATTTTGTTTGAACTTACATACATAATTATTCCAAATGTATGTTTGTAAGTTTGGATATAGAAATTAATTCCATGTTCAATTTCAAAAATGTATTTTTTTTAAAGTATACAACGTTTCGACACAAAAGTCTTCATCAGGTATTCTTGTATACAGGAAATTACATCAACGTCATATGACGTCAAGGACAATATCGTCAAATGAAATACATAATTTTGCGTAGAAATGTAATATGCAGGATCATAATAAAGATGCAGTGAAAAGGCAATGTAAAATTAGAACACCAGCATAAATTACATTGACGTGAAACTAGTTTTAAGCCATAAGATAAAAAAAAATCATAAAGAATGTTAAAAAAGTTATTTCAATGGAGACTTATATTCTACAGAACTAATGAGGCATTTTTATATTCATGTCATCAGAAATAATTGTACCTAGCTCTTACATCTATGAAGTTTATTTTATAAATATTTGCCAATTATTCTCTATTTTATCAATTAGCATGAATAAATAATCTATGAGGGAATGTCCTTCAGAAAAAAAGTTCAGATATATTGGTAATAGTGTCAGGAAAGTGTTTAATATCAAATTTGTGACTGTTCATTATTTGGCTTCATTTTTGCCGAATTGATCAACATTATAAGATAAATGACACCTGAAGATAAATATGAAAACTCACATGTTATAGGAAATTCTTAGATATATAAGTACTAGAAAAATTGTTAGATTCAACAAAATTACTACACTGCCAATCAAGGATTTGGCATTTAAATGAGTATGAACTATGCTGCCTTGTAAATTTCTAGGTCTCTTATAAGCGATAATTGGTTTGTAATCGTATTATTTATATACACTTTCATGTGGATAAACTTTTAAAAGGCTTAAAAATGTTTGTATGTAAGAAATATGTATTCTTTCCTTTGAGCGAACACTACACTATCATTTTAAACAGTTAAGAACTTGCATAAAATTGCAATATAATATTTTGTTTCTGACCATTTTATCCTGTTTACGCACAGTTTTCACGTGTATAAGATATTAGAAACAACCTATAATACAACTTTTGTGAGAATCAGATATATGTTGGATACAACATAATTATGGCGTTTTTAAATGTAATAAAAATAGTTAACCAGATAAAAGGGAGAGAAATAAAGAACCTCTAAAGAAAGCCCAACAAGACAAAATTGAAAATGTTGCAGGTTCGGTTTGATTGAGCCTGTTTATGGACGGTAATAGAAAAGTACAAGTTACCATCCCCTAGCACCGGCTTAAGTATAATTCAAATTTAATCATGGTAATTTTAGGTCGTTTATACGGAGGTTATCGAGGGAAACTTTAGAAGTTACACTTCGTGCCATTCCATGAAAAAACGGCATTGTCCCCCAATACGGAAAAGCGGTGTCCAAACGTGGAAAAAGGCTTAAATGTATAATCAACATTTAATCATGGTAATGGTGACAATTTGAGTTTAGAAACATCTGCAGATGCGTTCATACGGAGGTTATCGTGGAATCTTAAATGTTACACTTTCGTGCCATTCCATGAAAAGCGGCGTATTAGTCCCCAAGTAAAAGAATGCGTGTGTCCTAAACGATAAAACAATGTGCGGAACTAAATAAAATGAAATTTTGAAAGTGGATCTGAGGTTATGATGCCTTTATACCCTTTCAACATTTAATTTGACTCAAATAATTGTTTTATTATATGGCATAGATTGTTTGAAATGCTTTTCGGAATTCGTCTTTTTTATGATAATTATGCTGTAGTTATTATTTACATAAATAAGTATACAGTTGTCTTTTAAGAATATGTTTATATTAGTAATAAAAAGCAAAATAAAAAATACTCTCAAATAAAACTAGCAACTACGAATATCTGACATATAAGAATGCATACATGTTCGTGTTTGTCTGCAAATTGTAATGTCCGTTCATCCAGCTTGTGTTGGGCCGTATTCCGACAGAAGTCCATAGTTGCCTTGAAAAATAAATGTGAGTTTAGTTCGATCCTTTCCTTTTTTTACAGTATCTTTTATAAATTAAACTTAAATTAGTACATGCGTTTTGATCGATATAAAATATATTAAGTTGTAAAACATATCGGTTATCGATGTAATACCGGATGCAACAAAGCAAATAAATATTGACATCTTTACAAAGAATTGTTATTTGGTTATTGTTTTAACATTTCAATTACATTTTTATTCCCTTAAAAGTTAAACTTAAAAGTTTTGAAAAAGGGTGAATTAAGCTAATAAACACAGCCATAAATAGTTTTTTGAGCTTTTTATATATCTTTGAAGTTACTCAATACACTTTAAGTAAAATCTTATGTATGCTATATTGTGAAAAGGATCAATTGTAAACACTATATTTAAATACAGTATAAAATGTTCAGTCAGATAAAAATAGTCGTAGTGTATTAAACATATCAATTAGAACAACAGACACTGTTTTTGTTTTATTTGTCGCATTTTATTAAGACAGATTATTAGATACAGCATAATCTTACAACAAAAATGTCAATTGTTTAAAGGCACATTCTTCCTTAGAAATTCATATCTTTTTAATTATGTAGTGATATCAAATATATGTTATTGATGTTATGATAATGGATTAAGAGCATGTTGTATTTGAAATGCCTCAAAACGTTACGCGGAATGCGCATATATCGTAAAGGTAGCAAGATGTAAACAAAGTAGTATTTCAACTTCCATACAAAAGACTTAAATTATATCGATTGCCAACAGAGCTAAATGAGCAAAAGACAGTTCATGTATATGGCAAATAAGTATTATTTTGGAAACTTAGCAAGAAACCAAATATAAAAAAACTGAGAAATAAAAATGATAGCATTTCTGAGGCGTAATGGGCCTTAAGGCATTTTAAAATACATTGAATACTTATTCCCTTATTATATCTTAACAGTTGCCACATATTTAAAGAGAAAAAATAACAACATTGGTACATACCTGTAAGATGTGCAAAAGAGATTCAATCACAGCCTCATCAGTTGAAAAACATTTCTCCAGAATTTCATAAGCATCTGTCCATTGATTATCATACAGCTCTGCACATTTTTCAGCAAGTTTTGTAGGACGATTCCTGTCGCTTAGGGCAGTAATGTTTGGATTGTTATCTGTCAAACGGTCCCCCATGGCCTTACTCAGTCTAAGGAATAGAACTTATTTTAATTTTTAAGTGAATCAAAATGGTGATATAAAGTTTTGATATAAAGCCAAGAGACATGTAAATATTGCTTAATTTGCTATTTAATCTAAATAGCGATTCCTGTTTAAAAAGACAGTTCATGTATATGGCAAACAGAAATGCCTTGTTTATTTGAAAAGATCATAGCAATCTTTGGAAAAAAAGATTTACCTCGTCTTTGTGTCATCAAGTTCAGCTTGTGTATCATGTAGTTTTGACAATGTATGTTGTAGTTGTTTCTTCAGTTCTCTGATCTCATTTGTCACTGCAGCGTCTATTTTGTGTTCTCTTCCAGAAACGTTTTCTGACGAGCCCTGTTCAAGATTTTTCTTAAGACTGTCAACTTGAGCGTCTTGCTGCTCAACTTTTCTCTCAAGATCAAGAACCAATTTCTCCTTTGAACTGATAATGTTTTCGAGATTTTTCTGAGTTTTGTTGTGGTGTTCTAACCTTTGTTGAAGCTCGGTAGCAAGGGCATCTATTTTGGCATCTTTTGCCTTGACTTCCTCCCCTAAAGTTTTTACGCTTGCTTCCATTTTATTCCTCCCCTCATTTATTTTGACTAACATTTGGTCTTTCTTAGCTATTTCTGTTTCATAGAAATTTGAATCTTTGTTTGGAAGATCTTTGTTAAGATTGGACTTAAATATTTGCATTTTATTTTCCATTTTTCTTTCCAATTCTATTTCCTTCTTTTTAACCATTTTGGTGTACTTGTCCAATTCGTCATATAACATAGAAATGCAGTTGTCTTTATCTCTTATTTCTAAATTAAGTGATTTTTCGGTATCTTTCAGATCAGATATCTTTCGTTTTAGTTCAATGATTGTTTGGTTCAATTCTGATATTATCTTATCTTTCTCCATTGTAAGTTTTTCTTGCCGCTCATTTACAATGACGTATTTCTTATTCATATTTTCAATCTGTGTTTCGAGATCATTTTTTATTTGATCATACTTTGCGGAATCTCTTTGCAATTCTGCATTTTTCGTTTGCATTAAACGGACTTGTTTGTTGGAATCCTTCAATTTTCGCAACATTTGAACACGTTCTACTTCATGTTCACGAAGTTTGACTTCTCTTCTCCCTATTTCATTTTTTAAATATTCATTATTTTTCTTCAATTGACACAGTTCATGTTCGATGTGGTACGATTCCTCCTTTGATTCAGTTAGCCTTCGTTCAGAGTTAAGGATTTCTTGTTCATTAAGAGTATGTTTTGCATCTACATTTATTAGCCGATCTTTCAACTGGGATAAATGGGCATCCTTTTCTTGCAGTTCTCTTCTTAGTTTATAAATATTCTGATAATATTCTGCTTCCTTTTTTTTAAAATGAGCCTTAATTCCTGTAATTTCTTCATGGACATGTTCTTGGTGTGTTATTTCGTTATCTTCGTTGTTAATATTTCTTTGAAGCAGCTTTAATTTATTTCTTATAGAATAAGCAACCTCTTCTAAACATGATGTTTTACCAATATATTTATATTTTGTAAAACACTTTTCGACATGCATTGGCTGTGCTTCTAGATACGTCTTCTGTGGTGATAAAAATGCATCTAATTGCATATCGACATCATACAATGTTTTAAGTGCTTCTTCCATATTCATTGACATGTGTTTGTGAAGGAGTCTACATTTACAAATTTGCATATCATCGTGTTCATGTTTCAATTTCAACTCTTTTACTTTATCTTGAAATGTTCGTAATCTAGTCTCTAACTCTGTGTTGCGAGACTTAAGGCGCATTTGCTCTTTTGTAAGCAATTGAATTTCCTTGTCTTTTACATTGGCAAGTTTTTTGATGTCTGATTCAGGAACAGTGTTCTTTATTCCAAGGTCTTTAGCCTTATCCTTTAGCGTTTTCTCATACGTTATTTTTTGCCTGACTGCGGGTATTTTTATCTTCACATTTTCCAAATCTTTTGAAACATGTCGCATCTGTAACTTGTTAGTATTTAATTCGCTTTTTGCTTCGTAGACTGTTTTATCAATGCCTCTGCCCTGGTGATTTAGATATGTATTTACTTAAGCATGGACATTCAGAACATAATAATATGTGTCGCTACTAATGCCATTACATTGACACGCGTTAGGTGCTTAAAATTAAACTAACTATTGTATATGTGATAATATAATATTACTACACCTTACTTCATATGTAATGTTAATTTCCCATTGGCCGACATGAGTTATTCATACTGTTATAACAAGTGTATCACGTTGCTAAAAGTATTGTTACATAGGTTACAGTACTTTTTATCAGTGAAAATCTGGTAAGGTGGTTTAGTTTTGTAAGAAATAAAAAGGGCACCATTCTGTCCTCGGACTATGTGCATAAGTCAAATATACAAGAAGACGATTAAAGCACGATACTAAGGATTATTTAACGAAGTAAATCAGTGAAACATGAAAGGTTTATAACACTATTCAGATATAGGATATCGTAATTGCACATTCTCAACTCATATTCTGGAGGTGGTCATATATCACAGATCATAAAAGTATAACGGGTTTGTGTCTTATTTTCTAAATGAAAATCTTTATTACTGGCAGATATCATGACTTAAATTTCCTTCATACCTAAAAAGAGTAAAAGACAAACAACTGTTTCATATATACTTACGACTTGTAAGGTAATGCTTTTTAAATTATTCAATTTTGTTACTGTTTGACTGACAATGTTGTTGTAATTTCAGATCATTAAATAATGTGTTCGGGGTCATGATAAATAACACATAGTGTTCTGAGTAACAGTATAAATGTCAACCCCTTAAAACACTGTTACCCCGGCTAATATGGTGTGTAATAGTATTTTCCCCGGGTTGATATGTTTACTTTTACCCACAAAACTGTGTGTTACTTAATATATACTACATATATCTTTTAGAGCAGTATAAGCTGTTTTACAATATAAAACATATTTCTTTAACTGATGTGGTTTTTAAAATGTATGGCAAGTAAAAATAATAAAGATAACTTCGGGGAAAAGTACACTTAAAAGTTTGGAAAGTTCATCAATATGAGCTGAACACAAGTCATAAAAATGAAAACAAATCTTACCAGACGTTCTTGTCTCTGCATTATACTTCTTATTTCCATTGCCATGTCTTTTAAACGATGATAATACGGATTCCTATACTTTTCAATGTATTCCACAAGATTAGCTACAACTGACACATCGATCATTATGCAGCCCATTTCTATATCTTCCATGTTTTCTTTCTTCTTTGAGGCCCAAAATTAGTTAATAATGACAAGTTTCATAGCGTCTGAAATGGAGATATAAAAGATTATTTGATAGAAATGCACCGACGGAAGGGTTTGTCCCTGCAAATCTCTATGATCAACAGTGAATGAAGAGTAAAACCACGATAACCAAATGCTTAATAATCATCCTCGAATTTATATGCCGATAACGGTGATATCGATGTAAATTTTAAACGGAGAGACAGTTGGTGATCTTATTAAGAATAGGAGGGTTGGACCACTGATACATTACTGTCTGTAGCATTAATTGTATGTAAACAGCATGCGTCATTTCAAAAACATTTTTAGTTGATAGTTTCTGACTAATTTAAAATTAGGTTTCTACTAACTCTGTATGTTTCTTATTGAATGTTTATTAATCCGTTAATTCAATAGCGGGATCTAACGTCGTGAGAACATTTTATACCGGTGATGGTTTTAGTCAGGATTGGTATGTAATCCAACGTAATTAATAAAACTAACTAACACAACTTTACACAAACTGCTAATAATAACAGCTCCTTCCATAGGCCAAAATAAAAAGCATTCCATAAGAGACGACGCCGCTCACCGGCGTCGCCAACAATATGAAAAGTTTTCTTTTCAAAAGAAACAAAATTTCGTTGTTTTCTTTAATATAATCTTTAAAAAAATCTTATTTCTTTAGATTGGTCATCAAATGTATTAAATTTCCGTGTACATTTATTGGTATCATTTGATTTTATCTATCTGCCAGTATTGAATGCATATCTGCAACAGCACAGTTGGTAAGGTCGTTGACTTATATGAGTTAAATCTTTGAATCGAGTCCTTCTATTGATATGTTTTATCTTTTCATTTTTGGCTGTATATTTTAATAGAAATCGTCAAATTTAATGTGTTTTAAATAAGTACACACCGATGCAGAGCAACTCAAGAACACCGTTTTGTCTCGTTTCGTATTGTTTTATACGAATTTTAATTGTATTGAATTTAAACCGGTTGAATTTATGATATTTATTTCTAATAATGTTATTGTTATTTAAAAAGGATAGATTTACAAAATGGAGTGCAGAACATATAATACATGTAACAACACAATAAAAAAATCATAGCTTCAATGATGTTGAAAATATAGATAAGTATAAACTTTGCGGTATCAATCTACGGCGTGTAGAAATAACAAAAACATAGTTTACCCTTAACTCTCTCTCTCTCTCTCTCTCTCTCTCTCTCTCTCTCTCTCTCTCTCTCTCTCTCTCTCCCTCTCTCTCTCTCTCTCTCTCTCTCTCTCTCTCTCTCTCTCTCTCTCTCTCTCTCTCTCTCTCTCTCTCTTCTCTCTCTATCTTTTTAAGAGACAACATTAAATTAAAACTTTCCCCAATTAATGAGATAGAGCAATAAAGTGCAATATATAACGATATATATAAAAAAAGTGTTACACGTCATATGACGTCATTAAACAAAATGATTTTAGGAATATTATTATTACACTCAATGAAGTTCAACAGGTTTTATTACAGGGACTAGAGAAATATACTTTATATCTGCATAGGCATGGTCCGGAATACGCCGAAACGGGATGGAATGCTCAATTCTAGTCACTATTTAGTTTCAAAAAAATTTGCAGTCAGTCTAAACGTTAATAAAAGGCTATATATCAAAAAAAATTGGTGCAGTAATAACAAATCATAGAGACAATTGGTGAACCCATTAGGCCAGAAGGTGTCCCCAACCATTGAAAAAAAAACCCGTTTAAAATAAAAAAAACAAAAAAAAAAAAAAAAAAAAAAAAAAAAAAAAAATCACCCCAGGTGTATTTTAATAAAAAACCCGTAAATTTTTAATGTTTTTTTCGGGAAATTTTAACACACCTTAAACCAAAAAGGGAAAAAACTCAAAAACCCCACCGTTTTTTTTCTCGTTTGGGTATTTTTTTTATAGGGAAATTTTTAATTTGTATTAAATTTTAAAAAAAACCCGGTTTGGGGAATTTTTGATAAAATTTTTTTTTAAAAAATTTTTTTTGTTTTTTAAAAAAGGTTTAGATTTACAAAATGGAAGGGGCCAGATCATTTTAAATACATGAAAAACAAAACAAAAAAGGGGAATTTTCAAAAGGTTTTAAATTTTGTTTTTGAAAATTTATAGAAAAGGGTATAAAATTTTTGCGGTACCCAATTTCCCCGGCCCTTTGTAAAAAATAACAAAAACATAGTTTCCCCCTTAAAAAATTCCTTTTCTCTCTTTTCTCCCCTTCTTTTTTTCTCTCTCTTTTCTCTCTCTTCCCTTTTCTTTTCCCCCTTTCTCTCTTTTTCTCTCCCCCTCTTCTTCTTTTCTCTCTTTCTCTCTCTCTTTTTTCTCTCTCTCTCTTTCTCTCTTTTCTATCTTTTAAAAAAGAAAAAAACTTTTAAAATTTAAAACCCTTTCCCCCCCAATTAATGAAAATAAAAAGCAAAAAAAGTCCCCAATATAAAAAACCCAATAATTTTAAAAAAAAAGTTTTTAAAACTTTTTCTTTTAATGCTTTCATTAAACAAAATGTTTTGGGAATATTATTATTTACATTTCAATAAAAAGTTAAAAACGGGTTTATTTTACAGGGATAGGGGGGAAAATTTATACTTTAAAATTCTGCATAAGGCATGCCCCCGGAAATTTTAAACCCGGGGAACGGGATGAATTTCCCATTATTTTCCCACTTTTTAGCCCAAAATTTGAAAATTTCCGGGTCAAAATTTTTAATAAAAAGCTATATATAAAATTTTGGCCCCCCCCCTTAAAAAAAAACTTTCCATTTAAGACTTTTTGAAAAATTACCCCGGGGGAAAGCTTTTCCCCAACCCATTAAAAACCGTTTTTACCAAAAAAAAATTTGGGCTTTTTTGGGTTTTACTTTAATCTTATTTTTTTTTTGGTTTCGGTGGGGAATTTTGGGTTTTGGGACACAAAATCTCAAAAAAAACTCGCCCCCCAACTATTTTTTTTTGCGTAAAAAACCCCAGACCCAAAACCTTTTACCAGTGTAAAAAAACCCGCCTTTTAAAAATCGTTTAAAAAAAATTTAAAAAAAGTAACAACTTCCCAGCTGGGGCCCCTTTTTTATTTAATTTATATGTTTTTTTTTTTCTATAGTAAGTTTTACTTTTAAAAAATTGGCCCCAACAAAAAAATTTTGTGGGTTTCCCTGTTGGTTTTCATGAAATTTGAATTCTTTTTTTAAGGTGCCGTTAATATTTTTTTGATTTAAGAAAATGTTCTTTTAAATCTATAGAACTTTTTTCGGAAAAAACCAAAACCAAATAAAAAAAAAATTAAAAAAGTATTCAAAATTAAATTGCTTTTGGGGTATATTTTAACAATAAATAGTTTTTTTTTTGAAAAATAACCCATGAAAGGGGTGAATTTAAGTAATTTTTACTTGAATATTTTTGCATTTGCCCATTTTATCCAGGCCTTTCATTTTTAAAAAGACCCTAATGATGCATTCGATTTGAAAAAAAACGCTTATTTTACAAGGGGGGGAAAATTTGATTTCTTTTTAAAAGCGTTTTAAAAAAGGGTACGGGGGATAATTCTTTTTTAAAAAAATCTTAGAAGGTGTAGGGTGTTTTAAAATTATTAAAGACTGATGAAGCGTGAATTTCCCCGAAAACTCCTGTAATATTCTCTTTCCCCCTTTTACTAATTTTTCTAAAACGTGATTAAAAAGTTATGTCACTAGAAAAAGGAATTTCTGCCATCCCTTTAGCGGAATACTAAAACGTTGGTAATATTATTTGTTGTTTTGCTGGCGCTAAAAAAGCCCCCATTTTTTTAAAAACCAGGGGCCTTTAAGCACTTTCCGGGGTTTTGAGTTTAAAAAGTTTTTTGAGTTTTTCCTCAGAAATTTAAATTGAAAAAAAAAAAACAGGGTGTTTAAGAAAAATATATCTTATTTAAAATAATTTATGCTCCTTTCCTTTTTATTATTGAAAAGGGGGTAAATGCCCAAGAAAAAGACAGTGCCCGGTTGTTTTTGATTCATTCACTGGAATTTTAAATAACTGACTTTTTAAAAAAACTTAAAATTTTTTATTGACTTTTTTAATTTTAGCCTATACCTACTTATCGAGTTTGAAACAATTGTAATGAAAAAATTGGGGGATGCATCCCCCAGAATTAAATGATTATTAAATCCTTATGTAGTAAAATTTTGTTGTTTAAAACTGGATAAAAAAGCAACCCTGGGGAAAAACGTTCTTGACTGCTAAAGATGTTCTAAAATTACTTACACATACATATGTGACTGTTCGGTATCCCAGTCAAATCGGATGAAGGATAAAGTCAGGCTTACTGACTACAAATTTAAGCATTTCATTTCATATGTTATATATAAATCTCTTAAATTTGTTTTATGAACTATTTAAAGAAGAACCTCTTTTCGTTCTTTTTTCTTTTGATAATAAATATATTTCCACATTTTTACAACTTTCAGATTATCTATCCCTTGAATGATTTTCAAGTCCGACTTGGTCGCAAAGGGAGTTCTTAACAAATAATATTTTCCATATATTTACATGGCAATCTTGGCCACAAGCGCTATATAGGGGCATCGTGTTCAGTTTTTGTTAAAAGCTATTTAATATATATATATATATATATATTATATAATATATATATTATATATATACTATATATAATTATATATATAATATATATATATACTTACTTTTTACTGTCAACTTACTTAAAATTGTCTATGAACTTCTTCTACATTTATATGCATAGGGGCGATGATCTTTTTTTGCCCTAGGCAGATTGCGCTTTCGCGAGCAAATGTTAAGTCCGGCAAACCACACGCGTCGTAAAAAGTTCTCAGCCTTCGAGATGGAATGCACACACAAATTATATAATTTCTCAGGGAAAAACCTCGTGTCAGATATGTTATACTGACAAATTATGCTTTATGATAGAATTATGATTCTGTTAAATGAGCTTAGGCGACAAGACAATAATTATAACAAGTGTAGGTCATATGAAATTTCGTAACTTTTCGGTTGTC